GGAAATTTTTATTTTCATTTTTCTGTATTTTACTGATAAACGGACTTAGTTTTGTTTACAGTTAACACGTAGATACAGTCTGGGCTTAAAGTTTGTTACACATCAATTACTTTGTCAAACCTCCATGAAATTTTGGCAGTAGCTTTTTAATGATTAAGAGATAATGTCTGAAGCAAACCTTTGAAAATATATTTTTTTCAATTTTAGTATTTTTCTGATAGATAGACTTCATTTTTACATCACAATGACCGTGAGGGCATTCCGATGTATTGTTACCGACGAGATTTCTACTTATGTAACTTTCGTGTTTGACTGGTAACCGATCTATAGATACACAGACATTATCGAGTGCAAAATAACATTCCTTATCGCTTGTTATAAATTCATTTCTTAAATGAATACTCATAAAATATTTTTGTTTAGAACATAAATTAATAATATGAAAATGTTTATTCGTTAGAAATAAATACATATAAGTAAAAAATCATTGATAATATCTATGCACATATACAGAAAAATTGTGTTAAAGCATGTGGAAGAATATCTCAAGAACGTTTTGCGGGAAAATATGAATGCCTGCTCAAATCCAATCTATTAGAAAAATCATATTATTACAGAAGAGTGTCCACCATGCACTTGCACTGCACTATTATTAGAATAGTAAAATAGAATGATATACTAATGGATGAAAATTATATTTTATACATGTAACTGTTATATACAAACATTAATATAATATATAACAACAAACCAGAGTATACTGATTTGTATCACTACAATATAATAGTTATTACGGTGACGTTGAATTCCCTGTCATTTATTCATTATCCACGCAAGAACTTGTCTCAGAAAAAAATATATCTCTGTACATTAACCTCACTTTCAGGTATACAGATGTGATTTTTTTTGGAGACAAGTGCTTGTGACCATCCACAAGAACTTGCGGTCATCTGATGTTGAGTACTTCAGTACTTTGATTTACAGACAGTCTGGGTTAAACAAATTTTTACATGATAAATTTTTAACCTTCATGGATTGTTATGAAAATTGTACCGAAGCTCATCATCAAGATAAAAAAAATAGCATCTAAAGAAAAAGTTTGAATTTTTTTTTTAAATTCTGTACTTTACTGATAAATGGACTCACTTTTTATACGACCGCAAAAAATTTTTTGGGATCATATAATGGTATGATGTCGTCGTCGTCCAAAGACACATTGGTTTATGGACAATAACTTTAGTTTAAGTAAATGGATCTCTATGAAATTTTTTAAGAAGGTTAAATACCACAAAAGGAAGGTTGGGATTGATTTTGGGGATGATGGTCCCAACCGTTTAGGAATTAGGGGCCCAAAAGGGGCCCAAAACAAGCATTTTTCTAGTTTCAGGATAATAACTTGTTTATAAGTATTTCGATTGCTCTGAAATTGTACCACACTGTTTATTACCACAAGTAAAAGGTTGGAATTCATCTTAGGGGTTATGGGGCCAACAGTTTAGGAATTAAGGGCCAAAAAGGGGCCAAAAACAAGCATTTTTATACGACCGCAAACAAATTTTGTGGTCGTATATTGGTTTGATGTTGGCGTCGTCGTCGTCGTCGTCCGTAGACACCATAAGGTTCAATACCACAAAAGGAAGGTTGGGATTGATTTTGGGGGATATGGTACCAACAGTTAAGGAATTAGGGGCCAAAAAGGGGCCAAAAATAAGCATTTTTGTAACTTCCAGACATAACTTGTGTGTTAGTGTATGGATCTCTCTGACATTGTACCACAAGGTTCCATATTACAAAGGGAATGCTTGGATTCATTTTAGGGGTAATTGCCTCAGGAATTAGGGGCCAAAAAAGGGGAAAAAAACAAGCATTTTTCTAGTTTCATGACAATAACTTGTGTTTAAGTGTATGGATCTTTCTGAAATTGTACTACAATGTTCCATATCACAAAGGAAAGCTGGAATTGAGTTTGGAGGTAATTGCCTAAAACGTTTAGGAATAAGGGGCCAAAAAGGGGCCAAAAATAAGCATTTTTCTAGTTTCCAGACAATAACTTGTGTTCAAGTGTATGGATGTCTCTGAAATTGTACTGCAAGGTACCATATATACCACAAAGGGAAGGCTTGGATTGATTTTGGGGGTAATTGCCTCAAAATTTTAGGAATTAGGGGCCAAAAAGGGGCAAAAAACAAGCATTTTTCTAGTTTTATGACAATAACTTGTGTGTAAGTGTATGGATCTTTCTGAAATTGTACTACAAGGTTCCATATTACAAAGGGAAAGCTGGAATTGAGTTTGGGGGTAATTGCCTAAAATGTTTAGGAATAAGGGGCCAAAAATAAGCATTTTTCTAAGTTTCCAGACAATAACTTGTGTTCAAGTGTATGGATGTCTCTGAAATTGTATTTCAAGGTACCATACCACAAAGGGAAGGCTGGGATTGATTTAGGGGGTAATTGCCTCAAAATTGTGAATTAGGGGCAAAAAACAAGCATTTTTCTAGTTTCAGGACAATAACCTGTGTGTAAGTGTATGGATCTTTATGAAATTGTACTACAAGGTTCCATATCACAAAGGGAAAGCTGGGTTTGAGTTTGGGGGTTATTGCCCTAAACATTTAGGAATAAGGGGCCAAAAAGGGGCATTAAAACAAGCATTTTTTCTAGTTTCCAGACAATAACTTGTGTTCAAGTGTATGGATCTCTCTGAAATTGTACTGCAAGGTACCATACCACAAAGGGAAGGCTGGGATTGAGTTTGGGGGTGATGAATCATAAGGGGGTTCAAAAAATTTTGGGGAGGGATTTTTTTTTCCTTTTTGACCTTTTTTTTTCTTTAAAATTTTCCATTTTAAATTGGTTATTTCTGATTTATATATAAAAGCAAATAATAATGATATGGTTTGAATAGGTAAATTAAAAATTTTAAAGTTCTTAGACCACATTTATTCTTTGTCAGAAACCTATGCTGTGTCAAATATTTAATCACAATCCAAATTCAGTGCTGTATCAAGCTTGAATGTTGTGTCCATACTTGCCCCAACTGTTCAGGGTTCGACCTCTGCGGTTGTATCAAGCTGCGCCCAGGAGCATTTTATTCTAGTTTCCAGACAATAACTCGTGTGTTAGTGTATGGATCTCTCTGACATTGTAACACAAGGTTCCATATCACAAAGGGAAGTCTGGGATTGAGTTTGGGGTTAATTGCCCAAAACATGTAGGAATTAGGGGCCAAAAAGGGCCAAAAACAAGCATTTTTCTAGTTTCCAGACAATAACTTGTGTTTAAGTGTATCATCTCTCTGAAATTGTACTACAAGGTTCCATACTACAAAGGAAAGGCTGGGATTGAATAATGGGGTTATTGCTCCAAGGAGGGTTTCAAAAAGTTGGGGGGGGGGGATTTTTTTTCCAATTTTTTTAGGTGATTCATATTTTTTTTTCAAAATTTTTCATATTTCGAATTTTTGAAAATTTTCGAGAAGAAATCTTCCATTGCACAGTATTGTGCAATATTATAGATTTGAAAGATCTTTGACCACATTTATTTTGTGTCAGAAACCTATATTATGTCAAAAATTTGATCACAATCCAAATTCAGACTGTATCAAGCTTGAATATTGTGTCCAAATTTGCCCCAACTGTTCAGGGTTCGACCTCTGCGGTCGTATCAGGCTGCGCTCAGCGAAGCATTTTATTAAGTCAACATTACACTTTTATACTGACAGCAGCAATCTCAGGTGAGACACAGGGTTCAGCAGAACCCCTTATGAATTTTATAATGTAACAAATGTCATTGTTATTTTTTTTTTTTTTTAAAAAGAATTTAGTTAGGATAAGGAAAAGACGATCTGAATTTAGATTTGAAATAACGTTATTTTTAAAAGAAGAACTTTTCATATCTTAGTTGACTATTTATATATACAGATATCAGAGGCTTAAAACATCCATATTTTTCTTCAAAACTTTCAAATCAGATCTTATTCAGTATACTGTGTATATATACATGTATAATGTTGATAACTGTTTTAATTGTGTGCATATATCAAGAATAATTAAACTTCAGCAAAATACATAACCAAAACCCCCCAAAAAACCTATAATTAGGAAATGATTACAGGGATAAAATGGAATGTAATTTATCACAGGCTATAATGTCTGGTGTGTTATAGAAATATGGTAAATTATAAACTTAAGTGTGAGTGTTTGATCAAGGACTTCCTCATATTTTGTCGGATTTCATACATAACTGAGGTTTTTAGTATATCTTTGTGCTGTACTTAAACAGTTAATTTGTCACAGACACTGACAAATAAAAATTAAATGTTGGTCATTGCTGTTCTAGTAGCATGTGACTTACTGTGGATTCTTTCTTTTCGTGGGTACTAATTGTCGTGGATTGAGGAAAAATGATATTTTTGTGGACATTTGATTTCATGATTTTGTCAAATTCTGTATGCAAGATGTATACTTACTTGAACATTTAAATTTGTGGTTCACTTTATGTGGAGCAGGATCTGCTTACCCTTCCAGAGCACCTGAGATCACCCCCAGTTTTTGGTGAGGTTCGTGTTGCTCAGTCTTTGGTTTTCTATGTTGTGTTTTGTGTACTGTTGTTTGTCTGTTTGTCTTTTTTCTTTTTTTAGCCATGCCTTTGTCAGTTTATTTTCGACTTATGAGTTTGAATGTCCCTTTGGTATCCTTCGCTTCTCTTTAACCATTAAATCCACGAAAAGTTAGTATCCCACAAATTGTAATGAATCCTCGGTATTATACAAGCATATTCAGTTCAAGACAAAGTTAATTTTGGTCAATGCTGGTCTAATGGCTGGTGACTTACTATTATTATACAAGCATATTCAGTTCAAGACAAAGTTAATGTTGGACAATGCTGGTCTAATGGCTGGTGAATTACTGTTATTATACAAGCATATTCAAAACAAGAACCAGTTACTTGTTAATGTCTACTGAAATTTTTTGTACTTACATTATTTTTTTTTTTCAGATATTTTGTCTAGCAGCACCTCCAAGTAAACTTGTGACAGCAGTATTCAGAATTCATCTGCACATGTTATCAGGGGCACCTATAGCTATATTATTTCCAGTTGTAAATACACGTTTGGTAGGTATATAGTGAAATCGGAGTCAGAAATCTGTTCTACTGAGAATATCTGAGTAGGGTCTTCCAGGGGACTCACTTATTTAGTTAATTTGGGAGCAAGCATAAAGGTCTTTCAGGGGACTGTTATTTTGGGGAAAAGCATAAAGGTCTTCTAGGGGACTGTTACTTTTGGAGCAAGCACAAGTGTCTTCCTGTGGACTTACAGTAGGAGCAATTGTAAAGGTCTTCCAAGGGAGTGTTTCTTTGGGAGCAAGCATAAGGGTCTTCCTGGGGACATATATTAGGAGCAACCATAAGGGTCTTCCAAGGGACTGTTTCTTTGGGGAAAAGCATAAAGGTCTTCCAGGGGACTGTTACTTTGGGAGCAAGCATAAGGGTCTTCCAGGGGACTGTTACTTTGGGAGCAAGCATAAGGGTCTTCCAGGGGACTGTTACTTTGGGAGCAAGCATAAGGGTCTTCCAGGGGACTGTTACTTTGGGAGCAAGCATAAGGGTCTTCCAGGGGACTGTTACTTTGGGAGCAAGCATAGGGTCTTTACAACCATTAGATAGATTTAGCTGCTGGTGGATGTTTTGTCCCTAAGTGTATCACCAGCCTAGTAGTTAAAACATCATGGTTCAGGAATAACCTTGACATGTTCATTTTCTGCAAATTTACTGTTTGTAAAATGTTGAAGTATTCCATCACTAAGGTGTCTCTACCCTCAGGTATAGATTGCCTTAGCTGTCTTGGCACTGTTTTGATTCAAGTGCCTCTGTTGAGTTTTATGTAGAAGAAATCTTGCGTACCAAATTATAGGCCTGGTATCTTTGTTGAGTTTTTACAACAACTGGGTAGATTTAACTGTTGGTGGATGTTTCATCCCCAAGGGTATCACCAGCATAGAAGTTAGCACTTTTGTGCTGATGAAATATCATTGATAAGTTCATAGTCTGTAAATTTACTTTTTATAAAATGTTAGAATATTTAAAGTACTAAGGGTTATCTATCCTGTGGTATAGATTGCCTGATTATGACTCTTCCACTTTGTATTTGATTTTGACTTTCCAACAGTTTTGATTTAAGTACCACTGATGAGTGTTATATAGACAAAACACATGTCTGGTGAAACAAATTAAAAGCCTGGTAACTCTGATGATATTTTTACAACCAATGGGTCAATGACACTGCTGGTTGATGTTTCATCCCCATGGGTATCACCAGCCAGTAGTTAGCACTTTTCAGCTGCTGACATAAAATATCATTGATATGTTCATTTTTCTGTAATTTTACTGTTTATATGATTAGAACATTCAAAACACTAAGACTTTTCTACCCCTAGGTATAGATTACCTTAGCCATAACTTTTCTAAATTTTAGGGGTATTAATGCTCTTCAACTTTGTATTTGATTTGGCTTTCCAAATGTTGTGCTTAGAGTGTCATTGATGAGTCTTATGAAGAGAAAAATTTTGTCTAGCATACCAAATTATAAGATTTGTATGTTTGATGAGTTTTATGCCCCTGCCACAGCGGAGGAGGGATTAAGCATTACCCTTGCCGGATTTAGTCCGTACATACGTACATCCCAACATTAGTTTCTTTTCTCTAACTTTAGTTTGCCTCAACCCAATGTTATGAAACTTATACAAACTGCTTATTAAAAAAAAACAAAGATCAAGTTCGAATTTGGGTATACAAAATGCTTATTACCATAAAACACAGATCAAGTTCGAATTTGGGTGTTGTTACTTTTACAGTTCTCTAGTTATGTCCCTTTATAACGTTATATGCAAGCGTGGAAATCATCTGTGTCCCATGGACATATTCTCCATTTATTTTTTCCTTAATCAGGTAAACTCAAGATCAAAATTTTGCAAAGTCCAACATATTAAACATTAAAGAGCATCATAACCAAAGGGATATGAATAGCTAAGAAGGAATTTAGTTGCCTTTGTTAAGCAGGGTATTTTCAGTGTAATTTTATCATCCAAAATATGTATGTGATATATGCCACTAGACATAAAGTCCCATTAATCAATACTTATTCTTGATCAGCTTTACAATGTAAAAGTAGAAAATGATCAATCTTATGTAGACAAATATTGTTTATGATTAGATGGAAGTTAATAGTACTCTCAGATGAATAGCATTAAGAATCATATATTGGGAGTCAAGCATTCCAACTCCGATGAATACCATGGTAACGTATTGGGAGTCAATCATTCTAACTCTCAGATGAATACCATGGTGTACTATTGGGAGTCAATCATTCTAACTCTCAGATGAATACCATGGTGTAGTATTGGGAGTCAATCATTCTAACTCTCAGATGAATACCATGGTGTACTATTGGGAGTCAATCATTCTAACTCTCAGATGAATACCATGGTGTAGTATTGGGAGTCAATCATTCTAACTCTCAGATGAATACCATGATGTAGTATTGGGAGTCATTCATTCTAACTCTCAGATGAATACCATGGTGTAGTATTGGGAGTCAATCATTCTAACTCTCAGATGAATACCATGGTGTAGTATTGGGAGTCAATCATTCTAACTCTCAGATGAATACCATGGTATAGTATTGGGAGTCTATCATTCTAACTCTCAGATGAATACCATGATGTAGTATTGGGAGTCATTCATTCTAACTCTCAGATGAATACCATGATGTAGTATTGGGAGTCATTCATTCTAACTCTCAGATGAATACCATGGTGTAGTATTGGGAGTCTCAGATGAATACCATGGTATAGTATTGGGAGTCTATCATTCTAACTCTCAGATGAATACCATGGTGTAGTATTGGGAGTCTATCATTCTAACTCTCAGATGAATACCATGTAGTAGTATTGGGAGTCCATCATTCTAACTCTCAGATGAATACCATGTAGTAGTATTGGGAGTCTATCATTCTAACTCTCAGATGAATACCATGTAGTAGTATTGGGAGTCATTCATTCTAACTCTCAGATGAATACCATGGTGTAGTATTAGGAGTCAATCATTCTAACTATCAGATGAATACCATGGTGTAGTATTGGGAGTCAATCGTTCTAACTCTCAGATGAATACCATGGTGTAGCATTGGGAGTCATTCATTCTAACTCTCAGATGAATACCATGGTGTAGTATTAGGAGTCAATCATTCTAACTCTCAGATGAATACCATGGTGTAGCATTGGGAGTCATTCATTCTAACTCTCAGATGAATACCATGGTGTAGCATTGGGAGTCATTCATTCTAACTCTCAGATGAATACCATGGTGTAGTATTAGGAGTCAATCATTCTAACTATCAGATGAATACCATGGTGTAGTATTGGGAGTCAATCATTCTAAGGATTAAGTTTCTCAGTAATCAATGACAGGGTTAATTCATTGTGGTTAAGACCTAATAGTTTGATTTTAGAGGTGATTTTTTATCAGAGGAATACCATCACCTAATATATCTGATAATTTTGGAATCAATTGTTTTCGTGAGATGACATCTTTGATATTCTCCCAGATAGTGTCAAGAAAGTAAAATGGATTTTAAATTGAAAAAGAATATAGATTTTTGTGATATATATATAAAGATAAGGAGATGTGGTATGATTACAATTGAGACATCTGTCAACCAGAGAACAAATGGTGTGGTAGTAAACAACTATAGGTCACCGTACGACCTTCAGCAATGACCAAACACCATACTCTATAGACAACATCCTACGACCTTCAGCAATGACCAAAAACCATACTCTATAGACAACATATAAGTTCGTGATGAAGCCTCTTTTCAGCTTGTAGTTTGAAAATAATAAAGAAACTAAACTTGTCACTTTGAAGTTGTACTTTTCCATGTCGTGATCATGACAATGCATTAATCTATTTCCATAAGTGCAGTTAATGGAATCATTTTAACAGATAGACAAATAAAAATGTAACGAACTTCTCCATCAATTATAACATCAAGTTATCCTGTAGCTTTATAAAGAAATTTGTAGTCATTAGTTTCTGTAGGAGAAATCAATGTTCCATGATGGATGAGCTTAAGTTGAGGAAGTCTATGTTATTTATATGTCATTGTAGTTTTAATAGAGCTATTGATTTATTATTGGTACTCTTGACAGGTGCTTGTTTCATACAAATTTAACAAACATATGAGAACTTGTTTGTCAAAAAATCTAATCCTACACTGTGACTGCTTTTATTGTGTACTAGTTTTCTCATTACCACTCTATTGTCTACACTGTGACTGCTTTTATTGTGTACTAGTTTTCTCATTACCACTCTATTGTCTACACTGTGACTGCTTTTATTGTGTACTAGTTTTCTCATTACCACTCTATTGTCTACACTGTGACTGCTTTTATTGTGTACTAGTTTTCTCATTACCACTCTATTGTCTATAATATGTTATTGTGTAATAGTTTTCTCATTACCACTCTATTGTCTATAATATGTTACTCTTTGTTAGCAATTAAAACATATTAAAAATATTGGACTAAACAACACTGACTAGACTACAAACCAAAGACAAAAAATCATGAACAACACATGGTCCAGATATTGTGAAACAGTTTTATATTGATTCAAGGGTCTATTGTCTGTTCTGTGGTTATGCAGTAGATGTCTCCCTGTGCTCATAGTTGAAAGTCATATGGTGACCTATAGTTGCTTACATCTATGTGTTTTGGTCTTTGTCTGATGTATAGTTGTCTGACTGGCAATCACAAAGGTTGAGAGTTTCCAACCCTTCATATGGCAGGTGTATCTGACTCCTATCTGAATTGACTAGGAATGCCAGTTTTCTTGACGAAAGTTGGTTGTTCTCTTTATGTACTCTGGCTTCCTCCACCAAAAAAAATTGGTGGCTGCGATATAGCTAAGCATTCTAAAAGTGGCGTTAAACACCAATAATCAATCAATCTATCATTTAATTCTTGACTAGCTGAAAAATAAATAAAAAGACTTAGCAGCCATATCACATGATATGACCACTAAAAGACAAATTACATTGCAATGGAACATTTGAGACAATGCCCTTATGTAACTAGAGGTACTGCAAGGAAATCTCACAAAATGTGAATATTTGAAACAAAACATTTTTACAACTTAGGTTATAGGTAATATATATTTCAATGGAACATTTTATTCAGAGACCTGTTGTAAGAAGCTTATTTGTCATATAACATTGGATTGTACTTGTATATTGATTTTCTGTAGTAGAGGTTGATATTCCTACATATTTAAAAATAAGAAGTATTCAGAGGTATGCATAATGTACTTTTGTTTTCTATTTTCAGCTACCATTTGAAATTGAAGTATATTACATACAACATATACTGATGCTCATTATACCGTTATATCTTATAATCAAAGGCGGTAAGTCATGAAATTATTACATGTCTTTATATACAATTATATCAGGTTAGTTCAGATATAAAAGTTTATAACATATCTCTATATCCTCATAGTGGGTTAAAAAAATGTAAGATAAAATTTCTGAACAACATAATGTGCAGAATATTTTTCTTAAAATTTCCTGAGAGAAAAGTTGAATGTAAATAAATACATGTAAACAGGTTTTTTTTTAAATAATGTTCACCATACTTATTTTCTTGAACATTGAGGTTGAAATGTAATTATTTGATATAGATAATATTTAGGAGCAATCATTCTTTGGGAAACAAGTAAAGCATTATAGATAGAAGTTTGGATATTTTCTTTATAGAGGAAATGATTAAAATCATTCACTCAGCAAATGAAAAGTCAAATAGGAAAACAATTTTTATTTATGAATTATTTTTAACAAAATAGTGTAAATTTGGTTGAGTTATGGAAATATCAGAGTTAGTTACCCCCTCCCCGCAGTTGTTGAACACATTTGAGCTAAAGTTTCTTCCTGTAAATTGACCCATGCCTTGACTGGGGCATAGAAATATGGTCACTTAGACGACTTCTCCTACAGTAATAAAACCTCTGGTGTCTGCATTGTGTAAATACGAGTAAACAAGTAAATTGTTTATTATTGTATTGTGACAAGTGTAAATCAACACATATATATGTGTACAAAATATGATCAAACATAAAAATACACCCAGCTCAATGGACCAATAAGTCACCTTTTGCTTTCAATTCAATATAAATGTTTTAATAGTACAATGTACATGTATTCAGACTGATGCAGTTCAGTTTTATATCAATACAAAAATAAGTTCAATTTGAATATTTAACAGTTTATCACACAATATTAAAGGCAGTAGATTTATTCTTGCCTAGTCAAGTCAGATTTGAGGCTTTTATTGCTCCTACTAATATTTTGAGCAATTAATTTCATTTAAGATAATTAGGTTTCAAGATCAGAGCAATTTGAGATAAATAAATTTCAAGATAAAAGCAATTTAAGGTAAATAAATTTCGATATGGTAGTGATATGGGATTAATAAATTTCAAGATAGACATGATTTTGAACAAATTGTTTTATTTAGAACAAAAGCAATTTGAGATACTTAACTTTGAGCTTTCTATTAAAAATGTATTTATATGTTTCAGGTGTTTATAACCCAGAGCCAATGTGGGACTTAAGTTGGGCAGCTGTGTCTGTGGGCGGTACCTACATATACCATTTTATAACTCTACAGTACATAGGATTTGTAAGTTTGAATTGGTGTTTGTCTTTTGTCTAATCTTAATGTTTTTAGCTCACCTGGCCCTATGGGCCAGGTGAGCTTTTCTCATCACTTGGCGTCCGGCGTAAACTTTTACAAAAATCTTCTCCTCTGAAACCACTGGGCCAAATTTAACCAAACTTGGCCACAATCATCATTAGTTTAAAAAATGTGTTCGATGACCCAGCCTGCCAACCAACATGGCAGACATGGCTAAAAATAGAACATAGGGGTAAAATGCAGTTTTTGACTGATATCTCTGAAACTAAAGCATTTAGACTAATCTGGCAATGGATAAAAATGTTCATCAGGTTAAGATCTATCTGCCCTGAAATTTTTAGACAAATCAGACAACCTGTTGTTGGGTTGCTGCCCCTGAATTGGTAATTTTGAGGAAATTTTGCAGTTTTTGGTTATTATCTTGAATATTATTATAGATAGAGATAAACTGTAAACAGCAATAATGTTCAGCAAAGTAAGATCTACAAATAAGTCAACATGACAAAAATTGTCAATTGACCCCTTAAGGAGTTATTGCCCTTTATCGTCAATTTTTAACAATTTTTCTTAAATTTTTGTAATCTTTTACAAAAATCTTCTCCACTTAATCTACTGGGCCAAAAAGAATTAAACTTAGCCACAATTTTCAATATGGTATCTTGATTGAAAAATGTTTCCAATGACCCTGCAATCCAACCAACATGGCTAAAAATAAAACATAGGGGTTTACTATAGAAGTCTTTGGGAAAATTGTAAAAAAACAATTTCAAATGGTCACAACTTGAAAATTAATTTAAATAATGATAAGGGGTCTTCAGTAACTATTGTAAGACTACAATGGGATGACCTGCTTTTAATTTAACTACTGGGCCAAATTAAACCAAAGTTGGTCGCAATCATTATTAGGGTATCTAATACTATTTATTATGATTTTAACCTTATTTTACATGATTTCCAAAACCACAGTAGATACAGGTGAGGGACACAGGCTCTTGAGAGCCTCTAGTTTATTCTACATAAAATTTGATATTTATGGCATATCTTTGATAATCTGTTCACTTTTTTACACATTTCTAGTCTCAGTGACATTTAGAGCTTTACATACTGCCTAGACTGTTGCCTATTGATGGTCTCGGTAATATTTAGAGCTTTAAATACTGTCTAGACTGTTGCCTATTGATGGTCTCAGTGACATTTAGAGCTTTACATACTGTCTTGACTGTTGCCTATTGATGGTCTTGGTGACATTTAGAGCTTTACATACTGTCTAGACTGTTGCCTATTGATGGTCTCGGTGAGATTTAGAGCTTTAAATACTGTCTAGACTGTTGCCTATTGATGGTCTCATTGACATTTAGAGCTTTACATACTGACTGTCTAGACTGTGCCTATTGATAGTCTCAGTGACATTTAAATCTTTACATACTGTCTAGACTGTTGCCTATTTGGTGGTATCGTTGACATTTAGAGCTTCACATACTGTCTAGACTGTTGCCTATTGGTGGTCTCGGTGACATTTAGAGCTTTACATACTGTCTAGACTGTTGCCTATTGATGGTCTCGGTGACATTTAGAGCTTTAAATACTGTCTAGACTGTTGCCTATTGGTGGTCTAAAAAAGGATGAATGCTGTCCACATGTTTGTTCTTTAAGTTGTCCAGACATCAACATTAAGGTTTCCTGACATTATCTTTTGAGCCATAGGAATACCTTTATCAAACTTTGCTTGATAATGGCCCATGGGAAGATGAAAACCCAGTATTGAATTTTAGGTCAATAGGTCAAAGGTCAATGTCACAGCAGCTAAAGATAGACTAACATTTGGGTGTTAAGTTTCTGGGTGCTATCTTTTGTCCAACTGTTACAAATATAAAGAAAATCACAGAATGCTATACTGAAATATATTCATCTAGCAATGAGGTAGTGATGGCTTATCATCAGACAGAAGAAGAGCTGGAAGAGAATTCCAGTTTAAATTGTTTTACACTGGTCATTTTGGGGCCCTTTATAGCTTGCTGTTCGATGTGAGCCAAGGCTCGGTGTTGAAGGCCGTACTTTGACCTATAATTGTTAACTTTTTATACATTGTGACTTGGATGGAGAGTTGTCTCATTGGCACTCATACCACATCTTCTTATTTATACTGGACAAGCAATAGTTATATAAAGGTGACTTATATTCGAAAGCTTTTGTCTAGGGGCAGTTTGACCCAATGTCATGGTAGATTCAAATATAGGTCATTTGTCAAGTTATGTTAATATATCCCATATTCATTTCAGTACAAGTAATATGATGAATTTTTTATTTCAGGTATTTAAGGTGAATTTAAACAACATGCTGTGTCCTGCTATATCGGACCCATTCTATGGACCTTATTATAGGCTGTGTGCGTTATTTCATCAAACCTTGGTCCTTCCTTTCCTAGCCAAATTTATGTACTGGATATGTAAAAAAGCTTCTCCGCTCACTGTGTGTGATTTAGAAGAAACGAAAGTTATTGACATCATGAAAGATTGTTTTTCAGGAAGTAAAAGCTCAAGACAGGAAGCTAACAATCAGGGTCAGGCAGGCGTTACATTAGAAGCTAAAAAGCACACAATTTTAAAACATCGAAATGGTTCAGGTGATCCTACAGAAAAAAATGGAGTACTTATAAATCACACAAGACAACCTAGCAATGGACATTTAAAAACTTCCTGATGCAAGTTCACAGTTTCATTTTTGAGATTATTTGTAACTCAATATTTATATGCACAGGAATAATGTAAATTTTTTTTAAATGATGTTTTATAGATAAATGTTACTTAGTTAATTCCTGTTGTATTAATTGATGTTTTTAAGTATGCATTTCTACTAAGAAAACTGTGGTTCTAACATAAAGCTAAACACCAATATGACTTCAAGTTTTTCCTATTGAATTAGTTAGGATTGATGATTGATATATATGTTTGAGTTTAGTTTTAAAAATAAAGTTCAAATAAAGAAAAATGTTCAGAAACAAAAATTATCACAGTCCTACTTTTAGTAAATTTTCATTTCTCATCAACGTTAACAACATATACCTGATTTTCACATCCTTATCAATATTAGAGCTAGAATCAAACTTTCTGTTATAACAAACTTTCATCCATTAAAAAATACTTTTGTTATCAGTATTTCATGACAACCTAAGATTAACAGTATGTCATGTCAAGCTTAGGATATCAGTATGTCATGACAAGCTTTGGTTATCAGTTTGTCATGAGAACCTAAGATTAATAGTATGTCATATCAAGCTTAGGATATCAGTATGCCATGACAACCTTAGGTTATCAGTATGTCATGACAACCTAAGGTTATCAGTATGTCATGACAACCTAAGGTTATCAGTATGTCATGACAACCTTAGGTTATCAGTATGTCATGACAACCTAAGATTAACAGTATGTCATGACAAGCTTTGGTTATCACTTTGTCATGTCAACCTAAGGTTATCAGTATGTCATGTCAAGCTGAGATTATCAGTATGCCATGACAAGCTTTGGTTATCAGTATGTCATGACAGCCTTATGTTATCAGTATGTCATGACAGCCTTATGTTATCAGTATGTCATAACAATCATAGGTTAACAATATGTCATGACAACCTTGAGTTAACAGTATGTCATGACACCCTAAGTTTATCAGTATATCATGACAGAGGGTGTGGATGGGGGGTTTACAGAATAGAGAATAATGGGCAAAAAATATAAAGAATAGAGAAAAATGGACCAAAAATATAAAGAATAGAGAATAATGAGGTGCTAAAATATGAAGAATAGAGAAAAATGGCCTAAAAATGGCCTAAAAATTAACGAATACAGAAATGAAGGACCCTTCATCCAAACCCTCATGACAAGCTTAGGTTAATAGAATGTCATGTGAAACTTAGGTTATCAGTATGTCATGACAAGCTTAGGTTATGAGTATGTCATGGCAGCTTTAGATTATCAGTATTTCATATCAATCTAAGGTTATTAGTATGTCATGACAAGCTTAGGTTATCAATATGTCATGACAAGCTTAGGTTATTAGTATGTCATTACAACCTTATGTCATGATAACCTTAGGGTATCAATATGTATGATAACCTTGAGTTATCAGTATGTCAAAAAAGATAAGATAATTTTTGATTTTTGAAAGTTTCTATTTTTTATGGTTTGGAATTTTTTTTAGGGATTCTTAATATCATGCTTTATTCATAAGAATTCCCTATTTGATGTTTTCAGTTTATACTTTTGTTTGTGGGTTCCCCAATTCATCAGATCCACCAATACAACAAAAGTAATAACTAATCCACATCACACTTCTCATTATTATTTTATTATAAATAGTGTTTGGAATTGCTACTTAATTTATTTCTAACATATTTTTTTTGTAAATTTTAATTTATTTTTAGTAAACATAGCCCATGGGGCATTATGAACTTTACTCATCATTTTGCATCTGTTGACTGACAGATTCTTTTTGTCGAGCCTGCAGCATTTTGTGGCGAAGCAAGACATAGGGATCCTACATTTCGACATCATTAACATTTAGGTTCAGTCTGTGGTTAAAGTTTTTTAGACATTAATTACTTTGTCAAACCTTTTTGGAATTTTATGAAAATTGAACAGAAGCTTTTTAATGATCAAAAGAAAATATCCAGAGTAAATTTTTGAAATATTTTTTATTTTTCATTTTTTCATATTTTAAGGATAAATGAACTTTACGTTTTTGGCAGTTAACATTAAGATGCAGTCTAAGGTTAAAGTTTTTCAGTGTGTTCATTCTTAAAGCCATTCCACATGCACTTTCTTGTGTATTACTTCAAGACCTTTCAGTTTTCAAAGCACCATTCCCTTAATGAAATCTGCAGGAATAAGATGTGCAATACAATCACCTTTGATGTTTAAAGGTTTTAATCCCAAAGTTTGTATTTGTCATGAAATAGAATAAAATACAGATACACATGTATCATCCTTTCAATATTGTGAGAAATTTGGATTCATTTTGAGACTTGCAACATGAAAAGAATGTTTTAATATAAGATGGACGCATATCAGATTCAATCATTAAAGAATTTGAAAACTGATAGTCTTGAATAATGTTATTTCAAGTCTTTAAGATTTTCAATGTTATCTTGATGCATATTGATTTTAAAACAAGTATTGCCTACACATGTTTGGATTATGTCTTTTATATATATATATCATATATTCAATGTATTTGTGTGATATACTCGGATAACTTTTTATAAATGGAATAACTTAGTAGTGGAATTTTCATTATATATGGTTTTGTGGTAATTTTTCATAATTTAATGCAACATATTCCTTTAATGATTATTTAATATACCAAAGTCTGCACTTTACACAGAAAAAACCCTATTCCACCTCATAATACAAATACGAGTTATTAAAAAAATTCTTTAAAGAATATTATTAATGACTTCAACATGTTCAATAACAAATGTTTTAATTGCTTTGACAAGTTTAGTTAGATGTCCTTTTTAAAAACATTGCTGTCATGCTGACTACTTTATGTTTACCATTTTTGACAGCCAGTAATGCTTGATATTTTTTATCAGTATAGTTGATTCCAATCAGGATATCTGTATACTGTAAAATTAGAAATTATTGTGTGCATTTATTATTGCGATTTTTGACGAAATGACTAAAATGCAAGATTAATTATTGCGATTTTATGAAAATACGCATACAGATTTATGTATCAGATATCAGAATGCAAGTTCTTATTATTGAGATACTCATCCATTCGCATTATTCCCAATTACAAACCTTGTAATAGTTTCTGAATTTACAGTATTTAAATGTGTATTGATGTCTTAATGTATTTTTATTTGCATTTGATAATTTACTAGTCAAATTAATTACAGAAATGCTACTGAAATTGTGCAATAAAATTTTACAAGTGCTACACATTTATGTACCTTATTTTGTTTAGTTTTAAGTAAGCAGAAATGAAAATGAATTATAGAAACAAAAACTAATTTTAGCAATATATTATGCATAACAGATTACAAACATGTGAGGGACCAAATGCACCCATTATATTTAATTCTTATAGAATATTGTACAATGTGATTTTCAAAGGTATAAGGTTTTGGCTTCAAGCTATCAATCCATTATTTGATTTCAATTATATACATCCTGTATTATTCAGTATTAGATGATTGTAAAATGTAGTTGAGATGAGTAGAGTTTTACTTCATTTAGGCAGATTTTTAGACTTTTAGAGATAGTTTAATGTTCTTAGTTCCTGCATCTCTGGTCCACATTTTATAAGGCCTTACAACTACAAATGGAGGCCATGTTTAAACATTTTCATTTGATCTCATATTTTACAAGATTTTAAAAGCAAAATTGATAGATAAGATTTCAATACAGATATAAGTATTCCCACAAGTGGAGCAGGATTTTAATCCTGATATAAGTATTCCAACAAGTGGAGCAGGATTTTAATCCTGATATAAGTATTCCAACAAGGGGAGCAGGATTTTAATCTGGATATAAGTGTCCCCACAAGTGGAGCAGGATTTCAATCCTGATATAAGTGTCCCCACAAGTGGAGCAGGATTTCAATCCTGATATAAGTGTCCCCACAAGTGGAGCAGGATTTCAATCCTGATATAAGTGTCCCCACAAGTGGAGCAGGATTTCAATCCTGATATAAGTGTCCCCACAAGTGGAGCAGGATTTTAATCTGGATATAAGTGTCCCCACAAGTGGAGCAGGATTTCAATCCTGATATAAGTGTCCCCACAAGTGGAGCAGGATTTCAATCCTGATATAAGTGTCCCCACAAGTGGAACAGAAGCGAACAATAAGTATGCACTGCATCTGTTAGTATGTCTGTCTGTCTGTCATACTTGTAGACCACATTTTGTCTAAGTGCTCTAATTAATTGATGATATATTTGAAATATAGTCCTATCATAAGAAGTTGAGGTTTAGTTTTGTTCGAGTTCAGTGATTTTTGCAGAAGTTTGTGCCCTTAGACATAGAAAATATCAGTTTTCCACACTTTTTACTGTAATTAATGAATCAGTTGATTAGAGATTTGGTATAGACTCATAAGAAGTTACTGTTCAAAATCACTTTTGGTTGAGTGATATTTGTGGAAGTTGTGGTTCAAGGATGTAGAAAATTTTCCTAGAAAATTCTTGATTCCTGAGGGAATTTCTTAAAGATAAGCCTAATTAAGGGAGATACAGCTGTGACACATGGAATTTTTACTGAGACATGTCAAGAAAGTGTTTACTAAGCTATCAACTAAACCAGAACTTTTCTTAGTGTCTTGATTTAAATGTTATTTTTTAGTTTATTGAAAAGGCACACATGCCTGTGATGCTTCTTTTAACATCTATGTTTTTCTCTTCAATTCTACAAATTGAAAAGCTTTAATATTATAACAGATATGCAGTTATGTACAGCTTTACAGATGTACATTTTGTTTACATATTTGGTAGTGTACAGTTTATATGCATCCTTAGAAATATACAGAGGATTGCTTGTACTAAAGTAGCTGTACACTAGTTTTTTGCCCACTTCCCATTAAAAGATCTACTTGGAGGCTTTTTTCTGACATGAGAATTTGAATCCCAGATGGGTATGCGGTTGACAATGGTGTAAGCCCAGATATTCCATGTAGCAGAAGTGTATATCAATATGAAATATTTTGATACTTCAGAAGGGTTTTGTGCAAATAAGATACCATAAACTTTGTGTTCAATAGGTAAAGAAAAGTTTACAAATTTCAACATTCAACTTGCAATTTATTTATTTTTTCGTGATGGAATAAAATGAAGATTTAGAAATTTGAGAGGATTTTTTAATTATGTTTTCTATGCCTGCTGCATTATACTTTGTAATCTTCTGTCTCATTTACTTTGAATGTTTGATGGTTGTCTTAATTTCTTCCTCTCAACTTGTTGGATATGAATGGTAACATTTAGTCTTCTATGTATTGTACAGTGATTGTAACTTATACCAAACAGAGCTTTTGATGTAATATTTGTGAGACTGATATATGTTTCAGTCACATGACATGCAGTGTTCAAAATATATTGTTAAGATTTGAAAAAAATATATATGATAGAAAAAATCTGTGAAGATGACTGTTTGAAAATCGTTCTCATAGAAACACATGTAAATCACAAAAGAAAATGGTTTTCAGTAACAGTAGCTGTAAACCACTTTATCTAACAATCAATTTCTTATTCAGATAGTATCTTGTAAATTGTTAAATTACTATTAGCTTTTAACATTTAAATTTCTACAAACAATGGAGCAGGATGATTTATTATTATATCTTTATAGCTGTTTTTGTGATAAATTTGTCTTCCTTGTAAGTTTAGATGTTAATATATTGTAGTCATCTGATAAGGATATATTTAAACAAGGAAGTAATTTATAGTTATATGATAATATATAGTCATATAATGGATATCAACAATCTATCTAGTTTAGTTGATACAATAAGATGGTTTTAAGAAAACATATTCGTTAGCAGTCCTTTTACCTGTATTTTTTATCAATAGGATTTAAATTGTTAGTTAAACAATATGTAATTGTCAATTTTTTTTCCCTTGTGAAAGAATGTTCAAATCTTTATTTGTAAACCTCAAGACTAAACACAAATACAGTAGTTGATGGTGTAGTTGGTTTTAAGTCATGAGTACATTGTTTTGTATGATTGGCTTGGAGAGTTTTTGTTGTTGTTGTTAAAACATTCCACCTTTACAAACTGACCTGTAGATAGTTTGTTGTTGTTTTATTTCCATAGCCAAGTTAAAAATAACCTTCATTATTCAAAAATATATAAAATATCTTTGCAGCTTTAAATTGTGATCTGGCAGTCTTTGAATATTAGCCATCTACTTTATAATTGATGCCCTTTGACGTATTTTCCTCTTTTTGACATGGTTTACTGATTTGGAAATTAAAAAAAATAAATATAATGACAACACCCTTATTTCATTGCTTGCCAGCTGTATGGATATCAATTACTGTTAATAACAGTTATCTCAGCTTCATATCTACAAATGTTGGAGGCAAAAACAGAAGACACTACATTTTCTGAATAACCTCGATACTATTCTGTGTAATAAAAGATTTTCCTGTCTTATATGAGAGAAAAGACTCAGTTTTCTTACTTATTCTTCACGTATAGTGCTTTTGTTATAGGACATAATTCTAATTGGGTTATCTCCCTTTTAGAGAGAATGAATATCAAATGGAAAATAAATCAATTGTAAAATATGTTTCATCACTAATTACAAATGCATTGCATGTGTGTCTAATTGGTCTGGTACTTAATTATTAAGATTAATCTTGTGTACAGCTTTTGTGTATATCTCTAATAGAGGTTTAAGACAACATACACAAATGATTTCTTTAACTCCTTTTCAAGATATTTGATTTAAATAACAAAACGGCAAAAAAAGCTGACTCGGACTTTTACCATATATATTTAGCATTGGCATTATTTGGGTCTTAAATCGTATTAAAAGAAATCTAGAATCTGCTTAAATTTTGGTAATGACCCTTTTATGAGCTATTGAAGTCTTCTATGAAAAGAAAAGTGGATGATATGGGGCAAAAGATTTTACCCTGTATCATAGGAAAGAACCAAAGGAGTACAAACATCTGACAAAAATTCCTAAACCTGACCCGACTACATCCTTAAAAACAAGATATGTTTTATTTTACTATGTACAGTAATCCAAAGAATTAATTTATATCATGCAGTTTTGTTCAATTAAATGTAAATTATTCATTTAAATTATTATTTATAATATTTATAACTTAATACAGACAAGTAATCTTGTATAAAAAAAACCCTCTTTAACCGATTTCTTAAATACTCATTGCTTTAACTAACATTTCTTCCATTAAAGGAAGGGAACATATAGATTTTAACAAATGTAATTTTTTGTGAGTTAAGTTTTCTGATTATTGATTGGATATGGTTAGAATAGAATCAAACTTCCTGATGGCAAGACGAGTTACTTCATTTACAAGCTCTCCTGGGACGTTTTACCTTTGCGTGTATGACATTTCTTTTTCACACCTGGTTTAACTTTCATGTATTTGAAGGGTTAAGTTTTTAACTTGGCTAGTATTTGTTATAGATGCCAACAGAATGACTTAATTAAATTGTTTTATCACATCTATATTTGTTGTTTTTAATACTCTATATATAAGGTTGGAATGAAACTGCCAAAATAACATTGATAAAAACTTAGACAGATGTGAACCTTATGCATTGCATTTGGTTGACTGCAGGCGACATAACAAACAAGAGATGCATTATGCAATTAGGTACTGATAATTGGAAAATTTGCTGGCTGAGTTTAGAAAATTGATACATTATGAGTAAAAACAGATGGTTGGACAAAGTGATCTAAACACATCATAGCTTCAGTAAGCAAAGGACAAAAATATGACATAAAGCTATGATTCTAGCCCTTCATCCTATGTGGAATTATTGAGATATGCTTTAGATATAAGTTTGTCTAATCTTAAAGTTACTGTAACTGATTAACTTTGCCAATAAAGTGAACTAAACATCAATCTATTTGTGTCAACAGTCCAGTGCATTATAGATAACACAAATTAATGTAGTCAATACTTTACAAGAGGCTCCTAAGAGCCTGAATGGCTTACCTGGAATTTTTTGTGTAGATCTTGCATCAATGAATATTTTGCTGTTAAATGTATATTAATGTGTGTCAAAACATGCCATTTAAAGTTTTTCTCTATCGTAATCATTTTTATCCCATGTCAGATTTGCTCTTTCTGCTTTAGTTTTTATTTTTTTTTTTTTTTTTAGATATAAGCGAAAAACTACATTTTACCCCTATGCTTGTGAACGGACCGGAATAAAAAAACACAAAACTTGATACTAGATACCATAAGGATTTGAATTTTGATTTTTGGTGTTTTAACGCCACTTTTAAGCACTGCTTTTGGACTATTTCGTGGCGGCCAGTTTTTATTGGCGAAGGAAGCCGGAGTGGCGGGAGAAAACCAACGACCTTCGATAGGAAAACTGACAATCGTAGTCAATTAAGATTGGAGTCAAATGCACCCGCACGAGCGGGGTTCAAACTCACAACCTCAGTGTTGACTGGCTAGTGATTACAGTAGTAACTACTTAGACCACTCGGCCAAGATACCATAAGGATCATTCACCCCAAGTTTGGTTGAAATTTGTACAGTAGTTTCAGAAGAGAAGATCTTTGAAAAGGTTTATGACAGCAACAGATGAGGACGACCCATGCCAAGTGATGGCAAAGCTCACATGGCCGTATGGGGCAGGTGAGCTAAAAAAAATAAAACTAAGATGGCATTTTTAAAACATTTATTAATCAATAATAGCTAATGCTTAGCATTACAGGTATATGAGATTTTGTAAACAATTATAAAGTTTGCCTTGTTGTCTAAATTGTTTAAAAAAAATGATGTTTTCATTAACACTGTTGAAGGTTAGAAAGACAGTTTTTGGTAGCTGACATTGACCACTTGATCCTTCAGATATCTCATGTGTAATGAGTGCAAATTAAATGTATCTGTCACTGGAATGTAAATCAGACCCTAATTCTAGTCTAAAGCTGGTACTACTCCCCATATGCATCCTTACAATAAGAAATATAATTGTAGGTCATTTGCATATGAAAAAATGGATTTGACACAAAACTTGAAAGTTTAAGTGACCCAATTTTTTATAGGACCCTGTTAACACTCCATGACATGCATCCTTACATAAAGGTAAACAATTGTAAGAACCTTTATATCTGAGAACTGGACATAAAAAAAAATTACACTTAGTTACTGCAGCAAGAGAGGCCCAAGTGACCTTATTTTGATAAGAACTTGTTAATTTACAATTTAAAAGGCAAATGAATTGCATTCTGGGTCTTATGACCTTCATCTTAAGTCCCATGGCAAGACTCTTCAAGATGCATACAAAATAGTATGGGTGTATGTCCATTCGAAAGAGAACTTCATGATGACAAAAATATAGATGTGATCACAGATCCCTTTGAAAGAAACTGGGGCACCTCATCCAAATTCAAAATAGAAGTTTCATGTCAATTTGCATTAGGATGTGGATTACCAGTTTAAAAGATATCTTACAAATCATTGGAGTACAATATAAAACCCAAATTAACACATTTCAATTGACATGTGCAGAAAACAACATGAAGTTTGCATTAAAATACATATACTATATTCAAATAAAACATTTAATAGTTTTTTCAATGCTGTGCACACATTTTACATACCAGAATAGAAAATAAAAAAAACTTTTTAAGTGAATAATAGTAATTTCTATGTTTTGTGCACTAGAAGACCAATCATGTATATCACAAATCATTTCTTATAGACTGATCTGAATTATCATTGTTTATATTTTAATAATCAAAATACAGTGGTTTAATAACATACAAAACCATAAATACATACATATATATAAATATAAATAAATTTTTTGAAAAAATATAACAAAGTAAAAAACACACAACAACTGAGACTTATGAAATCCCATAACAGATATTGACAAGTTCATTAACCATGGTAATCGGTTTGGGGGCAGTACTAATCTTTGTAAGAACCAGACAATTTCTATGAGTGAAATTGCCAAGATGACCTTTAAAACCTCTTGACCCGAGTTGCATGGACCATATTATAGCTTGCTTTATGGTATGGTTTTGCTCAAGGCCGTATGGTGACCTGTTAAAATCTTTGTCAGATGGTCTTTGGTGGATAGTTTCATCATTGGCAATCACCACATTTCATATACCAATTAAGCCTTAAGCAAGGTATATTTTCCTACAATAATTTACAGTAACTATCATTGAACTCCCTCACCTAGTTGCCCAATGCCAACAATGACAACCCTCTAAAACTTTTTGATAAAAATCAAGAATAGCCTCTGCATAACAGGTTTTTTTTTTGTATTATTGTAATATCAAGAATCCCAACAATATTTGTTCTAATTAGCCATGTTCAAGCAATGATAAAAATGTGATTTCCTATAGGGTTCAAAGCCAAAGCTTTGTGTCTTCATTGCCACCATCCTTGGTATTCATGAATGTTTTAAACCTCTGGAGTCAGTTTCACAAAAAACTTGCGACTAAGATTGTTCGTAAGTATACTGAATTGTACATGACTTACGATTAATCATAGATAAAAATAAAAACCGACTCCTGAAGTGTTTTTGAAAAAAAAATGTTTGAAGTGAGATTAATGATACTGTAATTTGAACACAATAAAGCTATTTTCAACAATAACAAATGCAAGTTTAATGTACAAACAAGTATTTTATTTTTTCTATTTGAATTTTTGAAATATCTTGTCCAGTTGAATAAATATTTTAAATTTTCTATTTTCTCATTTTCAAATCACATTTTGGTTGTTTGCATAAAAAAAAATCTTACATCAGAGAAATTCTGCCATTATGATGGCTATACAGATTATTGGCAGATCTAGCAATAAAACTTGGTAGTGGAAATGAAAACAACAGAAATCTTTTACTCAGATGTATAAAAATTAGTATACCAGGACATTAAAACATTGACATACAGTCTTCATTGCTGTAAATAAAATTTGTTTTTAACATCTATAAATTTCTACATGAGCAAATTGATTTTCTAGCACTTTTGATTTTCATATTATGCATTTTAAATTCCAAACAGGTTTGTTTTAAAGGTAAACAAAGGTAGTACAATGTACAATTCAAATGAGGGAATTCATTCCAAAAGTAAAAAATTCTGGTTGCTAGAGAAACCATCCAGAAACAATTGAAAAGATTTGTTTGCTTTAACAGAATAAAATTATAGATTAGCTATGGTTTTGAAAACCAGAGGGTGTTATTTGGCTACAATCTCATTGAAGGGCGATAGTCCCAAGATGAGATGTAGCCAAGAAGATTCCTCAAGTTGAACGACCAAAGATAATCTGTTTATCCCTATTTTCTTAGGCAACATCAATGACATTGGCTAAGACATCAGCATGTTCTCATTCTACAAGACTGAGAAAAAACATTCTCAGTACAGTCGCTTGAGATTTAAAATTATCACATATATAGATCAAAGCAATAGTAAAGAAAATAAGGAACAAACACAGATTTAAGTTTCTTCATCAAAGTCTTCTTTTGAGAAACCTTGAGAAGGCCATTTGATTCTTTGAAACAATTTACAATATCTGACAATAACACATGTTTAACTGAAGAAATTCAATTAAGTAGGTTTCACCTGTATCACAACATTTACAAAACCATTAAAAGTAATGCCCAACAAACTGACTTTTATTCCCCAGGTTTTTTAATGGGAAACTTCAAACACATGATTTGTTTTTACTCTTTTTAAGTGCCAGTCTTTGTAAGAATCAGGCAATTTTGAAAAAAATCAAAACATGCCCGGAAAAAACCCACCAACCTAACCATCCTATTTTGAAGTTACCCTCATCCTGAGTTAGATATGGTAGGTCTTTCGTTTCTGCGTGTCTGGTAATTCGAGAATTCTCTTGATAATTTTGGTTAGAATGATAGCAAATTACGGAGTAAGCTCCCCTTAATAGTTCAATTCTAGTGAATTTCAACCAAAATATATCTTGAATTACCTGAATACAAAACGGAAACGAATGTTATATTCCTGCACCATTATGCATTTTAAACATAAATTAATATCAACTTGAGTGGGTTTTTGTTTGTCATGTTTTCACCACTGCCTGATTCTTAGGCAGATTGGCATTTAAAACCATCAAAGCACTACTTGCCATACAGAAATCTGACTTACTATTTGGTCAGTCTAAAAGTATCTAAAGTTTATCTACCAGTATAGTTAACACATGTATTTAACTGGATATTTCCAATAACATCATGTTTTTGATGTTAACTCCTCAAATATTTTTATGAATTCTGTAATTCTATATATGCTGTCATAAAGCAGAAAAGGTATTTCTCTTGGTTTTTCATTGGAATAAGCATTCCTTTGTTGACTTTTCTAGGAAGAATTAACACAAATGTTTTTGATTAGATCAATATATTTATGAAATACATAACCTGTGAAATTGATTTTGAAAACAAATATAGTAAAGTTGACAGGAACATGATCAAACTATCAAATTCTGTAAACCAACTTATTTTCCTGGATATTTTTATCTCAACTAGCTCTTTCTAGATAATTTCACTGTGACTTAGTTTGGAGATTTCAAAATTTTAAATCATGTATATTTTCTACTTCCTAAAAAGGAGAAAAATAATCACTCACAAAAATGAGTTTGATCACGGTATACACTTGACCTATTACTCAAAGAATTGAGAAACAGAACCCTGAAAAGAGGGATAGGTGACCCCAGTTATACTGACTTGTAAAATTTTCAATTTTTATAGTCCAAATATTTCTGATTTTGTTCCTAAAACAATGTTTTAACTGAACTAAGCACTAAACTTAACTTTGTTCAATTAACCATGAAAACAGAGAAAAAAACTGACAATTGCCAGATAGACACTTCAGATCATAGGCCATCTATATAAAAAAAAAACTCTCTGGCATTTCTTAAATATTCAGCTTTGTACATAGAATTAATGTTGTCCAAGCCCCACATGTATTTATTTAATGACATTTGTGATCATGGTGATAGGCAAGACAAAATTCTATGAAAAACAACAAACACTACAAAATATATTTTTAACATAATACAATACAATCAACTTCTCCATAAATGGTAACAGTCCTGGGCTCTCAGTCATAAAACTATACTCAGTTCTTGTAGTACAAAATGTTAGCTTTAAACGCCAAATCCAGTATTTGGATTGGTAGATTTCTGAGTACGATAAACATACTTGAAGTTTTATGACCATAAGCCCTGATTATACAAATGTCTTCTCTCTTTGGAACAAAAAGTTGTGTCTAAAACATTAATGTTTAGTTGTCAATTATAAACTGCTGTAATATAACTGATGTAATGACACTAAAGATAGCCATGTTTTATTCAAAATAAAATTAGTTTTTCATAAAAGGATGAAGGATCACTTATATGAATGTGATGGTAGCCTTATACAATTAATAATACTATTTTATATGATTAAATATTTTTTTAATATCTACAAACGTGTCTTAAATAACTTAACTATGTAAAGTATTGTTCTTAAATATATTGCACTCTTTCAATATGTATGTATAATGCTAAAATCTACCAACAGAAATTAGCTAAAACAATTTTACAATTTCAAAGGTCTTTTTTTTTGGAAAATATTTCAAATGATACCAATAAAATGATGGAATTTGCTAGCTGAAAGATTACTGTTTATGTAAGGCTTTAAATTTTTTTTTTGGAAATTGAGGCTTTTTTTTTGCTATAGATGGTTCACATATCAAAATTATTTATACAATTGGTCTAAAACAAAGGACACGAATTTAGACAAGGCAGCAGGCATATACTCTAGTTAACTAATTATCTGAATATATGTATTCATAAGATCGGTCATACAAGTTTAAACCTTTATCTTTACACATTTAATGGTGGCTGCATGTGTTAATGTATCTTTTACATAAATAATAGCCTTTGGTAAAGTCCTGAGATCAAAACTGTATGTTTGTATAAGTTAAATAAACATTAGTATGAAGATATTAAGATCTGTTTTCTCTTTAAAGTAGCATTCAGTTATGTAACCTACATTTATATAATCTTTTTAATAAAAATTTGGAGTTATTGTTTTGAGCAATGAATAAGCCAAATTTGAATGTTTCTGACAAATTGCATGGAAAAAAACCATACTTTAAATATTGAATTGCAAATGTTTGTATCAACAAATCTTCTTCAACTCATTAGAATTGAACAGTCAATCATATATATATAATTAAGTGTATGTCTAGTGTTCCTATTTGTTTTGATAATGATAGGAATATATATGTTACTTAAGTTATTAACTAATGAAACCACATAAGTAATTTTCAGATTTGAACGCAATAACTGAAAAGGCTATACATCAGGCAATATTTGATACTAAAACACTTTTATTGCTTGCCTTAATATTAAATTATTTGTAATAATTAAAAGAAAACAAAGATACAGATTTACATAACATTATACCATTTAACTGATGGTGCAATTTCCCGCAAAATCTTACAACAAGACAAAGTAAAATTCTGAAAAAAATATTGTGAAGAGCTTTTGAACATAAAACAAGATTGACTTTTCAATCAGAAATATATGTAATACATTTGCATGACTATTTTATATACTTCCACATGGGGACTATTTATATCAATAAGTAATCTCATTGCCAACGGTCAATTTAGAAGAAATATGAATTATGATTAATTCAAACATTCTCTCCAAGAGGTCCAGGCACATTAATCTGTAATCTCATTGGCTGTCCATGTCCTAAATCTCCAAGAATGTTATCATCTATGAGAGAATCCTATAAAATATACAAGATCTGAATGTGATATGGTATTAAATAATCAGATTAAAATAATGATCAACAGTAAATGAATTTTACGAGAAAGCATACAAAAAAGTTTAACAATAACATATGGCAATTGGATTACCACTGAAAAAATAGTGACCTTTCTTCATTTCTATTTTTATGAAGGTTAATCAATTAAATAAACTAAATATGTAAAGCTTGTGATATAATTTGTAAGATAAGGGCTATTCATAATCATGTAAACAGCTGTACAAGTGCAGATAATAAGATTTTACTGTAGTTAAAGTGAAAGCTAATCAACATTTTCTAAGATATGTTTCTGCTCGATAGAAAATGCAGTTCTTTGGACTACTTCATAAATATTCAATTAGATGCTGCGTTTAACAAAGTCAATCTACTTTTCCAAATATCATTTAGAAAGCCTAAAAAATCAAATTTTTCAGGTTTTACAGGTCTATTAAAGGGCACAATTCTTAAATTTATTTCATGGTCAATTATATAATGCACAAGTTTTATGAAAAAAATTTCTTAATTAGAATTTAGGATTTCCTCTGGTAGCCATGTTTTTTTTCTTGGCAGATTGAAACAGAAAAGCTATATCTTTATAAAAGATTACCTATAAACCCTCCTCCCATACATTACTTCTATCAAGTTTTGTGTGAATCACATGTGTAGAAACAGATGAAGTTATGTTTACTCATAGGGTCAAATATGAATATTGAAGGCATCATTGCTGCCTTGTTTGTCACCCAAACAACATGAAGATCCTTATCATCATTCCTATAGTAATTCAAAAGGTATGGCCTCATAGATTCAAAGAAAAACAAAAATAAAATTGGTCGTATAGATTCAGTACGGACATGATTTTATTATGCATTTGCAAAATATGGAACTTTAATAAAGGATTTCACATACATAATTTCTGTCAAGTTTGTTTCACACAGATCCATTATAGTTTCAATGAGAAGATCAAAATTTTCAAAATTAATAGACATCTACAGATGATGGATTCTAAGTGATGGTAATAGCTCAAATGGACTGTATGGTCAGGTGAGCTAAATTCAGCATATCAATAGAGTGAAACAGAATTATAATGAAATTTGTTTAGAATCCATCAAATATAACTCTCATAAGAAAGTAAATGTTAATCGCACTATTTGTGCATAACCCGTGCAATTAAGCAGAATATCAAGATGTCCTACTAGTATTCAAATCTAATTCTCAAGCAAATCCAATAAAATAACTGTTAATAAGACAAATCCTGCAAGTACATTTGCTTTTATATACCCATTGTAAGCAGTGACCTCTATGAAATAAAGTCTTTGAAGGTGTACTGAGATTTTGTTATTTTATAGTGTCCTGTATACAATATAACTTTTAATGTCATAGAAGACCACATGATGAAGAGACATAGAAAACAATAAGTGAAAATATATCAAACCACAAAAAACGTCACATTTCATAGATATCACTGTCTACATAGTATGTTAACAAATCAAAACAAAAACAAAACAAAAACCTTTACCTAGAAGTACTGGTTTCTTATTCAACCTTGGGGATAAAATACATAATTTCTTGTCAAATATCATCAAATAACATAACCATTAGTTTATCAAAGACATGTTGGGCAAAGTTCAAATTGAAAACTCATCACTTAACGTGTAGGTTAGCTGTTTTTTTGTTGTTTTTTTTAAACAGAACTTAAACATCAATTGTTGAGTTTACCTGCTATAAACTGGGCAGTCTTAAATCTAGAGCTAATTATTTTTAAACACTTGCAAAATCAGCTCTATTATTATGATTATACAGAAAAAGTGGTTATCTAAAATACTGTCTATTAGTTGTGTACTTTCAACAAAAAAGATGCAAAGTGGAAAAGCATCATACTGATTTCAGTGAAAATAGGATCCTGAACATCCTGATGTTAGTGGTCAAAAAGAATTATAACTTTGGAATACATTTTGTGTACTTACTTTTAATATATCATTTTCCAATCTGCAAAGTTTAAGCTACCATCATAGTGTTTATCACTGCTTAACAAAGTTATATGATCAGCTCACCATTGATTTTTTTACAACTTTTTTATACCTGTTCGATATGCAGCTTGAGGTATAGGCAACTGTCCATTGGTGAAGACGTATGACCTTGTTTTGTCTTCAGATATATTTTATATTTTCTGTGTGGTAGGATTGTTGTCTCGGTGACGTATACTCAATATAATTTGAAGTTAACTATAGAGTTACCTGTGCACACATGGGTTGGAAAGACACTTTAAATGTATATTTTACAAATACATCCGAGTCGTTCTTAAATTTACTCATTCCCCTCTAATGCTGATGATAGATTAGTCTTGAATGTCCAGTGGCAAATATTAAATGCATATAAGGACATGAATATGGTAATACGATATTAATATGAACCCTGCTTTGCACTTAACAGACTCACTGAGCTGGATTTTAAATGTTTTAGTTATAAGGTAAGTGTCCGCAAGAAGATAGGTCAACCTACCCAGACTCATTATTCTGACTTGGTGATGACCAATCTTTGATCTTAATCACAAATGCCATGTTCTTATAAGAGAACCAGAAAATACCAATTTTCTAGTCTTTGGTTGACCAGACAAGGGATCAATGGGAAGATCTCTGCTACATGAGGCACTACCACTAGACCATTTAGGTGGTCATAAAGCTTTAAATAAAATACCTAGCAGCTATTCTAACATATAGTAGTATTCTGGGCAATTTGCTCAAATACATTTATAATAGCACATCAGTTTTTCCTAATGTGTAAACCTACCCTCTGATGACAGGTTCAAAATGTAATACATTAATAAGAAATTATCAAAAAAAAATTGTATGATATACCTTTTCCAAGCTACATATGTGTGATTATATCACAGGTATAGGTAAGTATGATCAGAAAGATATTCATATGATGAAAGTACGTACTACACAATTATATTCCCAGCATGCATTTCAGAACAACATAATTGAGAAAAAGACAAGCTGAGAGAGTTATATTAAACAATAGAGTAAACACACACTACATTGTCACTTCTACATCATAACTTTTTGTCATTATACTATATTATTATAAGAATGAGAATAGCATGTCATGTAGATTTGATTTGAAAATACTGATCAAAGTTCATAAAGGTTTCCATACATCTAAAAATATTGCTTTAGCCAACTTATACAAGATAATGCCACATCTATTGTTTTTTTTTTTGTATCTTTTTTGACAATATTAAATTATTTGATATGTTTTTAAATTTTATTCCTTTCTATTGATTAAAAGTAAGTTATGAAAAGCAACTAACTTTTTACTGCTGCAATATGTGAATAAAGAATTTAAGCAATAGTTTTTCCCCATACCTGTTTTTTTTTTTTTATTTAACTTTAAAATCCTTAACAGAAGTCAAAATTACACTATTTTAACAAGGAACTTCATCACTAAACATGATGCATCAACTAATAAAGGATCATTGGTCAATGATTTGTAGTACTGCTAAGCACTCACTGTAGTACTGCCCAGATCTAGATCTTAATACTTTACAAAAGCTGTTCGTGCTAAAATTTAAGTTACAGTCACCTTATTGTAAAGTGGACCCTTGTCATTAAACAGGATGCATTAATTGACATGGGATCAATCCTCCATTATTTTTAGTTGCATAAATCAGATAAACCTTTATGCAAAACTGAACCCGGTCCGGTGACCTAATGAACTAAAGGACAAATAAACAGACAACATGTTACATTATTTCTCAACTCTGTTTTGCCAGGGGATAACTTCTTTAAAGTGCAATAAACTCTGGAGCTGAGATCAAGGTCAAACAAAGCTTATTAGTTGCAAATGTGTATTCAGATGTAACTTATTCATTTACAAAATATAACAAAATTGTTTTGTTGAGGTATTGTAAACATAAGAAGCAGACCTTGATTTGAAAACTTAAAACTGACTACTAAAGCAAGAAAATAAGTCAAAAGCAATATGAACTTGTAAGCAATCAACACAACAAATACCATTAACCAATCATGTATAGTTACTGATGAAGTTCTAGAACAGACCTTACTCTGCAATGTTAACCTCACTATTGGAGCCTAAAAATGAGGTCACAGCTGTGTGACATACTTCATTACTGACATATAATGCTATACAAACTCACCTACGAAATATTGTTGACCCCATTATTTATGATTACTAAGGAACAGACCTCAGCCTGAAAACTTCATCTGACCAATGGAGGTTGGAAATGAGGTAAGGTTATATGTCATTGGTCAAACAAACATGTACTCCTGGCACTCCCATCCAAACTAGAGCATTAGTTGCTATGTAGGATGATTAACACAACCAACTACTACTAAAAACTCTTGGCAAACAATCCATCTACTAAATATTTGTTGACCTGTCAAGTTAATTTACTGAAGAACAGCTTAACCTAACCATTTATGGCATTAATACTTCTGAAAATTAGGTCAAGGCCATATGAAAGATTCCAGACTATGACTGGCTGACAAGTTCTCATTATGAACAACCACATTACACATCTATTTTATCCTAAGTGAAAGTAGGGAAAAGATATTGAGATAATTCTAAAATCTTTATAATTTCCAGAAAAGTCGTATCCTAACCATCCTGCACTGTATCACAAACATATGTATATTTGTCATTATCTTACTTAATTCAGCTTAATAATGACAGGTCTCGGAATTTTTCAATTTCAGTAGGCCCAGGGAAATTCAGGAAGAAAAATCAAATAAAAGTTATGCCCTTGAAGTATTTTAGAATTAAATACTAAAAATTCTTATAAAAAAAAAGAGAAATTAAAACATTTCCAGATAAAATAGTTTAAATCAACTTTTTCTCAGCATTTTTTAAAAAGATCCAGCAGAAAATCAATTAATGCCTTTAAAATCTTTTCAGTTTACAATTTATGCTTTATACAGAACACAAGATTTCCCATGAACATTAAAAGAAGTAGAAAATATGAATCAATATTGGTACCTATTATTTTCAGACACTGATTTAGAAAAATACTTGACAAAAATAATTCAGCAAAATTTAGATAACAAAAAATCCATCAGATGTGACATGCAAATTAATAATATCTATTATAAATAGGCATTATGGAAGCAGAAGTGACAGATTTGATAAATGGCCAATCAAAAGTTGCCTTACTTGACAGATCTGGTGGTCAAAGGTCAGGGTGTCAAAGGTACATCATCACTTGACATAGAATTATGGGAAGGAAATACACCCTGGGATAGACCATTCAAGTCTGCCTTGACCTCAATAAAAAAAGAAAAACAGAAATACAGAAAAAAAACAAAAACAAAAACAAAAATAAACACATGGTAAAAGAACATAAAGCAAAGCTATATAAATCAGATATAGTTACTATAAAAAAAGAACAGCCATTATGCACACTTACTGTAATAATTCCCATCATAAAACAAAGTAAAACCAAACATATATAAGTGTGTCAAAGTACTCAATAACAACAAAATAAGTATATATTGCTTGTTTGTTTCATCTTTTGTTACATAACCAAATTATTGATCTAAGTCTATTAAACTAAATTGCAAAGGTGAAAAATTATTTTTGCCATCAGAATTTAAAAAAATGAAATTTGCTGTTCGAGAAGCTGTAAGTAAAAAAGTATTTATTGAGGACTCATTGAAGATGAACACAGTCTTTGACAACAATCTACATGTGTAATTTTCAAGTTATATTGAAAATAAGATCCTAATTATAGAATGTAAAAACCTAAACTACAAACAAGAAGCTGTCAAAATGACACCAAACCAGGTTTAAATACATTGTTAGTGTCAATGTTAAAGTTATGCAGGGACATAACTGCTAACAGCAAATGTGAAAATCTTCAATGTAGAACTTGAACTCAATTTTGTCATTAGGAACACCATATTAAAATTTGAAGAGATTCGATTGTTCATAAGGTATTGCAGGTATTGCAGAAAACAACATAAAGTGCCATTTTCAAATCAATTAAATAACTCCCAAAAAGCAAAAGTGAAAATTGCAAATAGCGAACTTGACCTCCATTTTGTCATCAGTAACAACATATTTTAGATAGAAAAGCTTTGAATGAATGGTTAATAATCATTTGCACGGAAACATCTGGAACCGCCCTCCCATCCACTGTACAAACCTAAATCAATATCCAGATCGCCATCAGAAAACCCAGTTAAAAATCAAAATGCTCATATTTATATCAGTTCCACTTTTTAACCTTTTTCTGTGTAACTGTTTTTAATGGATTTCAGAACAATCGCATTCAGGCAGAAACTAAAATAATTTAAAGCAAAATGCACAAAAATCATATAATATTAAGAAAAAATGAGAAGAATAAATAGATAAGTTAGATATACCTCTGTAATATCATTTTTGTCAGCATCTTGTGTGGCACCATGTGACACTGTACTAATACTTTCTCCTATAGAAAGTTCTCGATGGTCTATAATCATATCTGTATCAGAATCTGCATCTATGTGTACGTGTGGCTGTCAAATATAAACAAAGTCATATCCCTGATCCCCATCATAGTACAAATATAACCTTAAAAGTCATAACTTTGCTCCCAATAATATCGCAAATATGACAAAGGATAATTTTGTAATTCAGGGAACCTAAAACATCAATGGGCTAAGTTTAAGATATGAATAAAAAATCAAAAATAAATATTAAGAACCAATTGTTTGTTCAGAGAACAATTGAAGGTCTTTCCACATTAAATTTCTAAATAATTGATAAGAAGCTACTTCTGGTCTACTCAAAGTTCCTATTTGAGTCCAATCATAGGTTTCTTCATACTGATTCAAAAAATATATGGTTTCTATATACTTTTGTATGAAATAAGGGAGGTCATTTGCTACTTCCAGTTTAGAAAATGTCACTTCCTGCCTTATATGATAGCTTTATTCACACTGATTTCAAAATTATATGTTTCTTTATACTTTTGCCTTCAATATGGGAGATAATTTGCTACTTCCGGTTTAGAAAATGTCACTTCCAGTCTCATATGATAGCTTTCTTTGCACTGATTCCAAAAATATATGGTTTCTTTGTATTTTCACTTGATAAATAAGGGAGATAATCAGCCACTTCCTGTTTACCAATGGTCACATCGGGTGCTATAAGATAGCTTACTTTACATTGATTCCGAAAATATATGGTTTCTATATACTTTTCTTTCAAAAAATTGGAGATAATAGGCTACTTCCGGTTTACAAAAGGTGACTTCCGGTGTCATGTAAAGGTAGCTGTATGCTGATTCTAAAAATATATAGTTTCTAAGTATTTTTCTCTTGCATCATTGCAAAAATAGCACTTCTACTTTGAACAAGGTCACTTCCAGTTAAAATTTTCCAAGGTCATATGTAACCCAATCTTTTTCAAAAGACCCTATGACTTTATTATGCACCAGTATGAAATAATAAGTAATTAAACTAAAATTTTCCAATTTCAGGGGCAATAACTCCTAGAAGATGTCATCAGATTGCTTGACCGAATATACCATTTCTTCCTATCAATAACCCTAACATTTTGCATCAGTTCTTTTGTATATATACCTTTTATAGTTAGACAGGTGATGCACACACAAGCAAAGGGCAAAATTTAGAACATGACCTTGACACCACTTTCTTTTTGGTGGACCAAGGACCTCTAATCAAGATAACCTAGGTCTCTATCACTCACGGTTTATCAGTTACATTTATGCATCACTTATGTCAAATACAAAAGGGAAAATAACTTTCATATTGAGTCTCAGTATCGCTTTGGTTAAAATTGACTGAAGCATCCTAAGGATGTAACAAGTAATTTGGAAAAATAAATTTTCTTTTACGGTTCAGAAGGAGATGCGCGCACAAGAAAAACAGTGTTTGGGGATATAACTCTTACAATAAAAAGTGTTTGGTTATACAGGGTCAGTTTCAAAAGCGCAATAACTGTTTGATATCATATGCAAAAAATCTAAGCAACATCTTGCGAAAAATGTTTGATCGGCACAGCTTTTCGAACTTGTCAGAGACATTGCTTATATAAACCTTTGATATAAATTTGATAAAAATTCTGGCAAGAATTGTACATGAGAGTGCTAACAATGAAATTTTCCATATAATTAATATTTCTAAAGGGCATAACTCTTTTAAAAATAGTTGATTGGCACTGATTTTCAAATCTGTCTGAGACCTATGATATAAGTTTTATAAAAATCTGGCATGAATTGTACAAGTGAGAGTGCTAAAAAGATCAGGCGGACAGACAGATGGACAGACGGACAGTCACCTGGTACTTCTATGTCCCCCACAACACGTTGAGAAGAGAATGTAATACAATGGCATATTCTGTGCAAGCTTTTGTAAATCCAATCACCTGCTTAGAGTGAGTTCAAGATTCAAGATGACAACTCTTTTTGAGGATATGATCCATGTTTTTCAAGATTTAACAATAAACCAGGGCTATCTTTGATCTATAATTGGGTATCTAACAGAATTTGTTTCTCTATGTACATATGATAAGATTGTATAATAAAATATGTGATAAGAATTACTTCTAAGACTCTATGTAACTTTAAATCAGGTTTTATTTCAAACTCACAACATAAATATCTTTCATGATGCATTCTGGTTAATATGTTTCATGTTGACAATACATAAATCCATAGAAGATAGACTCAGTTCTTATCAAAAGCATTTTACTTTCATGTTTGCTTGGCCGTTAAACTGAAACCAAAATTTGCATACTTTGTTATCCTAAGCATAAATTAGTCTGTTTGTTATTTCGTTTGAATTGTTATACATTTGTCATTTTTAAGACTTTTAAAGCTTGCTTTGTGGTATGAGTTTTGCTCATTGTTGAAGGTGGTATGGTGACCTATAGTTGTTGACTTCGTCATTTGGTCCCTGGTGGAGAGTTGTCTCACTGGCAATTATACTTCATCTTCTTATTCTTATATACACAGACTTATGTATGTCTTTGATCTCCACACCGCATTGCACAGGGGACAATAATTGGTTTTAACTTACATTTGTCATTTGTTCTTCTGTGGTGAGAATTCTGGACAATGGCATACAACATGGATGCAATGTCTCCATCAAATTAGGAGTACTATTTGTTAACAGTGGCTTCATAAATCTGTAAAATAATAAATATATCATGGTAAGATATCCTAATCAATTAGTAGTTTTACCAAAAACCTTTATTCAAAATTTAAAAAGAGAAATAAATTAAAGAACCTTAGTGAGCGTGCTCACATACCCCACGTCCCCACATTGTCATTGTCTGTTGTATGGTTTGAGAGGAGTTGCGATGACAAAAGGTTGCAGTAGTATATTGGGCAAATAAGTTCAAAGGGGCGTAACTCCTGGAAAAAAAAAATGAATCGTAATTTCCTGTCGATATGCACATCTATGTAGTATGTCCTTATTATCTGAAAAGGTTTCATGAAATTCTGTTGTGTGGTTTGAGAGGAGTTGCGATGACAAAAGGTTGCAGTAGTACATTATAGTAAATAAGTTCAAAGGGGCGTAACTCCTAGAAAAAAAATTGAATCGTAATTTCCTGTCGATATGCACAACTACATAGTATGTCCTTATTATCTAAAAAGGTTTCGTGAAATTCTGTTGTGTGGTTTGAGAGGAGTTGCGATGACAAGAAATAGGACTGACGGACTGACGGACGGACAGACGAACGGGTCAAAAACATTATACCCTCCGCAACTCGTTGCGTGGGGTATAATAATGTCAACCTTAGTACTTTATTTGTTTCTTTTTTCCCTTAGAAATAAATCCATTATCCTTTTAAACTAGATGTGAATCTATATCTGCGAGATAGATAAATCAGTCAATTAAGGAATACTAGTAACAAATTTGTAGTTGAGGAGTTGCTGATGTCAATTGGGGATTTGAAGGTCCCAAATGGATTTTTGCAACTGTCAAACCCCCAATTGATGGCGGCAATTCTCCAACAACTGTAATGATATTCCTATTTTATTGCATTACAAAAAAAAATAATACATTAGAACTTGAGATCAAAGCATGAAAGTCTTGGAAAAGACATTTGCCCTATAATAAACAATTCTCATGTGTTTACATGTCCCCCACCACCTTTTTAAAAGATTTTTTAGTTTAAAAGGAATTCAGGCTTTTACAAGTAGGAATGATCAATTATGGGGAGGGACTGAGTTAGTCAGGTTTACTTGAGCCTTTGGGCCATGTCAGCTAATTTTTTAATTGATCTCTATGAGTATATGTGAAATAACATATATTTGGAAATAGTCAGATCACATTTTGCAGTCAAAAGTAAATAAATTTTTACAATACTTACTTTATATCAAAATTATGCCACAATGACACAAGCCATGCTTTGTCATATTTTTTCTTTGGTGGAGTTTGCTCCACTTGTTCTGCATTTCTCTGTACAAAATTACAAAAATCTAATCAGAAAGAACACACATCTATGTCTATATAAGAAATGAAGGTTTTCCCAATGCTCAACATTTATTCATATTCAAAAGAGCTATGTCATCATCATGATCAAGATTTCAATGATCTTTGGAAATCAATATATCTTTATGATATCGAAATTAAACAACATCTAAATAATTATATTATTTTATTAAAAAAAGTCTATAAGATCAAGATCATACTACATGTACCAGTTATCATTGAGGGTGGACATCATTGCAATCATAACACAGACTAAAAGTAAGGAGTTCTTTGACATTAAGGTCAAAGTCAGGTGACCCCTGTCAGTTAGATTTATAATGATGTTATATTGCATAGTGACTTGAAGTAACTGAAAAATTTACCTAAGCAAGAGAATTAATCACTAAACAATGAAATATAAAGATGATAGAGGTCAAGTATACCTTATAATGATGCTATAGATTTAATATAATGACAGACAGACATGTATGCCTTGCACTCATCCTTAAGACCATATTTAGTTGACCTATTATCAACTGAACTGGTCTTATTACATGTATTAGGAAAACTTATTTAATGTATTTAATGGGATTGAACCATGAGAAAGATAAGGACAAGCTTGGTATGTCAAGATTGAAATGGTTAAGAATGCTAGTACAATTGGATAAGCAAACAAAAGTCTCTTCTTAAGCTAAATTCATCGCTTGAGAGTGGAAATGTTTACAAACAACAATGATAAAATCTTATGTATAAAATAAAATATTAACTGAAATACACTATTGTAATATTTTAATGTTTTGTAAATATTGACCTCTGGTTAAGTTGGATTTATATAACAAATGGCTAGTTTTATTATCTGTTAAATTTGAACTGTCAGATCGATGTAATTAAGACATGTTACAATGTCTTGGGGTGAAGGGTAATAAAATTTAGTTATGCCTATTTGTTTTGTCTATACTAGAATGAAAGTAATTAAACTTTCTGATAAAGGTCAGTTGGTCAAGATACTGGCAGATTGTGTATCAGCTGTGATACTGTAAGGATGTGATTTTTCCTTGAAGTCTTGAATCGGTAAAGATTCTGGAGGACTTGTATTTAAAGTTTATATGTTTAAACTTTGTAAGCTACCTTTGTCAATAAGTCTGAAGTAATGTACATTTGTGAATAAACTTGTAAATAGATATCGTATTATTTAATTTATGGAATTAACCACAGGATACATTGTAGTGCCATAGTATAGTTATGACTGTCCATCTGTTGTTCCTCCCCTCGGTCACGTTACACTATTGTTAAAATGTTATTTTTTATAGTTATACAATTATATAATTAAAACCTAACTTCTAACCAAATAAAGCAGACAACTTCTATACCCACCACCTATAGAAGAAAAGCTATGCAGTATGTAATTAAAACATAAATCATTCTCTCAATTTACCCACATCTTCATAAAATTAAACAAATTACTATAAATTAACACAATATTAAAGATTTCAGAAATTCTAAAATCTGCAAATTTCTTAAAAAGGAAAAAGAAAAGAGTAACATAAAACAAACTAAGCACTTTACTATACTATAAATACAGAAGAATATATTCATTATCCATGCAAACATTCTCATAGTTGTTATATCTTGCAAACTCAGCCAATTTTTACTGGTATGTTATGGCTCAAATCTGAAGGTCAGTGTTAGTAGAACAATTTCAAACTTTATTTCACAAGTAGGTTTAAGTTGATGTGGAATTTTTATAGAATCAATTAAGATTTTAAAGGATTGAGTTTTCTATACTTTTCTAGTTCCTTGTATAGACATCTCGAAAATGAATGGACTGGGGATATCATACTAAAAGTTAAGACATAGATGTGCTCTATCATGCAACTGGCAAATCTATATAAATGTTTCAATAGCTTTTTAATGAGAACTCCTTATTGTGGAACTGATCACAGAGAACTCAGATAATGTTTCCTAATACTATGACTATAAAAATAAGGAGATGTGGTATGATTGCCAATGAGACAGCTATCCACCAAAGTTCCAAAGAATTCAACCAGTGATTCAACAATTCTTATAAAAATTTACATTCCTTTTTTGACACCAAATCTTTTTTTATCTGTATGGTACTCCATGCATGACAATCTTTGCAGAAGTTGGCCGGAACATTCATTATCATTAAGCCACCTAAATATGAAACTTTTCAAAAGATTAAGAAATCTTTTAAGATAGTATCTGTAATAAGTACAGAATTGAAAGTAGAAGTGTTATGAAAATGAAAGCTGTGTTAATGAAGTGCAAACAGTGGATGATTAAAATGATTGGAATCTTGCTCTAATGTCTGCTTGTTGGAGACTACCAAAAGCAGCCTGTATGTAGCAAAGGTCTAGAAAAAGGCAATTTGTTTGATGATTTCAAAATTTCTAAAATGAATTATTGCTTTCATATTGATTATATATGACACATTTTTCTATATATTTTTGTTGTATAAACAATTGTTTTTATCATTATAATGAAATGTATGAAGAGAAAACAGAAAATGTTTTGTTCATAGACTCAGTGAATCATAATAATGAATTGGTGATAAGTATCACAGATGTTACATTTTCATTCATTTTGATCTAACTAAATTTAGCAAATAAGCATAAAAAAAACAAATGAAAATAGCAAATAACAAAATCAAATAATTAAAACATAAAAATACCATTCCAAGAATTTTTAAAACTGACCATCAACACAGACTGTTGTCTCACCTGCATTTGTTAAATCCAAAAGAAAGAGTAGGCCAATACCGGTATCTTCACTCCAGTAATAGTCACTGTCCAGAGTTAACTCATAAAACACATTATATTTTCAGGCTCATAGCAATGATGGTTCTGTAGGGATTACTGAGGTCACAAGGACTAGGAGAGGGAGGGTAAGGACAAACCCTGTAACCCCCCTGATGGGATCAGTGGATACCTTTAACAGACTACTGTTAGGACACAATGCATATGTTGTGGGGTCGAAAGTAAGGACACACCCTGTAACCCCCTGATGGGATCAGTGGATACCTTTAACAGACTACTGTTAGGACACAATGCATATGTTGTGGGGTCGAAGGTAAGGACACACCCTGTAACCCCCTGATGGGATCAGTGGATACCTTTAACAGACTACTGTTAGGACACAATGCATATGTTGTGGGGTCGAAGGTAAGGACAAACCCTGTAACCCCCTGATGGGATCAGTGGATACCTTTAACAGACTACTGTTAGGACACAATGCATATGTTGTGGGGTCGAAGGTAAGGACAAACCCTGTAACCCCCTGATGGGATCAGTGGATACCTTTAACAGACTACTGTTAGGACACAATGCATATGTTGTGGTGTAGAAGGTAAGGACACACCCTGTAACCCCCTGATGGCATCAGTGGATACCTTTAACAGACTACTGTTAGGACACAATGCATATGTTGTGGTGTAGAAGGTAAGGACACACCCTGTAACCCCCTGATGGCATCAGTGGATACCTTTAACAGACTACTGTTAGGACACAAGCATATGTTGTGGTGTAGAAGGTAAGGACACACCCTGTAACCCCCTGATGGGATCAGTGGATACCTTTAACAGACTACTGTTAGGACACAATGCATATGTTGTGGGGTCGAAGGTAAGGACACACCCTGTAACCCCCTGATGGGATCAGTGGATACCTTTAACAGACTACTGTTAGGACACAATGCATATGTTGTGGGGTCGAAGGTAAGGACAAACCCTGTAACCCCCTGATGGGATCAGTGGATACCTTTAACAGACTACTGTTAGGACACAATGCATATGTTGTGGGGTCGAAGGTAAGGACAAACCCTGTAACCCCCTGATGGGATCAGTGGATACCTTTAACAGACTACTGTTAGGACACAATGCATATGTTGTGGTGTAGAAGGTAAGGACACACCCTGTAACCCCCTGATGGCATCAGTGGATACCTTTAACAGACTACTGTTAGGACACAATGCATATGTTGTGGTGTAGAAGGTAAGGACACACCCTGTAACCCCCTGATGGCATCAGTGGATACCTTTAACAGACTACTGTTAGGACACAATGCATATGTTGTGGGGTCGAAGGTAAGGACACACCCTGTAACCCCCTGATGGCATCAGTGGATACCTTTAACAGACTACTGTTAGGACACAATGCATATGTTGTGGGGTCGAAGGTAAGGACAAACCCTGTAACCCCCTGATGGGATCAGTGGATACCTTTAACAGACTACTGTTAGGACACAATGCATATGTTGTGGGGTCGAAGGTAAGGACAAACCCTGTAACCCCCTGATGGGATCAGTGGATACCTTTAACAGACTACTGTTAGGACACAAGCATATGTTGTGGTGTAGAAGGTAAGGACACACCCTGTAACCCCCTGATGGGATCAGTGGATACCTTTAACAGACTACTGTTAGGACACAATGCAAATGTTGTGGGGTCGAAGGTAAGGACACACCCTGTAACCCCCTGATGGCATCAGTGGATACCTTTAACAGACTACTGTTAGGACACAATGCATATGTTGTGGGGTCGAAGGTAAGGACAAACCCTGTAACCCCCCTGATGGGATCAGTGGATACATTTAACAGACTACTGTTAGGACACAATGCATATGTTGTGGGGTAGAAGGTAAGGACAAACCCTGTAAACACTTCCCCCCCCCCTATGTTATTGGAGTGGGATCAGTGGATACCTTTTACAGACTACTGTTAGGACACAATGCAAAATTTGTTGGGGGAAGGGTAAGGGGTAAGGACAAACCCTGTACCTTCCTTCTTGACTACCAGTGTGTTATTGGAATGGGACCAGTGGACACCTTTTACATTTTACAGACTACTGTTAGGACACAATGCAAAGGCGTTGTGGGAGGGGGTAAGGAAAAAATCCAGGACCCAAGACCCCCCCCCCCCCACCCAGTGTATTATTGGAATGGGATCAGTGGATGCCTTTTACAGTCTTCTGTTAGGACCAGGAAATGTAACAAAAATGCACATGTTGTCGTGCTAAGCATACACCTACTCAAGGATCCTATATTAGGAACATTCATTTAAAGTTTGGTAACATTTGGCTCAGTAGTTTCAGAGGAGTCGGACAATGGTTTATCATTGTGTTGATACTATCACTGCCTGAAAAGTATTACCAATGTCTGGCAGCCAAAGACAAAATTATAATTCAAATTAATCACTAGCAAGCACAAAAGCATAATGATCATGAATACCTCTATTAATGGAGAGCCAGCACTAGAACTCCTATCTTCAAAAACATGCAACTGAAAATGGAAAAATGGCCAAATACTGTCAAAACATGAATAATGATTACTGTAAATTCAGAAATTATTGCGTGCATTTATTATTGCGATTTTTCACGAATGGACAAAATTGCGAGTTTAATTATTACGATTACAAAAAAATCTGCATAAAGATCTATGTTTCAGTTATCAAAATGCGAGTTCTTATTATTGCGATACTCACCCAGTCGCATTATTCGCATTCATAAAAACCTCGCAATAATTTCTGAATTTACAGTACTTATTACATATATCAGTAAACTATAATCTCCAGAATCCTGCATCACTCGACAGACTGATAACTTATATGTGCTATCAGGAACATACATATTGTTAGATATACTGTTCCCAGGTGCTACTATCAATTAGCCTACATTTCTTTAATTTCATATTTAATATAGCCATATTGAATTATAGATCACCATTAAAAAGATTTTATTAAAGTAAAACATAATATCTGAATACAACTGATACCGTCTTTAAATTGATTGAAAAGAAAACGTAGGTCTATAATGATTGTAAACACCATGCTTTAGTTGCCATTTTATTAATAAATGTATTAACTTAATCAGTTAGTGAAGCATGAAATGTAGATAAGTGTGATTTTTTTTAATACTAGAAGCCACTAGACTACTTTAATTCAATAGGTGCACTTTTTTTTCAAGGGAAGAGATTTTTCTCAGGAAAAGGCAGGATGGAAATTTAGGCATATAACTGGCTGAGTGTGCAAGATTGGAAAAGTAAGGAACCAAGATAAATCTTACCTAAAATGAACTAATTTAATATTGTTTTCAAATTCCGAAGTATCAATTAATACAAATTCATAGTAAAGTAGTCTTGGTAGAAACTGGAATCTTTAAATCATTTTATGTGCAGTTTCGAAATAATTTAGAAATCTCTCTTTGTATAAATTATTTACATTTGTGTCTCTGCACTGTGTCAACATTTAAAGATTTTATCATTTGTTAATCAGATACAAGTTGGTTATTTGTGTAACTGAGAGTATGTTATGTGAATTAAATATAAAGATGTCAATACACAAAAAACATATAACTCTATATGTAACCTGAGTGTTAGCATAAAGCAAGCAGTGAAATCTCATGTCACTAAATCTACATCTATTTTATCTCTACAGCTATTCAAAACAAGCTGTATGACATCTTGTCCAATAAAAACATTTCTTAAACCTTTTTTGTACCTGACCAAAACTTAATAAAGTTTGTATAAATAATTTGACGGCATTGTTCAACATTTAGTCCATACATCACAATATTTGAATTAATTAGTGGTCATTGTAATGTCAAAAGATTTCACTACTGGAAAAAGTCATGCAGTAAAAAAAAGAAAGATGAAATAACAAACCGGTGAAGCGTTGTTTTCATTATGGTTTTCCATACTTTGGTAGGTGGCACCACGACCCTGATGATGTATTACAACACATAAATGGGAATAGAATATGAGATTGTAGTTCATGTTTTTTATTGTCACTGATTAGTGATTGAAATATTCAACCAAAATATATTCCTGCATAGCATGATGTACACCAAAATATATTCCTGCATAGCATGATGTACACCAAAATATATTCCTGCATAGCATGATGTACACCAAAATATATTCCTGCATAGCATGATGTAGACCAAAATATGTTCCTACATAGCATGATGTAGACCAGGAAAGTAATAGCATAAAGACATTTGTAAAGATGTTCAAAAGGTATTAAATCTATTTAGATATTTCAGAAAAAGTGACTTGTCGAAATCTAATTTGCCCATCAAGGACTTAGATTTATAACAAAGTGCTAACATAGTTACAAATTAAATGTGTCAACAGAGAAATCAAACCTCAGCTTACAACAAGATGAACTGCGACCTATTGCTCACTAATGATACCCCTGCTGTATGTATTCAGTAAACAGGAAGTTGATTAATTATGGATGTGACAATCCATCACACAGTATAGCATTCTCATGTGTAGTTTGATACCAAATTTCATGAAGCTCTGATTTGTAAATCCTGAGAAAAATGCAATGGAAATTTCTTACATGGTCAGTATGTTTAACAAAATATAAGATTTCAGTAAACAGCAAGTTGATGAGCTATGAGTGTGTATAAGAATCCAAAAGTATAGCATGATCACATGGAAGCTTGATACAAAATTTCATGAAGCTCTGATTTGTAGATCCTGAGAAAAATGCAATGAAAATTGCCCACATGGCTTTCGTGTGCCACAATATATATCAGGAAGTTGATGATCAATGGATGTGAAAATGCATCATATAGTAAAGCATTCCTTGATACCAAATTCCAGGTAGCTTTGACTAGGAAGTAACTGTCAAAGGTTTCATGGGATGGACAAAGGTAAAGCAGTATACTTAATTAATTTTCAATTATCAAGCAAATCATAATCATTAAATATGTAGTAAAATCTTTTTTACTTGGAAGTTGTAGTTTTATAATTAATATATATGAGGCTTTTACACGACCTGTTAATACATATAAACTCTCTGTAATACTCAATTTCACTCATTCACACAATATCTTAATATCTTAATATCCGGCTAGAAAGCAGTCAATCAAAGAACTATTTATAGTGGAAGGTTTTATAAATCAGCTGAGAAAATCAACCAAAATTCTCCTGTTATTATAGCATAAGGTTGGCAACCAGCCTAAAAATATGGGAATCTGGGAACATTTAACAGTTAAATAAAGAATAAAACAAAGCCTCAGCCCTCCATAAGCTCTGTTGACACATTTCAGATCAGAATAATATAATTTTACATTGCATATAACTTTACAGAATTCTTAAATACCAAAGCGTAGCATTAAGTTAGTTAGCGTTCATGCTTAATGGCAAAAGCTTACTGAGGTATATATAATAGTTCATTTATATTTACAAAGGTTTTAACAAATAATAATTAACATTCAATGACCATAATATAATTTTTGCATCAATACTTTGTGACATATAAATGCTGGTATATAGTAGACTGTTTTATAACTGTGTGTTCAAACTTATATAAACAGTATGTTGTCATTACAATAATTATAATTTTTTTTTCTATTAGATTTTCTCTTTCTTCAAAGTTTTTGATTTTTTTTTTTTTTTTTATGACCCTATAGCGTTACCTCTCTTGACTCTTTTATATTTTTCATTTCAACATCTTCATCAACTCCAACTCTAAAACAATAAATTATCATATGAACTATTCAATATAAGATATTTAATCTGTGTAATATATATTAAATTAATTTCTTATATAACAAAACCAATACTGGGTCTGGACCTGTGTCACTGCATGCAATTGATTGAGGTAACATCTACAAATCAAATATTAAATTATTATATATAGGCCCAGACTTAAGTATCAATCAGTACACATCCAACAGATATAGTGTAACGACATCATAAACAGTCTGCAATGTCAAAATTTAAGTATATGATATTGACAAGATGTAGGACTATAAGTTTTCTTAAAGGTATAGCAATACATATTTAGTTATGTTTTAATTCATGTAAAACAAAATAACTGTTAGTACTAATCAAAATAATATCCAAAGATGTTACTATGGTGCTAAATAGACGTATTTACACTTGTATGCAAATTTGTCCGCCATTACATAAAATCACACAGGTTCCCGTAAACTTTGACATCATAATTCAAAACATTTGACGTCACAATTAAAAAGTGATTGTTGCCTGACGTCAAAAGGTGATTCGGAGTAGATCTAAGGTCATTCTGAGGCAAAATATAGCTAAATACCTAAAGTGTAAATACGTTTATTGATAACCTGTAAGAATAAGTTTACTTAAAGGTAAATTAGTATATATAGCATGTATGGATGGTATCTAAATTGCCAGGCTCTATAAACAACATCACTGTAAAAATTACATTATGATATCTTGTTTGTATCAAAATTTCTTTAGGCAAAAAACAAATTTCAAAACCAAATCTTTGTATCTATGAAAGAATTTAGCAAAAGTATGAAGTAATTTGTGATAAAGAAATCGCTGACTTAATCACTTACCAGTTATACTTAGATGATGCTCAATGAAATCTTAATTCACTACAAACAGGGACATAGCAAAAACACACACAACATGAGAAGGGGCCAAAGGAACAACATCATCCAAACTAGAGGCTCTAAAGAGCCTGTGTCGCTCACCTTGGTCTATGTGAATATTAAATAAAGGACGCAGATGGATTCATGACAAAATTGTGTTTTGGTGATGGTGATGTGTTTGTACATCTTAATTTACTGAACATTTTTCCTGCTTACAATTATCTCTATCTATAATTAACTTGGCCCAGTAGTTTCAGAGGAGAAGATTTTTGTAAAAGATTACTAAGATTTACGAAAAAATGGTTAAAAATTGACTATAAAGGGCAATAACTCCTAAAGGGGTCAACTGACAATTTCGGTCATGTTGACTTATTTGTAGATCTTACTTTGCCGACATTTATTGTTTTTTACAGTTTATCTCTATCTATAATAATATTCAAGATAATAACCAAAAACAGCAAAATTACCTTAAAATTACCAATTCAAAGGCAGCAACCCAACAACGGGTTGTCCGATTCATCTGAAAATTTCAGGGCAGATAGATCTTGACCTGATAAACAATTTTACTTCATGTCAGATTTGCTTTAAATGCTTTGGTTTTTGAGTTAAAAGCCAAAAACTGAATTTTACCCCTATGTTCTATTTTTAGCCGTGGCGGCCATCTTGGTTGGTTGACCAGGTCACGCCACACATTTTTAAAACTAGATAACCAAATGATGATTGTGGCCAAGTTTGGTTTAATTTGGCCACGTAGTTTCAGAGGAGAAGATTTTTGTAAAAGATTACTAAGATTTACGAAAAATTGTTAAAAATTGACTATAAAGGGCAATAACTCCTAAAGGGGTCAACTGACCATTTCAGTCATGTTGACTTATTTGTTAATCTTACTTTGCTGAACATTATTGCTGTTTACAGTTTATCTCTATCTATAATAATATTCAAGATAATAACCAAAAACAGCAAAATTTCCTTAAAATTACCAATTCAGGGGCAGCAACCCAACAACAGGTTGTTCGATTCATCTGAAAATTTCAGGGCAGATAGATCTTGACCTGATAAACAATTTTACTTCATGTCAGATTTGCTCTAAATGCTTTGGTTTTTGAGTTATAAGCCAAAAACTGCATTTTACCCCTATGTTTTATTTTTAGCTGTGGCCGCCATCTTGGTTGGTTGGCCGGGTCACGCCACACATTTTTTAAACTAGATACCCCAATGATGATTGTGGCCAAGTTTGGTTTAGTTTGGCCCAGTTGTTTCAGAGGAGAAGATTTTTGTAAAAGATAACTTAGATTTACGAAAAATGGTTAAAAATTGACTATAAAGGGCAATAACTCCTAAAGGGGTCAACTGACCATTTCAGTCATGTTGACTTATTTGTTAATCTTACTTTGCTGAACATTATTGCTGTTTACAGTTTATCTCTATCTATAATAATATTCAAGATAATAACCAAAAACAGCAAAATTTCCTTAAAATTACCAATTCAGGGGCAGCAACCCAATAACGGGTTGTCCGATTCATCTGAAAATTTCAGGGCAGATAGATCTTGACCTGATGAACAATTTTACCCCATGTCAGATTTGCTCTTAATGCTTTGGTTTTTGAGTTATAAGCTAAAAACTGCATTTTACCCCTATGTTCTATTTTTAGCCGTGGCGGCCATCTTGGTTGGTTGACCAGGTCACGCCACACATTTTTAAAACTAGATACCCCAATGATGATTGTGGCCAAGTTTGGTTAAATTTGGCCCAGTAGTTTCAGAGGAGAAGATTTTTGTAAAAGTTTACGGACGACGGACGACGGACGACGGACGACGGACGACGGACGCAGGACGACGGACGACGGACGCAAAGTGATGAGAAAAGCTCACTTGACCTTTCAGGTCAGGTGAGCTAAAAAGGGACAATTAACAATAATCAATGAAAAATTGTCTCTTTTGTTGTAATTTTTGTATCAAGTTTTCCATGTGTAACTGAAATACCCAAATCTAAAAGGAGAATATAATTGCTGTTTATATTAGATTATTTAAATGACCTCCCAATGGTAAATTTTGTAGTAAAATTAGAGAACTTTTTATCATTTAAACCAAAAATATCATTAAGGTAAGAGTTAATAAATTTATCGATTAAATGGAAATAAAACTGATCTTTACTCAGAGTTTGGTCATAAACTGTGGTTCATATAAACAATACAGGAACAAGTCTGCTATTAAATGGGGACATTGGTGTCTGTAGGAATACCTGCAACCTGTTCAGAAACTTTATTGTCGAAACATGGAGAAAATTTACAGATTTACTCCTGTCATCATATTTTTTTGGAGCCCCCCCCCCCCAAAAAAAACGAATGACAATAACCATTTGAAAACCAAAACATAATGATTACGTAATATCAGCTACAACATGTCCCTGTTCCAAGACAGAATGGTTTACTTTTATAAATTTTGACTTGGATGGAGGGTTTTCTCATTGGCACTCATACCACATCTTCTTATATCTATCTAGAAACCTCGTTAGTTGTTGTCCTTTGTAATATGTTAATGTTTTTTTGTCATTTTAGGGAGTTTGGAGTTGATGACAAATATCTGATAGCTTGTAAAATTTATGACAACATTAAAAATTTGTTATAGTATATAAAAATTGGGAAGCAAAATATTCTTGTGATTTCCAAATCGAAATTCAGGTTGTTTGTGATATTGCCTTATTTGGAACTAATTCAACATGAAATTATTCCCAAGTTACAAATAAATTACCTTATCTGGAGCCACTGTAACATGGGTGTTGTCAAACCGCCACAAAGAATCACAGTTATTAGTACTATAAACATTGTTGATGACACCATCAACTTTTTGGCAGTTGTTGCTGTATTTCTGATAGATAAAGCATATGCAATAGCACCTCTTAATCCTGGAATATATGAATTTTCGTACGTCTTTACAAACTATTTAGAATTTAGAATGTAAGCAGTAAAATTTGTATTTAGTTAAAAATAACTTATTTACCCCTAGTCTAATTCTCACCATCATGAACATTCAGGTAAATCAATATTTTTTCGTTTCATGGTGGTAGCTGGCATGTTAATATTATATAGTACTCACCAGAAAACATCATCATGTGCATGAAGCTCGTCTTGATTTTGTTTTTTCTTCCAATGTTTAATAAAAGTGATAGTGGATAAATATTACAAAATCTTGCAACAATAATAGAAAACTGAGATAGTGTTAAGGAAAGTTGAAATGCATATATATAATTGTCTTTGTTGGTTTTAAAATTCTCAACTTAATTGAAGTGCAAATATTTTATAAATGATAAAATTGATATTCTAAACTACAGGGTTCCCATTCTTTTTGCAACAAAACATTTGAGCATTTTCAGGATTTCCCCAAGGGCATTCATTTATTTTTAAGGATGCTATAAAAGGACATAGTCTAGGGTTCAAGTTACAAGGCGACTGGGGCGAGGAAGTTGCTCACCCATCTGTCAATTAGCTTTTCTGGGGCGAGGAAGTTGCTCACCCATCTGTCAATTAGCTTTTCCTGACCTCCAAGAAAGATTTCTATAGTCACCCAGGTAAATACAACAGTTGATTTCATCATAAGTAATTTTCCATTTGTATCAAGTTGATAAAACAGCAATTTTACATTTAAAAGTAATGTAAAGAAATTTGAAGACATAGACAATTTATTTCTTAAGAAACATTGTGAAAATGTTATTTCAAAGAAACAAATCTATGTATTTTCTTTCACCGTCGGCACTTGTTACATGAGTGTACACCAAAAGATTCTGATTTTCAGCAAAATAAATTTGTTTCTTCATCAAAACATGATTAAAATTGCATTTAGATAATGTTTGATCCATTTATTGCATTGAAAAGATTAATAATTTTTGAAAAATTTTTTTTGGCCGTCATTGAAATTTGTACCAACCACAGATAGAGGGACTAAGAATGACCAGAATTTTTATTCCTACTACAAACACATTCATTGCTCAGCTGACAGGTGAATAATGATCTCTAGAGTGAACAATACACATTCAACATGCATTAAACAACATTTAGTTAGATTGTTAAGTTTTTCAGCACTATTGGCTATATTGTGGTGTCCAGTTTGTAATGGTACACACATGTTTCTTGAATAACCTTCATCAGATATGCTTAAGACCAAAGTCTGGGAAGTCTAATACATAAAACTTGTGTGAGCATCATTAAAACATAAATGGAGAATGTGTCTATGGTCCACAGATGCACTCGCTTGTAAATATGCATGAGTCAACTTCCACATACAGATGCAGGGTTCATGTAGTTAAGACTGTTTTGTGATTATAAGTGTTGTGTATAAGTTTCATAACACTTGGTTGAGGCAAACTTAAGTTAGAGAATGGAAACGACAGATTTAGCAATTTTTCCATTTATAAACTCAAGAACGGTAAAAGTAACGCCACCCAATTTCAAACCTGATCTGTGTTTTGTGGTAATAAGCATTGTGTATAAGTTTTATAACATTTGGTTCAAGCAAATTAAAGTTAGAGAACGGAAACCAATTTTGGGGACGTATGTGAGGGACGGACGGGACATCGGACAAGGGTAACACTTAATGCCCCAGACCCCTAGCCTAAAAGGAGTAGACAAAAGTCTTCAGTAGCATAATCCTGACATATCTATGTTTTAAAATAATTGAAAACATTTCAGTACCAGAGGGTGAATAAACTAATGAGTTCTGATAGGTCGATATAAACTTTAAATGTCATAATATAAGGATACAACAGAAGCAAATATAAATCCTGCATGCCAATACTGGTACTGGAATGTAAATATGGAAACTCCTATGTATAGGAATACGAAGTTTTCTGCCAGGAAATTCATCAATTCAAACAACTGCAAATATACAATTATATATTAATGCATCAATTCAAACAACTGCAAATATACAATTATATATTAATGCATCTTTCTTGAAACAAGCACAAATTGATTTAATAACAAGTTTTATTAAATGATATGAGCAAATCAGCATGTGCAATACTGATGACATTGCCCTGTCGATATAAATCAAGAGTTAATATTGCTTTTTGGACAGGGCCAATACGGAAAAAAAATAGGGCCAATACGAAAAAAAAGCCGTATTGGCCCATGGGCGAATACGGGACGTTCACTTCCAGTTTCAATTTTCTTACGCCTTACTTAACTTTGGACGTATCGTTATGCATAAAAAACATTTGTATTATATTTTTTCAACTTAAAAATCATAAAATAAAAAATTTAAATGATGTTCAGTGTTTTAAATTTGTAACGTCTTGAAACGGAAATATTTCACAGCCTTTTTGAGTACGGCTTTCGATTATTGACACTGTTTCAATTCCGTTGATCAATCATCAGAACACAGTCGATCTAAGAGTAAAAATAATTAAACTGTCTGATTTATTCTTCCCAGCTACTTTATACTTGCTAGATAAAATGAATTGTAATAGCATAATATTAAGTACTTGGACGAGAAATCAGAAATTACATCTGACAATGTTGACAAAAAATCCATGGACGTGAATGCGAAAAGACAAGTTCAGATATGAAATTCTGTATCTTCTTCACGGTAAGTTTCTTAGTTTATTCTAATTAAAAGAATAAATATCATTAAATAAAAGTGTTATGAACTGGCTGTATCTGTTTTGGCCCTGTTATAAATTCTCGATCAGCTGTATACGCCCTCGCTCTTTGAGTCGAGGGTCCAATACAGCTAACCTCGAATCTATAACAGGGCCAATACAGAAACAGCCAGTTAATAACACTATATTATTTCTTTATTCATTTTTTGTAGAGAACATTATTTCACAAAGTGTGAATTTCTAGAAAAAATATTAAAATAAATGCAGAAGAATGTATTCCATAACCAGAAATAATTATCATACACTGAGTTTACCAGCTCTAAATTACTCTAATGCACATAGAAAATGGAACTAATTACGAAGGATTATAATAAGATATACTGGATTGGTCCTGGACCTGATTGATTTTGATATAAAAACCAGAAAGAAGAAAAAAGATAAAAAAACGATGGTAAAACAGGTGTCGTATCCCCATAAGAGAAATCAAATTGGAACTATTCTACATATTACAAGAAAGGAAACATATAGGCTAGCGATACCTGATGAGGATAGGCCTAGGTCTACATGACCATAACCGAAACACCTTTTTTAGTACAAGAAACCCAGACCTGATCTGGATTTCTATTCTAAAAATCCACACACAATAATTATACTACAAGCATGCAAGTGTGAATTTCTAGAAAAATATGAAAATAAATGCAGAAGAATGTATTCCATAACCAGAAATTTTTATCATACACTGAGTTTACCAGCTCTAAATTACACTAAATGTATGCACATAGAAAATGGAATTAATCACGAAGGATTATAATAAGATATACTGGATTGGTCCTGGACCCGATTGATTTTAATATACCATCATAAAATATATGAGTAGAACATAACCCATATCATGCCAATAACTGGTTTTAGAATAAATGTGTTTATTTCCGATGCAAAGACCCTATGAGTGAATAAATATTAATACCAAAATATGCTATCTTTAATAACCTGACAACAGTATCGTAACTATATCCCTTCTGAATAAGTCTGTTTAAAGGTTTGGTTAGCTTTTGAGGTCAATGTCGACATTTTTGTGCTTTGTATAGAATATTACCATAAAAGATTGGACGTGAAATACCTGAACGTATAAGATGTCTGCATGTTGATTTATATTTACGAATGATGTCCTTGTACCGATGATAAAATTTAGTAAATGTTTTGACTAGTTTGTGATATCGAACCCTGGTATAATAATTTTTCAGTAATACAGAGGTTTCTTTCGTTAAAATCAAATACGTTGTTACATACACGAGCATTTTTGCTAAATTTTTGTTGTTTTAATTTTTTGTAATTTGTGGCTAAAATTTATCCTCAGGTGAACTGGATTGGTATGTTTCTTACACCCAGGTTATTAACCAATCAGATTGCAAGATTATTGCTGCAATGAGAAATAATTGGCACTTATCATGCTTTACTCACCTGCTTAGTTCTATGCTTAGATTCCTCAGATAAATTATTATATGTATAATGAGCTTGTGTTATACCACAGAACAGGATACCAACAATACCTGAAAACAAACATTCATATAAATAAACAAGGAGGTACGACAGGGTACATTATTGCATGAAAAATGAGCTTGTGTTATACCACAGAAAAGGATATCAACAATACCTGAAAAATAAACATTAATAAAAATGTACAAGGAGATAGGACAGGGTACATTTTACAATAATGGCATGTAGCTATATATATAGAAAAGGTAAATATCCAAATGTCAACCCTTAAAGGTTATTGTTTAGGGTGCAGAATGCCTCACAGGTGGTCCAAGGACACAGTTATCGTCCTTTGGTTTTCGTTGTCTACGAATATAGTCCCTAGTGTGAACAGTGTATAACTTGCATTTTTTTTTTAAACACTTTCCTAATTTATTTCTTGATATTTTATGCATGAAATATTAAGTAAGGGGATGAAATTACATGTTAAAAAAATTTGGGTGCTGAATCTTTATGTTAAGTAGTGATTTGGTCCAGTTAAAAAAGGTCAAAAATTAGAATGTCTGAAGCTGTCAAACTGAATTGTAGCCCCCCTTAACACAGAATTGTCAATATTTTGAGTTAGAGCTGGTAGAAGTTTCTATAATTTTGATATTATTTGTATCAATAGTAGTACACTACACTGTAAAAATCTTTTTGAGATAGAGCAGGTGCGATTTTTTTAATTTGAATTTATTCTCTAAAAGAAATGCACTACGAAATAACTGTGTTCTCGGGCCAGGTACAAAAAAAGAGATGGAAGATTCCAAACTTCAAACCTCATAAGTCAGAGAACTGACTCATCATGACGTTAGTTTTCTTGTTTAAATAGTTTAACATTTGTCATTTCTGGGCCTTTTATAGCTGACTATGCGGTATGGGTTTTGCTCATTGTTGAAGACCGTAAGGTGACCTATAGTTGTTAACTTCTATGTCATTTGGTCTTGGTGACCTATAGTCGTTAACTTCAATGTCATTTGGTCTCTGGTGGACAGTTGTCTCATTGGTAATTATACCACATCTTCTTATTTCTAAAGATACAAATAATATGACCAGGCTATTACATAACATTACTATGAGACCAGGCTATAACATAACATTACTATGAGACCAGGCTATAACATAACATTACTAACGAGACCAGGCTATAACATACCTGTGAGTTCAGCAGCTTCACAAGCCTGGAATGACATGTATGACATCAGAAACAACAAAGCTGTCTCTAACAGTGGGTGGTCTCGTATCTTCGTAAATTTTGTTATGTTATACAGTTAAGGAAAACAGTTGTAAATACTGAAAATAATACGATTCATTGTAGACAAATTGTTGAATTATAGTGAAAGGAAGTTTATTTATGCAGATTTTTTTACCTTTCCAATAGAAATTTCCAAAAAAAGTTAAAGTCAAATTAAACAGTCAGTTTAGTTTCCTTTTCCAAATATTGTTTTCTTTATTTCAAAATACAATTTTTACCAAAAAAAATACAACATTCCAATAATTAATAAAGAAAGAATTAAAACTGTCCATCCCATCTCCAGTTTGGAGTTATTTTTTTAAATTGCCGAAGACTATTCAATTAACAGCTTTGCAACACCCTTATGACATGCCAATTGTCTAATCAGTCCAAGTGATGACAATGTTTCATAAGGTGCAAATAGGGCAAGGTCAGTTAAAACAAAAAGAGAACATACAAAGGGTCAATAAAAGTTCATAATTCAAGAAAACCAGAAAAATCAATTGTGTCTTCCATGATCATTCTAAAATATGTTTTTGAGAAGTCATTTGTATTAGAAAAAATAGGTTCTGATGATTTTTGTATAATTGACTCAGGATTTCGTAAATACTGAACCTGTTTGTTTCTTTCTGAGAAAAGTCTAATCCATTTATTAAGGGGCATAACCCCAGAATGGTAAAAGTGACGCCACCCAAATTCTAAATTGATCTGAATTTTGTGGTAATAAGCATTGTGTATGAGTTTCATAACATTTGGTTGAGGCAAACTAAAGTTAGAGAACAGAAACCAATTTTGGGACGTACATACGGACGGACAAGGGTAACACTTAATGCCTCCTCCGGTGACAGCGGGGGCATAAATATGTCTAACGGTAATCAGGATGCTAGATTAATTCAAAATGTGTGGGTGTATGTAATATCTAAATAGATATGAGATTGACAAGAAGTGCAAGGGCAGTGTTAGATCTCCAAAAATGTTTAAAAAAATTTATGCAAAACTTGTTATTATTTGTTATATTTAAAAAAAAAAATTATAAAATAACTAAAACTTTTCCTTTAATAATACAATGTGAACACTAGGCTGACTAAAATCATAAAACATAGAAAATTACAAAGGATATTAAAGCATTAACACATCCTAATGCTGATCCAATACCAAATGCTCCAAGGAATATTTTAGCAAAGTTTCCAATAGATAGGAAGAATGCATCTGCATTGAAACCTTCTTGATTACTCTTCAATCTATAACTATCTACAGACCTGAAAGAAAAGTAAACTAGTCAACAATAGTACACATCAAATAAGTCAAACAACAGCTATAACAAGAGTGCACATGATGAGATGTCTCACCTGCTTTACTTATCATGATTGAATCTACCTTGAAAGTCTGTAATATGGAGGTTTTACTTTAAGTATCCCATACACTTATCATTAACAATGATCCATGAAAATGAGGTCTAGGTCAGATGAACCATACCAGATAGACATGTACACCTTACAATCATTCCATACACCAAATACAGTGGTCCTATAGTTTATAGCATTTGAAAAACAGACCAAACCAAAAGAAAATTAACATTTACCAATGAGTCATGGAAATGAAGTCAAGGTCATATGAAACCTGCGAGACTGACATGTACACCTCACAATCATTCTATGCATCAAACATAGTGGCCCTTTTGGTTACAGTATTTGAGAAATAGACCAAACAACAAAAACTATGTTGTGATGTTACACTATTGTTTCAAAAAAAGGGTGAAGGTTTGGTACCATTAAAACGTTTAAACCCGCTGCATTTGTTTGCACCTGTCCTAAGTCAGGAATCTGATGTTCAGTAGTTGTCGTTTGTTGATGTGGTTCATAAGTGTTTCTCATTTCTCGTTTTTTATATAGATTAGACCGTTGGTTTTCCCGTTTGAATGGTTTTATACTAGTAATTTTGGGGGTCCTTTAAAGCTTACTTTTCGGTGTGAGCCAAGGCTCCGTGTTGAAGACCGTACTGTGACCTATAATGGTTTACTTTTATAAATTTTGACTTGGATGGAGAGTTGTCTCATTGGCACTCATACCACATCTTCTTATATCTATAAACATTGCTAAATGAACCATGAAAATGAGGTCAAGGTCAGATGAAACCTATCAGTTGGACATGTATACCTTACAATCATTCCATACACCAAATATAGTTGACATATTGCTTATAGTATCTGAGAAACAGACTTCACCACAAAAACTCAACCTTGATCACTGAACCCTGTCTGACAGACAAGTAGACCTTGCAAGGAACTTATATTTACCATAATTACTCATAAGTGAGAAATTCACATGACAAATGAACTGTTGACACAGAGATATGTCTCACATTTTGTAGTTTTGATGGTATAATGCAAAGGTTGAAATTAAAATGACAATATTGAAACATGTAAACAATGCAAATCATTTAAAGTTAATGAACAATGACTGAAGGTGCAGGCACAAATAACCTCCATGGAAATGTGAAATGCCAATGATTATAAAACTGCATACCAAATACCATTGACTTAATATTGTAAGTGGTTCCCTTTGTAAACTATTTAGTCAATGAACCACAGTGAGGGGGTGGAGCCATATAATCTCCATGGAAATGAGACTTGCAAAAGCCAATACAACTGCATACCAATTATCATTGACTTAACATAGTCGTTCATCTTAAACTTATCTTATCATAAACTTAAACATTTAAATAATGCAAAACATTTAAAGTCAATGAACCATAGGGTGGAGTCAAACAATCTCCATGGAAATGAGATGTGCCAATGCTAATACAACTGCATACCAAATATTATTGACCTACCACTAATAGTTGCCTATAAACTGACCTAATCACAAACTAATACATGTAAGCTAAGCAAAAGTTTCAAAGTCAATAGACTATGACTGAGGGGGTCAGACCAAATAACCTCTATATATAGAAATGAGATGTGCCAATTCTAATATAACTGCATACGGAATATCATGGACCTACCACTATTGGTTCCCCCTAAACTTGACCTAATCACAAACTAATACATCGTTAACACCACTGTCGGAAACAGAACGCCTAAGTCTTCTTTATTGACTTAGTCAACGCAAGACAAGTTTTTTTCCAAGCATTCGTTGAACCATGAAAATGAGGTCAAGGATAATGGACATAAGACAAATGGAAACTTCATAACATAAGGTATCAGCATACAAGGTATGAAGCATCCAGGTCTTCTAGCCACTGAAATTTAAAGCTTTATACAAATAGTTAAAGCCGTTGCCTCCATTGTAATCCCTATGTCTCGCATTCTGAAACTATTGTTGCAGGCGAGACAAAAATGGGTCAAAGTCTCAAATGGTTGGGTTACAATATTTGTGACTAATCAATGTAGAATGTTTGCAATATACTTGAAATTACATGAAAGTTTGGGCATTTCTACAAAGTCTTAGGAGGAGAAGTTGAAAACTTGTACCTTCTTCATAAATTTTGATGACAAATAACTAAGTTCCCAAGTCTGCAAAAATGAGAAAAAAAATCATCAAATGATTCCATAATAGCAGGTACACCACCTGTGCAATCTTCTTGTGAAGTTTAAGGGGATTGGGGTTGAAAACTGTAGGAGTTGATTACACAAATTAAGTATCCACTTTTCCTCTCCCTCGCCTGCTCGACATCACCATACTATAAGCCAGTTTTGAACTTTGTCCAATCTGGTCAAAAATCTAAAGTAAGTCTACTATGAGCTATTTATCCCAATCATTATGTTAAGGTTCTCCCTTCCTCTCTGTGTGGGGCATTAATGAACCAATTATATTAAGGTTCTCCCTTCCTCTCTGTGTGGGGCATTAATGAACCAATTATATTAAGGTTCTCCCTTCCTCTCTGTGTGGGGCATTAATGAACCAATTATGTTAAGGTTCTCCCTTCCTCTCTGTGTGGGGCATTAATGAACCAATTATATTAAGGTTCTCCCTTCCTCTCTGTGTGGGGCATTAATGAACCAATTATGTTAAGGTTCTCCCTTCCTCTCTGTGTGTGGCATTAATGAACCAAGTTTGCTGAAAGTTGGAAATGTGGTATAAAAGATAATACTGGAAAACAAAAATTTTTCTAAACTTTTGGTCTGTTAATAGCTCCTGAAACCTTGACCATTGACCTATTGATTCTCAGTTTGGTAAAGATATCCTAATGGCTCAAATGATTTCGACCTTTAGTTTGGTAAAGACATCCTAAAGGCTCAAATGATATTGACCTATTGACCCTAAGTTTAGTAGAGATAGCCTAATGGCTCAAATAATTTTTTCCAACTAACTGAAATTTTGATGCCAGACAGCATTCATTATCATCAACTCGGCTAAGATGGAGAGAGGAGACTAAGTAAGTGGATTGACAAATCAAACAAGACAGGTAGGAGTGAAAGTAACAGGGGAGGAAATGAGAAGGGAAGGACAAAAGAAATAAGGTACTCCTGGTTGACTCCTCAATTTTTATTCACAACTATCATTAAATAAGTATTATAACAATGTAGGATATGGACTATTCCTAATATTAATGTACTTACGATGATAAAACAATAGCAACAGCATCATTTAAGACACTTTCACCAAAAATAAAAGCAAACAGATCTACATCAGCCTTCAGATCACTAAATATGGACAGAATTGTGACTGGATCAGTCGCAGAGATTATTGCTCCAAACCAAAAACAATCATTCAGAGTAAACTCCTTCACAATGTCCTTCATTAACCTTGTCAAACCATACATTATACCCCTGTAAAATATAAAGAAATCTTGTTTAACCATTCCCCTGTACAATATAAAGAAACTGTCCTCGTCAAACCATACATTATCACTATGATTAGTATTATACTAAAACTTTAACTAAAGATGTATCAATGCATCCCAAGAACAACTGAGATTATGTTTTCTCTCTTTAAATAAATTGCTTCACCGAGCGCAGCTGGATACAACCACAGAGGTCCAACCCTGAACAGTTGGGGCAAAAATGGACACAATATTCGCGCTTGATACAGGTCTGAATTTGGATTGTAATTAAATATTTGACACATAATAGGTTTCTGACACAGAATAACTGTAGTCAAAGAACTTGGAATTGGTTATATGATTTGAATTTATATTAAATTTGTTTGCTTTTGTGCAATACACTATGCTGTTGCGAATTGACCCCCCCCCCAAAAAACAAAAAAAAAAAAAAAAATGTTAACCCCCCCCCCCCCCCTTTTCTTTTGCAAAAAAAAAAAATATTTGAAGAAATTTTCTTTTTTAATTTCTGAGATCTGAAATGAAAAACTTTGCCCCTCCCCCTCACAATTTCTTTTTCACCTCCCCCACCCCTTTTTAAAAAAAAAAATTCTTTCCCTCAAGATATGGTCATAATCTCAATTCAAATTTCCAATGGAGTTTGCAACCATAATTACCCATTTAAATACAGCATAAAAGTCTTAAAATAGAAAATAGCATACATAATCATGGCTAAAATTAATATTCCTTAATCAGCATTTTATAAATAGTATTTTCTAAAAATAAATTGACAGCTAATCACCTCAAGACAATACAACATTTCTTTATACATAATTTAAAAGCAGTGTAAGGGAGGTAATCCAAACATAACATTGTACTTTTAAGTAATTGTCCATTAACCAGGAAGCCCTTGTTTTTCCCCCTTTTTTGCCCCTAATTCCTAAACGGTTTGAGCCATAACCCCCCAAAGCAAATCCTAACCATCACTTTGTAGTATGGAAACTTGTGGTCTAATTTCAGAGAGATCCATACACCGTTCCACAAGTTATTGTCTGGAAACTAGAAAAATGCTTATTTGGGCCCCTTTTTGACCCCTAATTCCTAAACTTTTAGGACTATAACCCCCTAAAATCAATCCCAACCTTCCTTTTGTGGTTATAAACCTTGTGTTTAAATTTCAAAGATTTCTATTTACATTTACTAAAGTTATTGTCCGGAAACCAAATGTCTTCGGACGACGCTGACGACGACGACGTGATACCAATGTATGACCGCAAAATTTTTTGCGGTCGTATAAAAATTACCCAATTATTAGCTTAACTAGACCATAAAATATTCGTCTCAATACAGGAAAATATTTCCAAAAAAAATTACTTTCATCGTGTTTCCTTTATCTGCACAAGCAGTGTTTATATTTTGATTTTTAAGTTTAAGATAAAATTATTACAAAATCATGAATCCACACAAGAAACCAAGCTTTATAACAAAACTTTATGATAAGGCTTTCTACATAATGACATACTTACCCAACAACAACACAAGAAACAAAGCTTTATAACCAGTCAGGGGACTTACTTAAATGAGTGATTTTCTAAATCACTGATTCAAGTAACATTATGTCCATAAGGTTGGAAGAAAGAGTTGTCTTTCTTTAATAATCACCTATTTAAGTAGTACAAATTAATCACTAGACTAAGTGATTTAATTTTATTGTAGCTTTAAATATAGAATACTAATGATCCAGGGACTAATTATGTGCTAAAATTATCAGAACCAACATCTGTGTTGATAGGATGACCGGGTCATGTCAGGTGATGACCTTGTACTAAATCTAGGATAATGACATAAAAATCACTTGTTGAAGTATCATACCTCAATTTCCTTCCAAAAAATCACTTCCTTAAGTATCATTATTTTAATAACCCCACTAATTTCAACACCCCCGAACAGTGAAATTTTGATCGCGAACAGTAGAATTTGATTACATAATCTATAAGATGAAACCTTGAATTTTACAGGAAAAATACTCCCACTGCTGGGAAAAATCTATTAAGAAAGTATCAGTTCATTATGTAAAGTCATTTTTATAGCTTTTTTTCAACTAAAATAGAATTTGCAGCTAAATGATTGCATCAAAGGCATTAACCTTGCCACTGCTTGCTGCTTAAAAGAAGCAAAAAGTTCATTTTTTTTCAATTTTACTAATGAGAAGATATTATCTAAACCTATGTGTTTAAAATTTTGGTAAAACTACAAAATCACAATTTGTGACAAATCTTCGAATTTGCTACTTAAATAAGTGATTTAAAAATCACTTATTTCAATAAGTCCCCTGACTGATAACAAAACTTTATGGCTTTCTACATAATGACATACTTACCCAACAACTACACAAGAAACAAAGCTTTATAACAAAACTTTATGGCTTTCTACATAATGACATACTTACCCAACAACTACACAAGAAACAAAGCTTTATAACACATCTTTATGATAAGGCTTTCTAACTAACGATATACTTACCCAACAACTACACAAGAAATTGTTGTTCCTATAAATGCATATGCCATAATGGCTCCAAGATTTTTGAAAAAATGTTTCTGGAAGAAAAGGAAAGTAAAAATAAGTGTATAAGTCTATCCTTATAATCTATATTAACATTTTGTGGTCCAACTATAATAATAAATTTGTAAATCTGCCTTAATATAATTCTGTACACCTGTATTACAGCTAGTTACTTGTAACCTAAAGTGGTGGATTAAGTCATCATGTTTAGCCTAATATTGCTCTAATGTCTTCTGTAGCTTACTTGTGTTGTTTGGTTTCTGTTTAATTGACAAATACCCCTCATCTCAAATTATTCATATGGTAAACTTCCAAATATTTTGTTGTTTGTATTACATAAAGCATGTATAATGTACATGATGTAAGCAGTATGATTTATATATAGTCCATTTGTAGACTAACATGACTAGTACATACTATACATAACTGTTAATTGAATGAATTTGACCTACCCTTTTCATACTGTAGCCAGCTTCAAATATGATAAAAGGCAATAAAACATTGAAGAAAAACTCAGGGTCAAAGGTTACCTGGAATGGTAAGTAAAAATTGTAACAGAATACCACAACATTATTATGCAATAGTCTTTATTTCTAAAAGATTTTCTTAATCAATAAGTTTTGTCTTATTTTTCATACAGAAAATTGTCTAAAGAATTGATAACATATAGCATGATGTATAAACACGATAAAGAACTTCTTCCAATACTGTGGTTTAAGCTAATAAATGAAACATAAACCAAATGGAGGAACAATAAAAGCAATATTACATGGGATTTTGCATCAATGGAAGTATATATACTATGCAATATTAGAATTAATTTCTGAGGTTTATAATTTGAGTACAAATATGAGTGGTTTTTTTAATCAGGCAAAGGGGTGATCATAATGTAAATCATTGCCATATCATGCAGCTTGACAAATGTCTGTTTGTTATTGAAGAACCACAGCCATATTTGTTGAAGGAATTTCAAGCATAAATAGTGTGAAGAAAGACTTACTGATATGCATTACTTACTGAAATTTTAAGATCCTTCAGTTCAGCATTAAATATGTTGTTTTTTTCATCTTTTCTTTACTCGTAATTTACAACTTGCGTTTTTTTAAAAGAAAATCTTTATTCTAAAGGAACTCTGAATTCTATGCGAGTTTAAGACATACATTGACAAATGCCTTAACTGTAATAGAAAAAATTTAATATGAGGGATGCTTGGGAAAAAATTGACTTTTTGCATTAGAATTAAAAATTTTCCGACTGAGTTACAAAAAAGTCAATAGAAATTTCTGAGATGTTAAGAAAATTTGGGAAAATAAGAAAATATAAGAAGCAGACCGAATTTAAAACTGGAAAAATAAACAAATGAACACATAATTTTTATCACCAGATTAAAATATAAAAAATACCAATGTATTTTGTGAATAAACATATAGGAATACAGGGTACAGCATCAGGAAGTTTCATCTTTCACTGTACATGTTAATAAGATACCAGGTTTTAAATATTAGCAGGAAATGATAAAGGATAGGGTGTGATAAGAGCCTTAATTTGTCTAATCTTTTTACTGAAATTTGATCTTTAAATTAAAGATTTCCATTATCTCTGTTTGAAAATTGAGGTAATGCAAAATTAAAAACGAGTAATTTTCAATCCAAGACATCACAATAAAAGAAGTTCTGACATCAGGGAAAAGGGGTTTTGGCGAAAATATATAAATCTTGGTCATTAATTAGATAGTTTATGCACACGCAAATAGAGACCACATGCAAGTACAAACTTAATAATTTACAACAATGTTTGTCTACATAAATAATACCATTCATGTAGATATTTTTTGTGGTACAATAATGTACTTGCAAGTGTTCAAAATTTTCAACAAACAAATATATCTGAAAATATGCTAATTTTGTCAATTTTTGTAGAAAAATTGGAATTTTGCTAACTATCAACTGTAAATTCTTCATAAATATTGATAATATTTCAAAGATATTACAGATTAATTACTGCACATATTTAACAATTATCTTTAAGCTTAAACCTCCAGATTTTGTACTAATTCCTTTTTCAGACGAAAAGAGTCCTTAGCGCACACCACCTCCTCCTTTGAAAATGATCTAAATATTTATAAGTACTGTCATACATATTAACAAATATTTTAACAATATTTAAAGATAGATAATTTGTTATGGAGTGTAGCATACAAAGAGTAACAATGTTATACTGAAATATGGGAATCTTTATAAAATTTTTGATGCATTTAAAACAGTTTAATAACATTCACATGTCATACCTGAGTAGAGAATGCATGTACCTTAAAATATCATATAACAAGGATAACAATAAATTTCCCTCCTACTGGCCCTAATTAAAATTGATTATAAACAAAAATTAATTACTGTGAACTCTTGTTTGGTACATTGTACATGTATTCCTTTAATTCTATTCACCACTTTGAAAAATTTGACCCATGGTTATACAAACATATTTTTAGTCTTTTAAAATATGGTAACTAATGAACAAATGTTACTTCCTCAACAGAGATCACTGTTGATAAACTACTTGGACCAATCTGTAGTCTAGCCCCCCCCCCCCTCCCCCCATTCCCTCCCCCTGGATTGTGTAATCCATGGTTAATTTTTAGAACTTCTTAATTGGTCAAAATTCATGAAATTAGGAGTTACAAAAAAGCTCTATGATCTTAAAAACAAATAACCAAAATCTGTATAATGAGTCAAGATTCATTATCTAGTGTCACTATAACACATTGAACCAAACTATATGTATGATTAAATGGCAGCACAGTATTAATTGTAGATCTGTAAACTATACACAGGGAACAAATAAACATTATTTAGTTCATGACCAACAATAAAATCATTCTATCATACCACAAGTAATAGGTAATGAAATTGATTCTATCATACCATAATAGGTAATCAAATTGACATTCTCACAAACAAGCTACAGTGCACTAACCAGATATAAATAGAAGTCAATACTTTTCACTTTTTTGCTTGTTTGAAAAGTTGTACAATTGTTACAGAACGACCTTAATTCGATGTCCATAATACAGGTATTATAATTACTTTACATTTTGAAGCTTATTCTTAAAAAAAAATTCATAAAGGTAAATAAGAAATATCTCCATAGAGAGTATAAATCTATCCATAGTTTTCAGAGTTCTTGAAAAATGTCAGTCCAGAGCATTTGATTGATAAACACACTGAAATGTCTCGCCTGCTTTATTCAAGATTTAATTCATATTGAAAGTCTGTAATATGAAGGTTTTACTACATATATCACATAAACTTGAAATCATCAATGATCCCTGGAAATTAGGTCAAGGTCAGTAGAACCATGTCAGACAGATATGTACACCTTATAATTATTCCATTCACCAAATATGATTGACCTATTGCTTGCAGTATCTGATAAACTGACAAAACCATGAAAACTTAACATTGACCAATGGACCATGAAGATGAGCTCAAGGTCAGAGGAAACTTGCCAGTAGGACATGTACACCTTACAATCATTCCATACACCAAATATACATGTAGTTGACCACTGCTTATAGTATCCGAGATATGGACTTGACCATGTAAACTTAATCTTGATCACTGATCCATGAAATGAGGTAGTGGTCAGGTGGACCCTGTTTGACAGACATGTAGACCCTTTTTTTTCAAGCAGTTACTGAACCATGAAAATGAGGTCAAGGACAACGGACATATGACAGACGGAAACTAGTAAAATATTGTATCTGCATACAAAGTATGTAGCATTCAGGTCTTATACCTTCTGAAATACATTTATAAAGCTTTATACAAATAGAATACGGCTTTGCTGCCACCAGATTGTAATCCCCATGTCTTTCATTCTGCGACGAAACAAAAATGAAATGTTTGATATATATTGTTTCATTGTCAGTCCAAATATCTGACATTAGTGGGTGAACTTGTCAATAGAATTAAAGGATTGGACAGATGATAATGAATTTTGGACTGACAAATTTCAAACAACGTCAGTTGGAAAAAAAAACCTCATTAATGATACCATGCTTATAATTTTGTATGCCAGAGGCAAATTTCGTCTTAAAAAGCAAATGTCCCGTAAGACAAATTAGTTTCAAGAACTCTGTATTTTATCAATCCTTTTCTTTAAAAATTTCCTTAAATTCATTATAGCTTACCGCTCTTACAAGTGACCCTGTGCAGTGAATTGTATCTTCTGAAACTTCCCCCCATAAGTCATATTTGACTTCCTGTAACCTGGAACTATTAAAAGACTGTGGTAATTTAAGATAGACAGCTGCAGGTGGGTTTGGTGCTGTGTAGTAAGCAGTTCCATTCAATTTAACATATGGAGAACTGTCACATTTGTTTGATGCTGTATATTTGATTACTGCTCCCACAATCATACCTATAAACAGATGAACAATTTTACTTTATCATATTAAATTGACTTACACTATTAATTTCTCAACATAAAATGATATAGATATACAAAAAAGTTATTAAAGACATAATCAGGAAATTTCATGAAACTAGTTCTTTAGCTCAGAAATGTATTTGATATTATTATCATTAGCCTCCAATCTATTCTTTATCTGAAACACCTAGGAATAGACATGACAGAATATACCCTACTGAGGCCTTCTCTATTCTAAAATGACCGACATCAACATACTCATTTATTTATACAGATAAAAGTAAGAAACACACCTTTAACTATTATGTCCCTGTCCCAAGTCAGGATCCCATCACATTATCAGTACCGTAATTGTAATATGTCAAATCTTAAAACTTTTCTTCATTAGAATTTGGTGTTGATGGTAGATCTTTAATTGTTTTGTTAAATTAATTCACATTTTTAAGTCTCTGATGACAATTTAATTCAGAGCTAAACATGTATGTAAATGTACACCTGTTTTTTTGTTGGACTGTATCTTGCCCTTCTAGATGTCTTTTGGTTATTTTTTTGTTGGACAGATGTCTGAAATATCAATCTTCTATATTAAATCATTATTTTGCTCTGAAATTAACACTTTACCGTTAATTATCGACTGCAGTGGATTTCATTTTCTGACAAGAAGTGAAAAATTTACAGTGGAGTGCATCACCAGAGGACTTTGTTTTAAGTTACATCAGGTGCGTTCAACTCTATTTAGGATGTATTAATTAACCAATTAATAACAATCAGTTTAAAGAATATAAAGTGCTCATCAGGGACAATGTTTATTTGAAATGGAGCAATGAACTTTTATAGGTCAATTGACTTGCGCTCCAGTTGCTTTCGTGTATATATCAATGGATGTACTTATTTTTGTGTGTAAATAGAGGTGGTGGCTAATGTGTATAAAAGAATCAATTATAGTGCATTGGAATGACAATTTAATGTGCATTCACACTGAAAAGTGGGTCGTCTGATATAGGCGGAATAGTACAGACTAAAGTAAATCAAAATATGCTATCTGAAGACACAGGTACCAATCATGACAAAAGACTCATCAGTGATGATGGAATCAAAGAAGTTTTAAAAAAAAAGGCCAAACAAATGTCGGAGACATCCATTCTTTATGGTCTAGAAATTTATTTAATCTGTTCATGGGCAATAAGCTGAATGATTTAATCTAAATCAAGAATTCAATTTTGCACCATCGTGACTTTAGGGAGGGAATTGTAACCCCGACATGAGAGAACCTGACATTTGAACTTTGGTGAATAGTTGACTCAAAGGCAATCATACCACATCTTCTTATTTTCATACAGGTAGCATTACGTATTTAGCTCCACCCCCTATGCATTTCCAAATGACATGTTCAACTGTAGACTAATTGCAGTCAGTGTTACCAATTAACAGGTTAAAATGTCTTTTACTTTTATTTATTAAAAATTTATACGATGCATACCATAAATTAATGATAATCCTGATTCGTGTAAAAATCGTAAACGTTTATGTTTGAACAACCAGATTGTCAAAATGGTCAACATCAGCAGTCCCAATAACATCAAAATTGTGAGACTGTCAATTTTATGCTGGGCCAAAACGTGCAACTCTTCTTTTGTGTCTGCATCTGCAGGACCTATAGTTGCAGGTGTTGAGGCTGAAGGCATGGCGTAATTAAAAAAATTAAATAAAACTAAAAGCCTGATTTTTGTTGTCATCTTGTCAGCCATTTTCACGTGCCCCTTTTGTATTTTGTGAAACGAAATCAGAGTGGACATCATCTCCGAGACACGAGTACAGAACAATGTATCAAAAAGTAAATTGTAGATTATAATCAATGTATAGATATGACGATTTCAAAGAATCGTACAAATAATAATCTATTCAATTCAATAATGAATGAAAATATAAGTTTCGTTTTGAAAATTAAAATCAGCAAAATGACAATATGAAGAGAAAGTAGAGATCTGAGAGAATTTTATGAGACTGGAAACGTTGCTAGGTTTCCTGAAGAATTTCTGAATTTCATTTGGTAATTTTGTAAAAGCAAAAACAGAAAACTATACATCTACTTTCGATAACCTATACATACAATTCAGTACAATCATATTTTTAAAAATAAAAATAGCACTGACTAATCATCATCCACCTATGTAATTGCATTAGACTTTTTTTTAAAGGTTATTCAAAGGAACAAAAGGTAGAGTTAAGGAATGTCACACCAACACTGTTCATACACTGTCATTTATTGTAATGCTTATATTCTAGTTTTAGTGTCATGTTTTACCAGTTTTTGGTGGGGTTCGGTTTGCTCAGTCTTTAGTTTTTTATCTTCTTCTTCTTCCTGGTACGGGAAAGACTCCGGTGCCGGAGTGTGGAATATCCCGGAACTGTGGCGCTATGTACATGCAAATGGATGTCGAAAATTTTGTTATAAGATAAAAATATTTGCCACAGTTCAATTACAATTTAAAATAACATTAGTTGTAGCTTAATGTTAAACATATTCACATTATGTACAGTGGCTTAAATACTGTAAATTCAGAAATTATTGCGATGTTTTTATTATTGCGAAAAATGCGACAGGGTTATAATCGCAATAATTTAAACTCGCATTTTGAAATTTTTTATATGAATTAAACAGGATTTTTCTCAATATCGCAAAAATTAAAATCGCATTTTAGTCTAAAATGACAAAATCGCAATAATAAATGCATGCAATAATTTCTGAATTTACAATACACTAATTAATTAGCCAGACTAGAACCTCCAAATGTTAAGGTGGAGATACCACCTTTGAAGGATTCAAGGGAGGGTGACATGCAAATTGTTTCTGGGAGATCGTTCCAGACAGCAATAGTACTTGGGAAAAAAGATGATTTAAAAAAGTCTTTATTTGTATATATATGTCGAAATTTATGTAGGCCTCTAGTTCGCCTGTCAGATTGTGTCAAGACGTCATTAGTGACTTCGACCAACCCCCCATTAATCTTATAAATCAAGACAAGCTTAGCTTTTGTTCTACGGGATTGCAAGTTTTCCCATTTTAGTTTGTTTAACATACCAGTGACAGCACCTGGTGATCTATCGTTATAGTCATTAAAAACATATCTTGCTGCCTTATGCTGTATCTGCTCAATTTGGTTTATTTGGCTTTGTTTGTACGGATCCTAAACTGGTGAGGAGTACTTTATGTTGTGTTTTGTATACTGTTGTTTGTCTGCTGGTCTTTTTCTTTCTTGGTCATGGCGTTGTCAGTTTATTTTTCGACTTATGAGTTTGAATGTCCCTTTGGTCTCTTTCGCCTCTTTTTAGAATGGATGTATGCATGATGTATAGATGATCTTGATTGTATATGATGTCAAGTCCTTGGACATTTCTACATTTTATATCCTGCGTTTGTCAAGGTTAATAGTTTACTTAAAACTTGGGACCCTCTAACAATTTCTGTGAACAACTAAGCTGGTTCTTCAGCGAAATGCATCTTGGTGATGATATCTGGAGGTAGATGTGTGTTGCAATCAATATATAATTTATGTTCCTGATCATAATGATTAAACACACAAGTATAGATTCAAAACATTCACAAACAAAATCAATACACAAATATTTACAAAGGTCTGAGTCACTATAAATTATGGAATCACTCGCAGAATGAAACAAGATCACTGATGAGGGTCATCTAATTTGCATTCAATTATTGTAAATTTGTCATACATGTCATATGATAATTGTCTAAATCCTTCTATTTAGTATTGTAATTAATGAATTTTATATCAAAGTATTCATTTAATCTTGGCTTGGATCATTTGAATTAGTTTCATTTTTATATCAAGTGAAATATGTTCATTACACTAAAGTTCCACTTGGACGATCAACATAGGTGTTAATTACCAGTCACCATAAACACATCATTTTACAAAAATGTAACTGTTATCCTATACAATAATATGAAATAAGAAGATGTGGTATAATTGCCAATGAGACAACTCTTCACCTGAGACCAAATGACATAGAAGTTTACACAGCTTTAATCTTATGAAAATGATAGGTTACATAAGAAAAACATTTGATTTGAATTTTTATCTTAAGTTTGCATTTACCCCAGTATCGAAATTTCTTATTTTTCGAACATTGAGATACAAATGTATCAGGACATCAGGGTCACTTTACATTAATTTTTCCATCGATAGAACTATAAAATTTATTCGACTTAACTGAAAAATCGAATCAACCGAGGGTTGACTCATCAGAGGTTAAAATGCATTGATTAAACAGGAATTTTGCCGGGACCTAGCAATTACTTTGACTCAACTGAGTTTTTGACATAACCAAGTTTGACACAACGAATTTGACTGTATATCAAAATTTTTAATAGATTTTCATGAACATGTAGGCAGAAATATATAAATATGTATTATATATCTTCAATGTACATAAATAATCACAGGAAAAATATTTGAAATTGTGTGTAGTTAATATCAGAGACATATAAACATGATAAAATGATACAAACAAAAATTATTTGAATCTGGAAAAATTTTGAATTCTGGATAATTGATAAGAAATGTAAGATGAAAGCTAACCCAATTAAGGAGGAGGGTAAGCTATGCACGCATGATAAAGGGGGTTAGGTAGTTCATACTGAAACATCAGTAAAAGAAACATGAACCTTAGCCATGCATGATGGCTAACATATAGTCATGATAGTTGGGTTAGTTTTCATCATATCAGTTTTTTTTTAATTCAAAATTATTCCAGATTCAAATAATTCCTTGTTTACATATGTCTCTGTTAATATCAACTGTAAAGTGTTAATTAAACATCTTTTAATGAGAACGAAATTGAAAGAATGCATTTTCAAATTATATTTGGAATGGTATAAATCTGGTGGTTTTAAGAATATTATGCATTTGTTATGTATTGGATACAAATTGTATCAAAAATCAATATTTTTTCTGAATAATGATATAAAATTAGAATATAGGGATGTGGTATTTCAATGTTTGTGTTTATCATGTTTATGGCCAGTAAATATTTTTTTCCAAAATTATAAATAAATTAGATGTTGTCCATACAATGTCAAGTTTTTAAAACAATTCAACAGATGTTATTAACTTATTAATTGGCTTCAATTTACTATTTTCATTTCCTGTCACTTCACTCATTTGTCTTTTGTACAGACAAAATATTACGGTAAACGGAAAAAAAGTCACAAAATCCCTAGGAAAAAAGTCACAATATATGATTGAGTAAAATTATCAATAAGAAGTATGTTGGAATGCGCATGAAAAAGTCACCATGTACATGTATGTAATAAATAATTAAAATGGAGAAGAAAAACAAGAAGCCACTAATTAATCTCAACAGGCCCTATCAATAAAATTTGTTATTACGTAACTATTATTAATGGGGATGATTTGTTTGTTTAACACTAAATTGAAGGATTCTCATTTTAATGGTTAAAACACAGCTATATACCTTATAACCATTTTCATACAAAATATATAATGTGACTTTTTTCCTATATATATGTAGCCTTATGACCATTTTCATACAAAATATGTATTGGGAATTTTTTTCCTATATATATGTGACCTTATGATCATTATTATACAAAATATATATCGGTAATTTTTTTCCTTTATATATGTGCAGACCTTTTGACAATTTTCATACAAAATATATATTGTGACTTTTTATTCTGTGACTTTTTTTCTATAAACCTTTTTTCCTGTGACTTTTTTTCCTACATTCATTATAACGCATACAACTTTTAAATTTATGTTTTTTATTTACCAATGAAAGTTCCATATAACTTTTAAAACAGAGAAAAGCAATGGAGTACTTTTAAACATTTGTACAAAAATGGACATTATTTCCTATCTGAATTGTAACTTTTTCCCCTACATTTATCAAATGTGTTACTATTTTCTAACCAAAATTTGTGACTTTTTTCCATTTACTGTTAAAACTGAGTTTGTGAGTTTGAACCCAGCAAGTAGCAGGTGCATTCAACTCCAATCTTAATTGGCTAGCTATATATAGGGTTGCCAGTTTATCCTGCCAAAGGTTTATAGTTCTTTCCATGCATCAAGCATTCCTCCACCAATCAAAGCTGCAAATAGTGCTAACATTTTTAAAACATAATCAATCAAAAGGGGCAAAAGTGGTTTTGATTTAAAAAAAAAAAAAGATTATTGTCAAAGATGTCAACAGGGGTAGTATTACCTTCTCTTTTAAACTTTAGTTTTATCAAATTCTTTATAATATTTTTTATGATTTTTCTCAATGACAATTGAAAGCATATTCAACAACCACATTGAAAAAAGTGAACCAAGAACAGGGTAAAATATTCTTACTTTAAAGGAAATATGTTGATATATTTATTTTGCCATGCAATGTCTAAATTAAGAATACTTTATTATTTTATTTTTGATGAAAAATATATACTGGGTTATTTTTCTTCCAATTTGGTTGTTTAATTTTGATTTCAATTTTCACTGAAAAAAATATTTAGCTTTAATTAAGAATGATTTATGTACGAAACAATAAACGAAAGAAAAAAAAATATGATATTCAGCAACAAACAACTAGTTAAATGATCTCAATCATGGTGAACAAATTTATTTACACAGAAATGACATTTAATGGCACTTCATGTTGAAATCTCTGTAGCAAGCTATTACAGTTATATGATTCTTTAAATTTAAGAAAAATGATGAATATGTTTTATAGATGTTCTTGAAAAGGAGTCTTCATTATATCAAAATCTACAGAAAGATGCAGCTATTGAATAGATTATTTTACCAAAAAACATTACTTTAGCAACTTACCAATGTGCTGTCAGTTAGTTAATATACATGTGAACTGCATTAACATTTAAAAAAAAACAAAAAACAAATATAAACGTGTTGAAGACCGTACTGTGACCTATAATGGTTTACTTTTATAAATTTTGACTTGGATGGAGAGTTGTCTCATTGGCACTCATACCACATCTTCTTATATCTATAAAAGCTATTTGTGATTCTGAGGACATCTTTCATGAAAATTTCTGAGAAAAAGAATATCATACCCAGAGTTTATTGAAATACTTGCATTGAATTGCTTAAAGCATACATTTTTCATACCCTGTCATAAATTCAAAAGCTATTGAAACTTTATGTCAAATTGTTTGATTGTTCATGCATTACACTTTGTAACTTTGTTTGACAATCCAATTTGAGGAAACATGGTATATTTATAAGTTAAGATTGTGCTTTGAAGAATGTTTCAGTAACTTTGAGTATTCTTTGATATGCTTTGTGATTTTGTTAATTGTTTTTGTGCTTTGTGTCTATCTGATGAGTCAAGCTATATGTTTAATACCGTTTGTTCTAATGTTATACTGTTACCTCTGTAATATGTACGTTTGAAACATCTTAAATTCAAAGAATGGTCATTTTCAGAAAAAAATTGGCAAAAACCAGAAGACATTGCCATGGATAATAGCTTTGAAATACTTGATCTGAGTTCCTTAGGACGTAATAAGACCTGGGTACAGAAGGCTTTTGGGGATATATCTAAACGATCTGCTGCTCAACAAATAACTATTGGGGGAGTATCAGGATGGTAAGTGAATTAGTAATGATACTTGTAACCATTGGATTTTGTAAGTTCAAATGAAAAGCACATAATGATCCTAAATTTAATTGGTGTATTTCATTTTTCGAATCCTGAAAATACTCTTTTACTTAACGCTGATAATGATATTTGAAATCATTTACCTGTTTTATGGGTTAACTGGATCCATGCATCCTTGAACTTACAAGGTCATTCTGCCCACTTCAAATTATACAAGAATCTCTGTATTCTGATGTACATTATTCAATCCTACCTTCAGAATATGTTAATTTTGATCATTTATTACATTTATGTTGGTCACATTACAGAAATTGTTCCAATTAAGATATTCATCCCTTTGTTTAATGTAATACATTTATGTTATGCCAAAAAACCCACTCAAATGATGTTAAATAACTATGTCTAAAACTAAACATTTTGACAGAATGATAACAATTGGAATCATGTGTATAAGATTTATATTTAAGGAATAACATTCTGTAGTTGAAGAATTAACGTCGTCAATTGGTGATTTGAAGGTTGCAAATGCAGTTTTACTGGCATTGAGTAATCAAAATTGACGGCAGCAACTCTTCTTCTACAGTACTTTTATTTTGATTCTAATGCATTACAAAAAGAAATAATACCTTAGAGCTTAAAAAAATGTATAAATTTGAAATGAAATAAAATTCTGTGAAACTTCATGAAAGATTTTGGCGCATAGATGCATGACTAAATGTGATGTCATACAAATGAAAACTTACAAATCTTTTAAAGCCGACTATACAGTTTGGATTTTTCTCATTGTTGAAGGCCGTACAATTGCCTATAATTGCTTATATCCACTTCATTTGAACTTTAGTGGATAGTTGTCTCATTGGCAATCATACCACATCTCCTTATTTTTATATTGAAGGTTATTATGTTACTTCTACGATTCAAATTTGGATAAAATCACATAAAAATGGTGTTTTTGATGTAGGTGTTGTTTTATTTTCGATTATATTGTAGCAGTCGAACATATGTTATTTTATATCTCCTTATGACAAGAATCCTTTCACATACAACAACTTTCTTTCTAGAAACTATAAGTTTTTTTTAAATTGAACATTTTTGGTCTCCTTTGAATGATATTTTTAGTCCCCTACCGACGAAGTCGAAGGGGACTTTAGGTTTGCATTCCGTCTGTCCATCTGTCCGTCTGTCCATCCGTCAGTCCGGCAAATCAGCTTTCCACACTTTTTTTCTTCGTTCTTGGAGATATTGATTTGATATTTGATATATAGTTTTATCATGACAAGTTATAGATCAAGTTCGAATTTTGTTCCGGTCTGATTATTTAGTCCAGAGTTATGGACCATAACTCTGGACCATATCTAATGTTAGAGTACTATGTTAAACCATATTTCTGTACAAAGGGAGATAACTCATTTTTTAAAAGACATTCTTTGTTAAATTATTTGAAGAATTTTTTGACAGGTTTGTTTGTTATTTAGTATAAACTAATTTTCTGAATGCTATATATATAAAAAAAAAAATTATGAAGAGAAATCCTTTAATTAGATCATAATCTATTTTTATTAATGTATATATTTCAATACATTACATTGTGTAGATAAAAGTTTTATAGATAAGTTACAAATCTATATTAGTTTGTGACAAATGAAAGAAAAAAAATATTTGGAACTATTAATTATATCTGATTATAATTTGAAATAGATATACACTGTATTACATCATATCTAATTCTAGAGAACTATTAATCATATCTAATGTTTTTTTCATCATGCTTATAAGATATTGATTGATAATTGGTATATAGTTTTATCATGACAAGTTACAGATCAAGTTCAAATTTTTGTTTCGGTCTAATAATTTTGTGCAGAGTTATGGTCCTTGGACTTGAAAAATTCACTCATATAATCAGTTTTCAACACTGTTTTTAGTCATGCTTGAAGATATTGGAATGATATTTACTTTTTGTTTACACCATGACAAGTTATAGAACAAGTTAGCATTTTGTTCCAGTATAATGAATTTTTACCTGGTAGGGGACTATGTATTGCCATGCATTACTCTCAGAATGCTTGTATTTTTATTGATCATGGATTTTATAAAAGATTTGATTACTTTAAATTTAGATGAATATTTTGTAATGAATCATGTTTTATTTATTTTAAAAAATGTTAAAGTATACAAACTGTTTATTGATTTACTTCCTTTTTTACCAATAATTTTCTGACTCAATGTCTACATAACACAGTACCACAGTGTTAAAACAAGACAAGAGACATACTGCAGTAACTAGAAATATAGCTAAGCCACGCGACACAACTGATTGTATGAATCATTTCACCAAGCTGTCCACACGCATTACCCTGGTGTTATTATTCGTTCCATTTTGGTGTTTCCTGTTGACAAATATGTTTTGTATTAGCTTAAGACCCTTCAAACATTAATGTGATAGATATATTAAACACTGTTTTACATAAGGAGGCAACTGTTTTACTTTCAAAGTCGTATTATAGTCATATCTACTATGTACGGATTTTGACTCTTTTTTCATCTTTTACACATGCTTTTCAAACTTCCGGTTTAAACATACACAAGTTTCTAAATTGTTTTTTGTGTGATTTAGACTTATGTTAACCAGCGTGAAGTGTTTCAGAACCATTTACAAGCAGTTTTAGCTTCTGTTTGGTGATGGAAAATAGGTTTTTCCAAGAAAATACCGCAAACGACCACACACGATTTAAAATTACCAGAGTTTCATTAGACCTTTTCTAACAGTTACAAAAATTTTTTTACCTGAAATTTCATGGGAGAAGGGGATGCGGACTATGCACCAGTGCAAACTATACAAGCCCGATTACCGTATCCAAAAATCCTGGGGAGAACACTGCTGTTTATTTTGGTTATCTATTACTTTCATGTGACTGTCTCATCTACATTTATGCTGAATCTTGTTTTATTCATATTTTAAAAGCTACATTTTGTAATCAGAGCTAAATAATTAATGTAAATATCTTTTATGGACTTAGACATGTAATAGTAAAAGACAATGCACAATTCTGGATTAACCTTTATCAGTTAAGAAATAGTCAGAATAGCATGTATAACAGAGTGAGACTAGATGTATTTATCATCTCCTGCAATCCTTGTATCAGTAGTATAACAGAGTGAGATCATCTCCTGCAATCCTTGTATCAGTAGTATAACAGAGTGAGATCATCTCCTGCAATCCTTTATCAGTAGTAAGTGTCAATGATTTAACTGGAATTTACATATGATGCTTTTCTTTTGACCGTTCACCTTGTAAACAAAGCTATGTTTATGTTCTATCCCAATTTAAGATGGGGGTTAATGACAGTTGTATTTTAAACACCGCAGGAGATTAAAATTGACATTTATGTACATGTAGGAGTTGTCCCCTAGTAAATTAGATGAAATTTTTTTTAAAGTAAGTCTACATATATTTGAACACCTTTAAATCATGAAACGGATAGTTCTCTAGAAATGTTTTGCTTGATCAATTCAAAACAGCTGCCTTTTTATTTGTCTAAAAGGTCTGCTTTAGAAACAAAAGTTCTGAATTTTCTATAAGAATTGCAAAGGCTCAATGTAAAGATATTGACAAATAAAGTCTACCCATGTTTAAATGAGCATAGAGCATTACATGAAAGAAATATTTCTTAAATAATGTAAGATTATACTGGGCATCAATCTGTATCGTGTGTCTGTCCATCCCGTCAAGTTAACCCTCTCACATGTACAATTCTTGCCAGATTTTTATAAAACTTATATCATAGGTTTATATCAGCAATGTCTCGGACAAGTTCAAAAATCAGTGCCAATCAACTATTTTAAAAGAGTTATGCCCCTTTGAAATATTAATTATATGGAAAATTTCATTGTTAGCACTCTCATGTGTACAATTCTTGCCAGACTTTTATCAAATTTATATTTAAGGTTTATATCAGTAATGTCTTGGACAAGTTCAAAAGTCAGTGCTGATCAATTTTTTTAAAAGAGTTATGCCCCTTGGAAATATTAGTTATAAGGAAAACTGCAATGTAAGCGTTTTCATGCATACATTTTTTGCCAGAAATTGCATTGTATTTGCTCTCAAGCCTTCATTTCTCTAAGATATTTGTAAAAAATTTTAAAGAACAAGAAAAAAGAGTTTTTATTTTGTTATTGCCCTTGGATAGATGAAATATGTGCAACACAGGGGACATTGGAACTCTGTTCTTTTATTCAAGTACATGTATGTAGATGTTAGTTTTATCTACTTGCTGGCTATTTTATTCTGTTTTACCAGTATGACAACTGTCATGTTAAACAAACAGTTACACTCAAAGGTATGTTGGAGTCCCCTCATTTTTAAAGCCAATCTTAATTGATCACATTACCTAACTTTTGTAGTATTTGATTGAACAGATGCTTTAAATTACACAACTCAATACACAACCATAGACACAAATTGTCACAATTCTTGATCTCAATAGTATCTTAGATGGTTAATATATAGAAATGACAGTTTTAATTATTTACCTATTATTAAAAAGAAGGTAATGCCAAAAATATACACTTAATAACCAGGTACACTGAAACCAAAAGGTAAAAGAAATCCTTCAGTATTCTGTAAAATTATAAGCCACAAAATCAGGCTAGATAATTTCTTCATAACTGCATCCCAATCATTATCACAAACCACTAAATCAAGAATCAATGTAATTTATAATGGTTAAACATTTGTATGCATGGGTATTCTATTTGTTGTTTTAGCATTGGCAGTCCTCATCATCATGGAGATTATTTGGCCCTGCACCTTCATGGTTTATAGACTTTGAATGTTTTGCATAGTTTACATGATTAAAGTACTGCCATTTTAATTTTCACATTTGCATTATACAATTAAAATTTCATACAGGCAAGACTCATCTCTGTATCAACAGTTTATTATACAGATCTTGTCTCTGTAGCTTCATTAGTTCCAAGTTGACAAGACTGTATTTGAGATGTAAGGACTTAACATAAAGAGGATTGTTGTGTGGAAGGACAGCATCAGTATATCTGAATTAAGAAATCTTGGACCATTTATTTCACTAAACACTCTTTTGAAATATAGGAAAATATACAGTGGAATCCCCTGTGTTGGCAATGCCAGTGGTTTTTTTTTACACAAAAGAATCTAATGATCAAAATTAATATTAAGTTATACTGAAGTATTCATGACTTATGAATATGTTTTTTTTTGTAAGATGCTTGGTGAATACAGTCACAGTTGAATTGAAGATTTGTGATATCATCAATACATATGTGCATAAAGAACAAGACCTATTTTCCCTAACCATGACTACTTTTGTCTCTCTTTTTACAGGGTTACAGGTTTTTTGTTTATTAAAGTCACAAAAGCAGTATTTGTTACCATGGGATTGAGTTTAATACTAATTCAGGTAAATTGTTATTTACAGGTATAATGAAACCTGCCTACAGTGATGTAGAGTTGTGAACCTCTTTATGTTTACTGTAGACAGGTTTGATTTGAAAGGTGATTGTATTTTACAGGTGTACAGGATTTCTGTTTGTTAGGGTTGGTAAAGTTGCTGCTGGTACATTGGGTGTGTCATTACTTCTTTTACAGGTGATTAATTATCTGTAATTTGTAAAACAATTTGTTATTGATCAGTTATATCTAATATGTATAACAATGATGTCATTTTGTTTCTCACCCAGATGACTTTTAACTGAATGGGAGTTGTAGAAATGCTATGCAGTGTCATGGGTAAACCAATTTAATAAAGCTTGATATTTTAGAATGTAGAAGAGTTTAAAGATATTGATATCCTCACACATTGACATACAATGGATTGATATCCTCACACATTGACATACAATGGATTGATATCCTCACACATTGACATACAATGGATTGATATCCTCACACATTTTACATACAATGGATTGATATCCTCACACATTGACATACAATGGATTGATATCCTCACACATTGACATACAATGGATTGATATCCTCACACAATGACATACAATGGATTGATATCCTCACACATTGATATACAGTGAATTGATATCTTCACACATTGACAAAGAATGGATTGATATCCCCACACAATGACATAACTGATTGATGTTCTCACACAATGACATACAACTGATTGATGTTCTCACACAATGACATTGACTGATTGATGTTCTCACACAATGACATACAACTGATTGATATCCTGACACAATAACATACACCTTATTCATAGCATCAAACAATGACATACAACTGATTAATATCCTCACACAATGACATACAGCTGATTGATGTTCTCACACAATGACATACAACTGATTGATGTTCTCACAAATGACATACAACTGATTGATGTTTTCACACAATGACATTGACTGATTGATATTCTCTAACAATGACATACAGCTGATTGATATCTTCTCACAATGACATATAATGGATTGATATTCTCACACAATGACATACACCTGATTCATAGCATCAAACAATGACATACAACAGATTGATATCCTCACACAATGACATACAACTGATTGATATTCTCAAACAATGACATACAGCTGAATGATATCTTCACACAAATACATAGAATGGATTGATATCCTCACACAATGACATACAACTGATTGATATCCTCAAACAATGACATCGACTGATTGATATCCTCACACAATGACATATTACTGTTTGATATCCTCACACAATGACATCGACTGATTTATATCCTCACACAATGACATACAACTGATTGATATCCTGACACAATAACATACACCTTATTCATAGCATCAAACAATGACATACAACTGATTAATATCCTCACACAATGACATACAGCTGATTGATGTTCTCACACAATGACATACAACTGATTGATGTTCTCACAAATGACATACAACTGATTGATGTTTTCACACAATGACATTGACTGATTGATATTCTCTAACAATGGCATACAGCTGATTGATATCTTCTCACAATGACATATAATGGATTGATATTCTCACACAATGACATACACCTGATTCATAGCATCAAACAATGACATACAACAGATTGATATCCTCAAACAATGACATACAGCTGAATGATATCTTCACACAAATACATAGAATGGATTGATATCCTCACACAATGACATACAACTGATTGATATCCTCAAACAATGACATCGACTGATTGATATCCTCACACAATGACATATTACTGTTTGATATCCTCACACAATGACATCGACTGATTTATATCCTCACACAATGACATACAACTGATTGATATCCTCACATAATGACAAAGAATGGATTGATATCCTCACACAATGACATACAAATGATTTATATCCTCACACAATGACACACACATGATTTATAGCCTCACACAATGACATTCAATTGATTTATAGCCTTATACAATGACATACAACCCGATTGATAGCCTCACACAATGGCAAACAACTGATTGGTATTCTGACACAATGACCTACAACTTATATATATTCTCACACAATGACACACAACTAATAGATATCCTCACACAATGACATACAACAGATTGATATCCTCACACCATGACATACAACATATAGATATCCTCACACAATGACAAACAGCTGATTGGTATCCTCACACAATAATATACAATTGATTTTTAGCCACGCACAATGACATACAAGTTATTGATATCCTCACACAATGACTCACAATTGATTTATAGCCTTACACAATGACAAACAACTGATTTATAGCCTCACATTATGATAAACAATTGATTAATAGCCTTACACAATGATATGCAATTGATTTATAGCTTTACACTCTGACATACAACTTATTGATATCCTCCCACAACAGCATACAACTTATTGATATCCTCCCACAACAGCATACAACTGATTGATATCCTCCCACAACAGCATACAACTGATTTATAACCTCACACAATGGCATACAACTGATTGATATTCTCTAACAATGACATACGACTGATCGATAGTCTCTTACATTAGCATACAACAAATTGAGATCATCACACAATGGCATATAACTGATTGATATCCTCACACATTGACATACAATTGATTTATAACCTCACACAATGGCATACAACTGATTAAAATCATCACACAATGGCATACAATTGATTTATAACCTCACACAATGGCATACAACTGATTGAAATCATCACACAATGGCATACAATTGATTTATAACCTCACACAATGGCATACAACTGATTGAAATCATCACACAATGACAAACAACTGATTGATATTCTCTTACATTAGCATACACCTAACTGATATCGTCACACAATGGCATACAATTGATTGATATCATAACACAATGGCATACAACTAATTGATAATCGCATTCAACTGATTGGTTTCCTCATACAATGACATACAACGTTTGATATCCTCACACAATAGCATACAACTTGTCTCGCTCATTACCACGTCTGGAAGAGGATAAATTAACAATACTTTTCCATTCATAAATATATTTAACAAACATTCTAGAGATAACTGTTTCAACAAAAAGACTTTTATTAACATTAGTGATTGTATTGCAAAAGTAAATAGCACCTGCATGACAAAATGTGAAAAAAAGATACACCAGCCTTATTTAGGGAGCTACCATTTGATTTTTATGGGGGGGGCTAGGATGAAAAATTGTTTCCTGTATTTTTTTGTAGTTGTAATCTTGGTCCTGCTTTTTTATTTTTCACTTTATTCAGTCCTGCCTTTGTTTTATTAGTTTATCCTGACTTTTTTTACATAATTTGTCATCCTGCCTTTTTAGCTCACCTGGCCCAAAGGGCCAAGTGAGCTTTTCTCATCACTTGGCATCCGTCGTCCGTCGTCGTTAGCTTTTTACAAAAATCTTCTCCTCTGAAACCACTGGGCCAAATTTAACCAAACTTGGCCACAATCATCATTCGGGTATCGAGTTTAAAAAATGTGTCCGATGACCCCGTCAACCAACCAAGATGGCCGCCATTGCTAAAAATAGAACATAGGGGTAAAAATGTAGATTTTGGCTTATATCTCTGAAACCAAAGCATTTAGAGTAAATCTGACATTGGGTAAAACTGATTATCAGGTCAAGATCTATCTGCCCTGAAATTTTCAGACAAATCTGAAGTTCTGTTGTTGGGTTGCTGCCCCTGAAATGGTAATTTTAAGGAAATTTTGCAGTTTTTGGTTATTATCTTGAATATTATTATAGATAGAGATAAACTGTAAATAGCAATAATGTTCAGCAAAGTAAGATCTACAAATAAATTATCATGACCAAAATTGTCAGTCGACCCCTTTAGGAGTTATTGCCCTTAATAGTCAATTTTTAACAATTTTTTGTAAATTTTTGTAATCTTTTACAAAAATCTTCTTCTCTGAAACTACTGAGACAAATTTAACCATACTTGGCAATAATCATTATTAGGGTTTCTAGTTTAAAAAATTTGTCCGATGACCCAGCCTTCCAACCATCATGGCCGACTTGGTTAAAAATAGAACATAGGGGTAAAATGCAGTTTTTGGTTTATATCTCTGAAACTAAAGCATTTAGAGCAAATCTGAGAGGTGGCAAAAATGTTCATCAGATTTAGATTTATCTGCCCTGAAATTTTCAGACAAATCCGACAACCCATTGTTGGGTTGCTGCCCCTGAGTTAGTAATTTACAAAAATTTTGCAGTTTTTTGTTATTATCTTAGATATCATTATAATATCTAATATCTAGTACTATTAATTATGATTTTAACCTTATTTTACATGATTTCCAAAGCATCAGAAAATACAGGTGAGCGACACAGGCTCTTGAGAGCCTCTAGTTTTTTTGCCAAGTTGCTCATCCTGCCTTTTTAGCTCACCTGGCCCGAAGGGCCAAGTGAGCTTTTCTCATCACTTGGCGTCCGTCGTCGTCGTTAGCTTTTTACAAAAATCTTCTCCTCTGAAACCACTGGGCCAAATTTGACCAATCTTGGCCACAATCATCATTAGGGTATCTAGTTTAAAAAATGTGTCCGTTGACCCCGCTCACCAACCAAGATGGCCGCCATTGCTAAAAATAGAACATAGGGGTAAAATGTAGATTTTGGCTTATATCTCTGAAACCAAAGCATTTAGAGTAAATCTGACATTGGGTAAAACTGATTATCAGGTCAAGATCTATCTGCCCTGAAATTTTCAGACAAATCTGAAGTTCTGTTGTTGGGTTGCTGCCCCTGAATTGGTAATTTTAAGGAAATTTTGCAGTTTTTGGTTATTATCTTGAATATTATTATAGATAGAGATAAACTGTAAATAGCAATAATGTTCAGCAAAGTAAGATCTACAAATAAATTATCATGACCAAAATTGTCAGTCGACCCCTTTAGGAGTTATTGCCCTTAATAGTCAATTTTTAACAATTTTTGTAATCTTTTACAAAAATCTTCTTCTCTGAAACTACTGAGACAAATTTAACCATACTTGGCCATAATCATTATTAGGGTATCTAGTTTAAAAAATTTGTCCGATGACCCAGCCTTCCAACCATCATGGCCGACTTGGTTAAAAATAGAACATAGGGGTAAAATGCAGTTTTTGGTTTATATCTATGAAACTAAAGCATTTAGAGCAAATCTGACAGGTAGCAAAAATGTTCATCAGATTTAGATTTATCTGCCCTGAAATTTTCAGACAAATCCGACAACCCGTTGTGGGGTTGCTGCCCCTGAGTTAGTAATTTTACAAAAATTTTGCAGTTTTTTGTTATTATCTTAGATATCATTATAATATCTAATATCTAATATTATTAATTATGATTTTAACCTTATTTTACATGATTTCCAAAGCATCAGTAAATACAGGTGAGCGACACAGGTTCTTGAGAGCCTCTAGTTTTTTTACTCAAAACTCCTGTCCTGCCTTTTTTTTCAAATTTCATCCTAGCCCCCCCCCCCCCCCCCATAAAAATCAATTGGTAGCTCCCTTATGCTAAAAACAATTATCACAGACAGCAACTGACAACAACCACTGAATTGCAGGATGTAATGGTTTGTGTGTGTTCAACCCTTCTCCTAACCTTAGACAGTCTTGTTACAGTACAAAATAAGAAAAAATGTAAAATCAGTTGGAAAGAGATTGACTCATTAGATCAGCACAAAGCACAATAAAAATCTTAGTAAAAGCAAATAGCATGAGGTACTGATCCAAGAGTATTTGCAGTTACTGAAAGCTAGTTTAAAGCCAATTTCAACTAATAAATAAATCATGTTTTTCAAGACTAAAATATTAACCGGTAGACATCCTGTCAGACTTATATTAATGGATTTCTTACCTCAAACAATAATATCCAACTTGCAGCTAGTACTAGATTGAACTATAAATTGTCATATTATTCAAAATACAAAATTTAAGTTACTGAAGGTATTCATAAGACTAAAATTTTGAGATAACAAAAACATGTAAAAGGTCTATTAAAAACATGGAACAGATTATGGTAATAACGAAACAATGAAAACCAATTAATATATCTTCTACTAAAAGAAGTTGCTTTAGACAACTTTTGAATTCATGCATTTTCCCATACATTTCTAATGTCACAATGCTTATGTTATTACGTCATAGTAAGAGTCAATTGTTCAATGATGTCATTTATGTCAATTGACCTCAGGTCACAAGGCACAACTTTACATTAACAATAAAGAACTCGAAATTGGTTTATTTTAACAGTTACATTTTTTGTGAACTATAAATTTCAATCAAGGACAACTATAAAATGAAATGATTTTATTATTTGATGTATTTTATTAATAACACTGACTATTTCAGGTAGCACAACATCAGGGATATATAAAGATTAACTACAGAGCAATTCAGTCGGAGATTAAACGAACAAAAGATGTTATAAACAAAGAAGCAAACAGACATTACCCAGGGGTGGTGGAAAATGTAAGTCAAGATAATTATATATCGTTTAACCTTCTTGCCTTAAAACGACTAACTAGTACTTTTCCACTGAATTGGAACTTGTCTAAAACTATCCTGTCTCAGATTGAAATTTGTTTGAATTTGTAATTAAACAGGATAAATATCTGGGAAATATTCAGATTCAGACATTACTCAAACGATTCTATTAATACACTTTTTCTGTTACTCTGGGTTGGGTTTACATGGAATGAAATAAGAAAATAGTTTATTAAAGTGTCACGTATTGATTGTCATAAAAAAAGCAACATAGAATAAATATATGTAAGAGTCAAATCTATTTCTAGCCACTAATCTGTGTTCTTTCCTTTGATTTGTGTCACGTAACATGATGACACTCAAATCTGTGGCCCTTTCTCAAGCCTCAAATCTGTGTCCTATTCACAGATCTCTGTCCCATGACGTCAAGAAACTCCAATGTGTTACCCTTTGTTTATTAAAATCTGTGTCCTTTTTACAATGTGACGTGACGTATGACAGGCACATATAGAGTGTTGAGGGGTTAAAGCACTCAACCCTCCCCTTACCTAAGACTGTTGTACATGTGGAACAATACAACATAAGAGCAAACTGTAAAAATCAGTTGTGAAGGACTTGGCTCACATGAATTCTGCACAAATTACCTAAAAAAAATAATTAAAGAAACAAAAACACAAAAGACACAAACCAACGATCTATGAATACTCAAATCTTTTTTACTGTATGGCAAGTAACATAGTACAAATATATAAACATTAATAGTCATAAAGTAAACAATATAGTATAAATATATACACATTGATTGTCATACAGTAAACAACATAGTATAAATACATACACATTGTTTGTCATACAGTAAACAACATAGTATAAATATATACACATTGATTGTTATACAGTAAACAACATAGTATAAATACATACACATTGATTGTTATACAGTAAACAACATAGTATAAATACATACACATTGATTGTCATACAGTAAACAACATAGTATAAATACATACACATTGATTGTTATACAGTAAACAACATAGTATAAATATATACACATTGATTGTTATACAGTAAACAACATAGTATAAATATATACACATTGCTTGTCATACAGTAAACAACATAGTATAAATATATACACATTCATTGTCATACAGTAAACAACATAGTATAAATACATACACATTGATTGTTATACAGTAAACAACATAGTATAAATACATACATATTGATTATCATACAGTAAACAACATAGTATAAATACATACACATTCATTGTTATACAGTAAACAACATAGTATAAATATATACACATTGCTTACATACAGTAAACAACATAGTATGAATACATACACATTGATTGTTATACAGTAAACAACATAGTATAAGTACATACACATTGATTGTCATACAGTAAACAACATAGTTTAAATACATACACATTGATTGTTATACAGTAAACAACATAGTATAAATACATACACATTGATTGTCATACAGTAAACAACATAGTATACTTTTGGTCCACAGTGCTCTTCAACTTCCTATTTTATTTGGCCTTTTAACTTTTTAGAGTGTGACTGATGAGTCTTTTGTAGAGGAAACATGTGTCTGGTGTTAAACTTTGTATTTTATTTGGCCTTTTAACTTTTTAGAGTGTGACTGATGAGTCTTGTGTAGAGGGAACATGTGTCTGGTGTTAAACTTTGTATTTTATTTGGCCTTTTAACTTTTTAGAGTGTGACTGATGAGTCTTTTGTAGAGGAAACATGTGTCTGGTGTTAAACTTTGTATTTTATTTGGCCTTTTAACTTTTTAGAGTGTGACTGATGAGTCTTTTGTAGAGGAAACATGTGTCTGGTGTTAAACTTTGTATTTGGCCTTTTAACTTTTTAGAGTGTGACTGATGAGTCTTGTGTAGAGGGAACATGTGTCTGGTGTTAAACTTTGTATTTTATTTGGCCTTTTAACTTTTTAGAGTGTGACTGATGAGTCTTTTGTAGAGGAAACATGTGTCTGGTGTTAAACTTTGTATTTTATTTGGCCTTTTAACTTTTTAGAGTGTGACTGATGAGTCTTTTGTAGAGGAAACATGTGTCTGGTGTTAAACTTTGTATTTTATTTGGCCTTTTAACTTTTTAGAGTGTGACTGATGAGTCTTGTGTAGAGGAAACATGTGTCTGGTGTTAAACTTTGTATTTTATTTGGCCTTTTAACTTTTTAGAGTGTGACTGATGAGTCTTTTGTAGAGGAAACATGTGTCTGGTGTTAAACTTTGTATTTTATTTGGCCTTTTAACTTTTTAGAGTGTGACTGATGAGTCTTGTGTAGAGGAAACATGTGTCTGGTGTTAAACTTTGTATTTTATTTGGCCTTTTAACTTTTTAGAGTGTGACTGATGAGTCTTTTGTAGAGGAAACATGTGTCTGGTGTTAAACTTTGTATTTTATTTGGCCTTTTAACTTTTAGAGTGTGACTGATGATTCTTTTGTAGAGGAAACATGTGTCTGGTGTTAAACTTTGTACTTTATTTGGCCTTTTAACTTTTTAGAGTGTGACTGATGATTCTTTTGTAGAGGAAACATGTGTCTGGTGTTAAACTTTGTACTTTATTTGGCCTTTTAACTTTTTAGAGTGTGACTGATGATTCTTTTGTAGAGGTAACATGTGTCTGGTGTTAAACTTTGTACTTTATTTGGCCTTTTAACTTTTTAGAGTGTGACTGATGAGTCTTTTGTAGAGGAAACATGTGTCTGGTGTTAAACTTTGTATTTTATTTGGCCTTTTAACTTTTTAGAGTGTGACTGATGAGTCTTTTGTAGAGGAAACATGTGTCTGGTGTTAAACTTTGTATTTTATTTGGCCTTTTAACTTTTTAGAGTGTGACTGATGAGTCTTTTGTAGAGGAAACATGTGTCTGGTGTTAAACTTTGTACTTTATTTGGCCTTTTAACTTTTTAGAGTGTGACTGATGATTCTTTTGTAGAGGAAACATGTGTCTGGTGTTAAACTTTGTACTTTATTTGGCCTTTTAACTTTTTAGAGTGTGACTGATGATTCTTTTGTAGAGGAAACATGTGTCTGGTGTTAAACTTTGTACTTTATTTGGCCTTTTAACTTTTTAGAGTGTGACTGATGATTCTTTTGTAGAGGAAACATGTGTCTGGTGTTAAACTTTGTACTTTATTTGGCCTTTTAACTTTTTAGAGTGTGACTGATGATTCTTTTGTAGAGGTAACATGTGTCTGGTGTTAAACTTTGTACTTTATTTGGCCTTTTAACTTTTTAGAGTGTGACTGATGAGTCTTTTGTAGAGGAAACATGTGTCTGGTGTTAAACTTTGTATTTTATTTGGCCTTTTAACTTTTTAGAGTGTGACTGATGAGTCTTTTGTAGAGGAAACATGTGTCTGGTGTTAAACTTTGTATTTTATTTGGCCTTTTAACTTTTTAGAGTGTGACTGATGAGTCTTTTGTAGAGGAAACATGTGTCTGGTGTTAAACTTTGTATTTTATTTGGCCTTTTAACTTTTTAGAGTGTGACTGATGAGTCTTTTGTAGAGGAAACATGTGTCTGGTGTTAAACTTTGTACTTTATTTGGCCTTTTAACTTTTTAGAGTGTGACTGATGATTCTTTTGTAGAGGAAACATGTGTCTGGTGTTAAACTTTGTACTTTATTTGGCCTTTTAACTTTTTAGAGTGTGACTGATGATTCTTTTGTAGAGGAAACATGTGTCTGGTGTTAAACTTTGTACTTTATTTGGCCTTTTAACTTTTTAGAGTGTGACTGATGATTCTTTTGTAGAGGAAACATGTGTCTGGTGTTAAACTTTGTACTTTATTTGGCCTTTTAACTTTTTAGAGTGTGACTGATGATTCTTTTGTAGAGGTAACATGTGTCTGGTGTTAAACTTTGTACTTTATTTGGCCTTTTAACTTTTTAGAGTGTGACTGATGAGTCTTTTGTAGAGGAAACATGTGTCTGGTGTTAAACTTTGTATTTTATTTGGCCTTTTAACTTTTTAGAGTGTGACTGATGAGTCTTTTGTAGAGGAAACATGTGTCTGGTGTTAAACTTTGTATTTTATTTGGCCTTTTAACTTTTTAGAGTGTGACTGATGAGTCTTTTGTAGAGGAAACATGTGTCTGGTGTTAAACTTTGTACTTTATTTGGCCTTTTAACTTTTTAGAGTGTGACTGATGATTCTTTTGTAGAGGTAACATGTGTCTGGTGTTAAACTTTGTACTTTATTTGGCCTTTTAACTTTTTAGAGTGTGACTGATGAGTCTTTTGTAGAGGAAACATGTGTCTGGTGTTAAACTTTGTATTTTATTTGGCCTTTTAACTTTTTAGAGTGTGACTGATGAGTCTTTTGTAGAGGAAACATGTGTCTGGTGTTAAACTTTGTATTTTATTTGGCCTTTTAACTTTTTAGAGTGTGACTGATGAGTCTTTTGTAGAGGAAACATGTGTCTGGTGTTAAACTTTGTACTTTATTTGGCCTTTTAACTTTTTAGAGTGTGACTGATGATTCTTTTGTAGAGGTAACATGTTTCGGTGTTAAACTTTGTACTTTATTTGGCCTTTTAACTTTTTAGAGTGTGACTGATGAGTCTTTTGTAGAGGAAACATGTGTCTGGTGTTAAACTTTGTATTTTATTTGGCCTTTTAACTTTTTAGAGTGTGACTGATGAGTCTTTTGTAGAGGGAACATGTGTCTGGTGTTAAACTTTGTATTTTATTTGGCCTTTTAACTTTTTAGAGTGTGACTGATGAGTCTTTTGTAGAGGAAACATGTGTCTGGTGTTAAACTTTGTACTTTATTTGGCCTTTTAACTTTTTAGAGTGTGACTGATGATTCTTTTGTAGAGGTAACATGTGTCTGGTGTTAAACTTTGTACTTTATTTGGCCTTTTAACTTTTTAGAGTGTGACTGATGAGTCTTTTGTAGAGGAAACATGTGTCTGGTGTTAAACTTTGTATTTTATTTGGCCTTTTAACTTTTTAGAGTGTGACTGATGATTCTTTTGTAGAGGTAACATGTGTCTGGTGTTAAACTTTGTACTTTATTTGGCCTTTTAACTTTTTAGAGTGTGACTGATGATTCTTTTGTAGAGGTAACATGTGTCTGGTGTTAAACTTTGTACTTTATTTGGCCTTTTAACTTTTTAGAGTGTGACTGATGAGTCTTTTGTAGAGGAAATATGTGTCTGGTGTTAAACTTTGTATTCTTGGTATCTTTGATGAGTTTGGTTTTTTACATTGCTATTACAAGAAATGTGATTTTCCCTTGAGCTCCAAAAATATATTAGTAAACTTGGATAACAAATAAAAATGTTACGTTTCAAAGGACTTTTCTGTTAAAAGAACAGGAACTTTTTTAACTTTTATGCTTCCACATTCCAATCAAGTATTGATTAAGAAAGATTATTGGAATTTTGATTATAAGGTATATATTATATGTCTTCTTTATTTGACAGGCAAAGAGATTTCTACAGAAGAATATGTTTTTAGCTGGAGGGTTTGCAGGTGGATTTTTAATTGGAGTAGCATTTTAAATGAACATCAGACTACAGCATATTATCATAATTAATTTGTGTGTAATGTCTAGTCCTTTGTTGTATATTATTGTGTGTATGAATGAATATGATATGCCTTGAAGATCATGTGAAGGAACTATTTTTGGACACAGGAGTCATTGAATGAATGAATGATGTGAAATAAATGTTTGTTGACAATACATTTGTGTGTAGGCTAAGCAGTTATGATAATGACATTACTGTGTTTTTATTTTGATTAATTTAAAGATATACCATGAAGATAGATTTTGTATAATCATTTCTTAGTTCTAACCAAAATAACTTTCTGAATAAATTAATGATGGTACTTTCAATTACTGGTCATTTTGCAAAATAGGAATGGTGGAATGATCATGATGACTGCTTAATGCCAAGTGGCAAATATTACAAACATACTTAGGAAAATAACATATTAATTGCAGCAGATGCAGAAAAAAGTAGTAAAAGAGAGGCAAAAGATACCAAAGAGATATTCAAACTCATAAATCTAAAACATGCTGACAATGCCATGGCAAAAGACGAAAAACGTTGAAAAGACAAATAACAGTATACAAAACACAACATATTAAACTAAAGACTGATCAACATGAACCCCACCAAAAACTCGGGCAATCTTAGGCACTCCAGAAGGGTAAGCATATCCTGCATCACATGTGGCACCTGTCGTTTTGCTCATGTAACAGGATTGAATATTGACAATTGGAACATATCCGTCCTCATCTGTGACACAGATATTCGATAATGGTCAACCAACTCCTGATGGTGCCGTAAAGTTGTTTATGATAGCTTCTTTTTTTTTACTTTGTATTATAATAGTTATCATCTAAAAAAAAAACCGGCATTGTACAGATTATGAAGACCATAAAAGGGTTCAATATTATTTCTAGGAGTCCAACATTTTGGATGTATATGTCAGAATTTATTTCATGTGTGGACATGGTAAATGGACACAAATCACATATGATAGCTACAATGTTTTCAAAAATTGGGACACAATGCTTATCTTTGATTTTGAATGGAAAATTCATTCAAAACTGCATGTATGTTAATCATGAATGAGGTATATATATATGACATCAACTCGTGTGTTGTTGTTATCTATGATACTATGTTGAAATTACCCACAGTGAGTTAATGATTTACTGCAATCACCTTGTCCATCAGGACGTCTGTCTGATGTCAGTCAGTCCAATCTTTCTTTCATCTGTTTGTCTTTCTGTTAATCCATCAAGAACTTTTATTAAATGTACATATTATTCTTCTTCTGTATTTTTGGATTGATTTGATTTTAGTCTTTGAACTTTGATATTTATTGTATAGTGATTTGATTTTTTGTGCTGGAACTCTTATATGTATTGTATAGACACCTGTCTTGTTGATATATTTAGCACTACATATTTTGTAGACAAACCCAGATGTAAGTAATTTCATTTCGTTTTAACTTAGAAGAAGTTTTATGAACTATATATCAACTGTTTTTTTCATGCTAACAAATCCACTCCTTTTCAAAAAGCAATTGGTCAGCTATATTCATTGTATAGAATGATTTTAAGGTGTTCATTTCAGTCTTCCATCCATCAGGATTCATCTGATTTTGACCTCATTTTCATGGTTCTTTGGTCAAATTTTAGGTTTGGTGATTAGGTCTGTTACTCGGGTCATGGAAGTATTATATTGTCAATATAATACTTCCATGTTCAGGTCAACTTAGACTGAGTAACTGATGGAAGAAGACTAGGAATTACTATATTTTTTTGTTGTCAAACAAACATTGTTAAAACCTAACCAGTTACTCAGATAATAATCTTTTGACAGATTTACAAGCAAATTGGTTTTAAAATTGTTGTTCAAAGACAATGTCTGCAAGTCAAGATACACATTTGGACAATTTTAGTGGGGGACTTCACTAAAAACCCTGGCTCCATACAATTTCTATGTACCATTTATAGTAAACATTTAGCACAAAATCACTACTGTCTAGAGTGTGCTGAATGCTTGGGTATATACAAAATGCAGTGGCCTTACAAACGAGGATTACAAGAAATATCCTTATATTTCAATATCCTCAGTGCAGACTCCTTACATTGACCGATTCTTTAATCAAACTCATTGAGTAACATCAACTCGCTTAAAGCATTATTGGACACCGAGAATGAGATTGAAATTTTAGAAGAAATCATCACCATCAGCAATCAGTCAGTTCTAAAACACAACCAAATAAGAATCAAAGTGGTTGTAATCCTGTCCTAAGTCAGGAGCCTGTTGTTCAGTGGTTGTTGTTTGTTAATGTGGTTCATAAGTGTTTCTCGTTTCTCGTTTTTAATATAGATTATACCGTTGGTTTTCCTGTTTGAATTGTTTTACACTAGTCATTTTGGGGCCCTTTATAGCATGCTGTTCGATGTGGGCCAAGGCTCCGTGTTGAAGACCGTACTTTGACCTATAATTGTTTACTTTTTACACATTGTGACTTGGATGGAGAGTTGTCTCATTGGCACTCATACCACATCTTATTTCTATCTAATGAGCGATAGGGGAAGAACAAGAACTTCAAACTTTTATCAGAAACCCACACAGCAAATGTCACAGGAAGGACACTATCTGATCTAGACAACCCAGTACAAAGTATTGAGTTCTCCAGACCAACTCCATACTTCAAACCAAAAAATCAAAACACTAGGAGGAGGTGTCTTTATAGTTATTACAAACAACAAAAATATTGACTGCAAAAAAAGAAAGCTGTACAGAATCAGTGACAGAGAAAAAAACGGACAAGATCTAGAAAACTCTATCAACTAGAAATAAAAGAAACAACAGACACGTCTTCCTCTGCCTCATTTAGACTTATACCTCGAATTTGACATACACAGTCATCTGAGTACCAGAATCTATGACAAACGAAACGATTTTAATTTTGAAATTATAAATTTCCCCACTTTAGCAGCAATATACCAACTTCACCTGCATATGGGATATACATTTCCCAACTCATTCGGTATTCAAGAGCTTGCAACTGGTACTCAGACTTTATAAAAAGTCACCAGTGTCTGAGCAGAAAGTTGATGAACCAGGCTTATGTCTAAGAACGTCTCGTACTTTTTCTAAAAAGGTTTATCGGAAGATACCAAGACCTTGTTGATAAATATTCCGTATCAACTTCACAAATAATACATGATGGTCTTGAAGTATAGATTTTAGGTACTGACGTTTTTCATCTTAATTATAGTGTTCTTTTTATTTGTTTTTGTATATTTTTAACCTTTACTGTTTAGTCCACTTTTGGTAATGAACTTTTGGCATGGCTCGATATTTATACATCCTGCCATTGTGTTATTGTACTATGGTAATTTTTGTATTCTTGTCTTTCATTTTTGCCTATGTACTTTGTCATAGAGTGTCTATATGCCATTTTGTTTTTCTTTGTTGAAATAGTTATTTTTTTTTATAATGATTAAGATTATAATACAATGTTGACTGCTGTACGCCAATTTTTGACATTTTTACCTATTATGTCTGTTTGTTTTGCTCACACATTGTCAATATAGTGGAATTCCATGCGACTGGCATATACATGAGAGGCTTAGCTAGCTATAAAACCAGGTTTAATCCACCATTTTCTACATAAGGAAATGTCTGTACCAAGTCAGGAATTTGAAAAAGGACTTTCCGTTTAGAATTTTCGTTGGAGTTTAATGAACAGATATATGAGGCAGACTTAAGCAGTGCAGTCTGTGTAGGTGCCTGCTTTATATTATTTTACTTGGATGTATTTTATACTAAACCCCATGGTTGACGTTTGTACATCAGTTATTCATTTATACCATTGAACTTGAGATAAAGGATACCACATATACAGATAAGTCTGTCTCATATCTTTACTCACATCTAGAAATTGAAAGTCGATTGAGAACAAAACTTTACGACAAAAGGGATGATTACAGCTTCCCAATTGAGTTCTTTCCATTTCTATGTAGAAACATTCCAGCATCATCTGTACGTGAAGTTTATATGTAGGACCCTTAAATGCAATGGTACTTTAAAGTGTCATGGTGTAACTAAAATGCGATGGTCGTCGCTAAAGTACGATGGTCTAAAATGCTAAAGTTCGATGGTTATCGCTTAAGTGTGATATTGAGACCCAGCTCTACAATACGATGGTCACGTGGCAGTAGCCGGTATGCTAGGATAGGATTGTATAGCACACTTATTTGTGTTGGTCATGCTAAAGCATGCAGATCTGTAAAAGTGTGTGCTTCTTTGTACTTGTTAAACCAACCACGTATAATAATTGATTGAAGTCAATTCAACTGTCGCAAAATAGACTTTTTTCCCCTTGATTCATAAAAATCTCCACACGTGTATTAGTGAAGATGAAACAGAGCCAAATATAGAGGAGCAAACTGACCTCCTGCGTTTAGAAACAATTAGTTAGACTTTGGAAGGTAGAAAATAAAACTCCTCCAACTTGAAACTGTGAATCGTCGAATTTTAGATATGATCCCTATGGCTATGTCATTATGGGGGGCCTCAATATCGTTCAAGACCGAGAGGTTAAACACTTTTCTTTTTGAAAAAAGGACCAAAATATCTCCTCCATCTAAAATATATTGGAAACAGTGTCGTCATGTCATAAAAGACGCCCTCTCATCGTATTGTAAAACTTGGTGTAAATGGGAAAAATCTGATAAAAAATCTCTTGATACTTATTTAAATAAATGTATGAATGTTGTGGATATTCGAATATCACATTTTGAAAATAATTTAGAAATAATTAGTACATAATACGCCCATTTTTAAAATAGGAAAGACACTTCAAGTACTCGCAAAGCGGTTTGTTTTTGTACCGGCCGACAAAGCAGCCAACAATGTGGTGGTGGTATGTCGTAAATTCTACACTAAATTAAGAATGAAATTTTAAATTCTTCGACATTCAAGTCCATGCGCTCCACAGATAGTCATAAAGTAAACCACCATATCATAACCACATCACAGTTAAAGCCTCTTCTGAACATTTGAAAGTCCCTATTATGTATTGGTTACCTAAACTACACAAAAAAACCCAGTAAAATATCGTTTCATCTCGGCCTATAGTAAGTGTTCTACAACTAATTTTTCAGCGCTTTTAACTAGTTCCGTAAATACTATCAAAGAAATTATCATTAACTTTTGTAATAAACATAAGAAAATAGTGGAATTAACTATTTTTGGAGTGTCAAAAATTCTTAGGATATTATAGACAAATTACGTGCGTTTGATGGTCCTTTTGATTCTGTTGACAGTTTTGACTTTTCAACTCTTTACACTACACTTCCTCACAATCTTATCAAACAAAAGTTTTCCTATTTAATCAAATGGTCGTTTGGTAAATCTGATTGCACATATATTTGCTGAAACTCTTTTAAAGCCTTCTCCTCTAATGAGAAAGGTAAATATGCAAGACAAGACCGGACAATGTTATTCCTTAAAACCACTGTATACATGTAGTACAGCTTGATTTGATCATTTATGTTAATAAATAGTATTTGTATATATTTGTTCATGCATTGACTTGTTGACTCACTCTAACAGAGTATACAGTATGACAGTACTTTGATTTTCTATTCACTTGGGTATTTACATCCTGGGTTTTCTCTTTCTTTATTCTGATTGGTTACTCTGTGAACTCCTTTGATATTGAGGCACTCTTTTCAAATTCTACACAGAGATATAGAACACTGACACTTTATTGTGATTTATAGATATTTATTCTTCTTATTCTGGAAACCATTCTTTATATTCAGATTCCAGTATGTGAAGTATAAGAGTATACAGTAACTTTATAGAGGAGCACTGCTCAGCCCTTGTATTATATACACGGGTGTTTATTTGAGATTACTATAATAAACCAATAGAACCTTACTCAGATGTTATTTACGCCCAACTTGATGAGTCTACAAATGGCGCCCAACGTGATTTTGGTAATGGTAATCGTTTGAGCTAGTGTACCCATACAGACCCCCTCGGTGGTGATACTTGCGCATGTGTGAATTGTGAAACCGGAACATCCTAGATATTGACATCAACAGAAAAACAGTGTGGTTTTTGTGAATGAAGATTAAATTTTCAAATATTTTAACCTGATACAGTGATTATAATGTAGCGAAGCTTATTTATATGGTGAGAATATACACTTGGGTAATGAATTGAATTGTCATAAAAATTATATGATTTATTTATGAAATACACGTGTTGAAAAACTTAGAAAACAAATCCAGAAAATTTATTTTGGTTTTTGTTATTGAACATTGGGTATTGTGTCATTATATTTTGACTTTCTTGTGTTTATTCCATTTTGACATAGTCATCTTGCATAAACATTTGAATTTCTTAGATAAGCTAGCTAGCAGTAAACTATTTATGTGTTGATTCTTTGTTTATTTGTGTGTGTTTGTACTTAGTAAATTTTGTGTTGATATTGTACTTCAACTTCACTGGATGTACAATTTACATTTATGTTGAAATGTACATACATTGCAGTTGATTATTGTGCACATTTACATTAAACCGGTTACATTTATAAGGTTTATTTACTTGATCAAGTGTGTGTATAGAATATTTGGTATAACATTTTTGTGAATTTGAAAGTAGGTCATTAGTATAACCTTGACCTTTATAGATACTTGGTATTGGGTACATGTGTACTTTGTAAATATTAGATATTAGTGGGTATATCATAGCATTTGACATTGATTTGAGTTATGCTACACATTATTATTTGCGATTAGTGTAGTTAGGGTATACATTATTTATTTTTTTATGATTTGAATCTGCGTTTGTGTCCGAGAATGTTACTGTGAGTGTTTGAACCCTTATCTACTACTTCATATACTTATACCTGCTTGTGCCCGTTACACACTTTGGTATTTGACTTTACCATTTTATAGTGTTACTTCACACATCTAGACTTTGCTAGTTGGCATACTATTGACCCATCCTTGTACTTAGTTGTTATTTTAGTGATTTGAGACTAGTGTCATATTACGTGCTTGAGACTTATCGCACTGAGTTTTACATTTTACATTCGACTTAGACTAGTTTATTCGTTTTGATAGATAAGATTACTTGAGTTACTATTTATGATGATACTGTAGATATACGTATACATTGACATTAGTTTGAGAATATTTTGATACTAGTATTTTGAGTATTTTGATATAGAATAAAATAGATATTGCCCAAGCCCCATATTGAATTTTCAGATATTTGCGTGTCATCTAATATCAACTATAGATACATCGATAAATAGTCAGCGATACTTTACTTGATTATATTTAGTATAAGACAATTGCGTACACCGTAACATATATCTGAGTCATCACGTTATAATTAAATTGAAAAAATGGCCGGTCTTGGCGAGAAATATAAGAAATTGTTAGAAACATTAGAAGCAATGAATGTTGAACCGAAAGCGAATACTCCTGAGGAATTTGCTGCATGAATGCAGAGTTATTTACAACAACAAGGAAAGCAAGCGGATATTAAACCGAATGTTACTGAACCTCAACCTAAAACATCAATACCTTACGTTCATCCACCTAGAGTAAACACTTTTCAGGGAAATGATAAGACAGTAAAAGGTGAAAACACAAGGTATGATTTATGGAGACATGATATCAGATGCCTATTGAATGAGAAAACACATTCCATTGAAGCTATTACTCAGGCCGTCAGGCGATCAGTCAAAGGTGAGGCAGGTGTGGTACTTATGCATTTAGGAGAACATGCATCAATATTTGACATATTACAAAAGTTCGATTGTATATTTGGAAACATCGATGAGAAAGAAACTATTATGTCCGAATTTTATAATGCCAAACAGAAAGAGGAGGAAGATGTTTCAACATGGAGTTGCCGACTTGAAGATATATTGAGTCAAGCATTATTAAATGGCAAAGTGGAAAAAACTGAATCTGACGAAATGCTTCATGATATGCTGTATAAAGGTTTAAGACCTGAATTAAAAGACAAAGCGCATTATGAAAAGGAGAAATATAAGACATGTGATGAATTTAGAGTGGTACTTCGAAAGATTGAACGAGAACATATAGTGGATAACCCATCATTGAAAACCAACACTAAAAACATATGTAAGAAATCAACAAAAACTGAAGATGAGGAAACAGAACCCGATTTGAAAGCGCTTATACAGCAGATAAACACTAGATTAGAAAAGATAGAGAAAGGTGCTCCGATATATACAGGTGCTTCGGAGAACTCTGATGCTCAAGGATTCTTAGGTGCTCAGGGATACTCCGATACTTCGGGATACACAGGTGCTTCGGGATACACAGGTGCTCCGGGATTCAATAATCCATCGGGATATTCTGATGCTAGAGGTAGGCAACCGTATAGAGGAGGATATAGAGGCAATAATAGAGGATATAGAGGTTATAATAGAGGATTTCAACCAAGGTACAACAATCAGAACTTTAATCCAAATACTAATTACAACAAGGATACACCAATTATATGCAGGAGATGTAAGATGCCGAACCACATTGCAAGATTTTGCAGGGCAACACACGATAAAGATGGCAATCTGTTAAACCGGTATTAGCCTGTGATGCGAGGCCGATTACAGACTTCCACATCAAAGGCCCAACAACCGAAAAGAAAAACATAAATTTTACTTTGAAAAATATTCTACCACCTGGACTTTTAGGTACACCAACAGAATCAGAGGTAAGTATAGAAGATATCAACGTTAAGGCCCTTTTGGATACAGGATCAACCGTTTCAACTATAAGTAGATCTTTTCATCAAAATTATTTGAGCAACATAGAACTTCAATCTTTAGATACTATACTCAAAATTGAATGTGCAGGAGGAACAATGCTACCGTATGATGGTTTTATTGAAGTAAACATCAATTTAAAAGATATAGGAGGACCACATCCATGTATTTTACTTGTAATACCGGATAGTCCGTATAACAACCAGGTACCGTTATTACTAGGAACGAATGTATTAACATCAATTACGGAAAAATGTCGATACGAATATGGAGAAAGATTTTTACAAACTTCTAAATTGACAACTCCGTGGTATTCATCGTTCAGAAGTATATTACTTAGAGAAAAGGAACTTAGCCGAAACAACCATCGTTTAGCTATTGTCAAATTTGCTGGAAATACCAACATTATTATACCACCAAACAGTAATGTTACTTTACCAGGCTACATAGATAAAGAAATTCCGTACAGCAATACATCAGCTATGATACATCCAACTAAAAATTCTGTTATACCGTTTGATTTAGATTTATCACCGTCACTCATTGAGTATAAATTTCATCAGAATCATGACATCTCAGTTGATATTAGCAATGTAACAACAAGAACAGTAAATATTCAACCACTGCTTTACTTTGCAAAATACAGCCTGTATCTATTGAGGACAATATTGGATCTGAAAACTTGGAATTTACTCCACCTCTTTTAGAACAAGTTAAGGTTAGCGCTGATAACTTAACAACTCAGGAACTTGAAAAAGGAAAACAACTTATCCGTGATTACTCAGATATTTTTTCGAAAGGCGACTCAGGTATGGGACATACTACAATTGTACAACATAAAATAGAACTAGAGGATGATAGACCGTTTAAGCAAAAATACCGCCGAATACCGCCTTCAATGTTTGAAGAAGTCCGATCCCACTTACAGCAATTAATGCGAACAGGTATTATAAGAAAATCACATAGTCCTTTCTCATCAAATGTTGTTCTAGTAAGGAAGAAGGATAAGAGTCTAAGAATGTGTGTAGATTTTAGACAACTCAACAAGAAGTCTCGTCTTGATGCATATGCTATTCCCCGTATAGAGGAAATACTCGACTGTCTTGCAGGAAACAAGTATTTTTCTACCGTCGATATGAAATCAGGCTATCACCAAGTGGAGATATACGAACCGCATAAAGAGCGCACAGCTTTTACTGTAGGCCCTTTAGGATTTTTCGAATTTTGTAGAATGCCGTTTGGGTTATCTAACTCGCCTGCAACTTATCAGCGTCTAATGCAAGATTGTTTAGGAGACTTACACTTGAAAATATGTTGCATATTTATAGATGACATCATTATATTTTCTAGGACATTTGAAGAACATATGGAGAGATTGAAACTTGTTTTTGACAGAATTAGGGATGCTTGTTTGAAAATGGCACCAGCTAAATGTACCTTCTTCAAACCAAAGGTAAAGTATGTAGGTCATATAGTCTCAGAGGAAGGAGTTGAAACTGACCCCGATAAAATAGAGAAAATTAAGAATTGGCCAACACCGAAAACTCCAGAGGAAATTAGGCAATTTATTGGTTTTGCAGGAGATTACTGCAGATTTATTCGAAACTTCAGTCAAATTTCTAAACCACTAACCGAATTAATGCCGACACCAGCTAAAAAGACCAAAAAGAAAACTCATACTCAAAAATCATGGACTTGGGGAGAAAAACAGGAAAATGCATTTGTAAAATTAAAAGAACTTCTATCAACAGCACCAATTTTAGGATATGCTGATTATACAAAACCGTTCGAATTACACACTGATGCTAGTGGATCAGGGTTAGGTGCTGTATTATATCAACATCAAGAAGGACACGACAGAGTAATAGCCTATGCAAGCCGTGGACTATCGAAATCAGAAAAGAACTATCCGACACACAAATTAAAATTCTTAGCACTCAAATAGTCAGTTTGCGACAAATTTCACAGTTATCTTTATGGACATGCATTCAAAGTATTAACCGATAATAATCCGCTCACCTATGCGTTAACAACTGCCAACTTAGATGCCACAGGACATAGGTGGTTAGCTGCTCTTTCAGTATATGACTTTGATATTACATACCGTCCTGGCAAAAACAACTCCGATGCAGATGGTTTATCAAGGATACCAACCAACAAAGAGACAAATATACCAATGGAATCTATTATATATGTGGAATGATTTCAACACCATTAGTGGAAACTCTATCAATATCACCAGAAGTAGTTGATGAAACAACAATAGATACTCAACATCAAGTTTACAACGACATAGATTGGGTAAGTATACAACATCAGGATAAAGAACTTCAACCATGGATTGAATGTGTTAAGATAGGAAATAAACCGAAGAAGGAAGAAA